GGGGGGGGTGATTACATTCACGTGCCGAACCCGCCTGTCATATATTCATCACAAAGCTTGAAAGATTCGGCGCTATTGTTGACGACAAAATTACAGATTTATAATCAAACAGGAGTTACAATGTAACATATTACATACAGAAAATAGAATATTAATATTTGCACGTAATGATTTAGAGCAAAAATATAGTTTAAAACCCCATGGTTTTCAGCTTAAAGAGATGGTCGACGTTAATTATTCCAACATTTTTTAACTCAAGCAAAGGTTTAGGAATCGTACATGTAGCTCTTTAAATAAAAAGTCACGTTTAATTACTTCACGCGAAAGTGCCTAAAAATAATTTGAGCCGAAAACGGCCGCCGCCGATGACACGGTAAAAGTTAATAAAAGTTTGAAACCGCACTTCTGTAATTCTATTATATCCTAGTACACTATTCATTCTCGCATAGATAAAGCGAGCCTCCTAGAATATATCAGGGGTGGAGGGGAGGGACGGAGGGGAGGGGAGAAACCGGTAGGAGGGTTAGTTTATTTATATATCAGGAGGTTGTTAAACAATATAAGAATAATTATCATTAAAAAGCATTTATTAAAAAATTAAGAAAAAAACTAAAAATAATAAAATTCACAGCCATTCAGTTCTTTCTTAGAGGGACCTTCCATCTGCTCACAACAGTACCCTTGAAACCCTAATCTGATGAATAATCTGGAAGATATTGTCGTATTTATGGGTAAGTGTTTATTTCTGATCATTTCTCTATGTTTTCCCGCAGTAGAAATGCGCAAGTCACTTCTGTAGAGAAATCACAATTAAAAATAATCAGTTTTTAAAACTATAAACATGGATATCTAATTCATACTTGATCAGACAAAACTTTTAAGGATACTGTTGTGAATCGGGCATTGCCATCTTTCCACGGAGGGTCCCTTGAAATTACACTTTCAGTCCATTTAAGGTATGTGTGGTCTGTACATGATTAAAGCATGTACTGGGATAGGTTATGAGGTAGAGATGGTCTGTATAGGTTTAGTACTGTCTCCATGTGTTCAGATTTAAGCTCCAGGGCATCCATGCCCTCCTGCAAAATTATTCTTTTTACTCTTTTATAATAAACAGTTTAAACAGATGTTTAAAGTCAAATCAAACATGTTCGAAAAGTGTAATCTATAATTAATTAAATCCCTGAAATACAAATTGATAATATTCTGAAACTTAAAATAATATCTTAAAGCATTGATTGCTAAGAATCCATTCCACTTTTATGCGGATCCGGATCCAGGAGCTCAAACGTTGTGTATTCTTAAAAAGTCATTATGTTTAGAAAAAATAAGGTTCTCCTAAATCCAACCTGTGAAAGAAGATGGAGAACAGATTCTTTGACTAAATTTTCAAGGTCAGCCCCACTGTAGTTTTCTGTCCTAAAATTTAGAAAAAATACAATTAATTAAAATACAAATCATTGAGCACTGACAACGCAACTGTAGTGTGGTTAATTATTTAATGATTCAGTTCGTATACCTTTACACCCTTATAACCCTTAAGATATTTGGCAGTTGAAAACATCAGCAAATCAAGAGATAAGATTGATAAGATAAACTGTTTAACATACTTCAGAGGGACTTTCCTCTTAGACATAGTAAATCAAACCAATTTCATTATTTTATTAATTAAAAAATCATAATAAAAAATGGAGATATGATAAAATTATGATTGAAAACTAAATATCTTGAATTAATTATCTTCCGTTTACTAAAATAGTTTTTGTAAAAACTGATTTTAATCTCTAATATCATAAAGTCAGAACTGTAGAGATTGGATTATCTCATTAAATCCAAACTGCGAATCCTGGAAGGAAACTAATAAAATAAGGGAAAAGATATGCTTGTGGAGAAATCCACTAATCAATCATTTAATTAATATAAATATTTATTTGAAACTTTTCTCTTTCTCAATATTTCAGTGTAGTGTTTTCCAGACCAAAGTTTTGAACATGATCCAAACGGTTTGCGCTTACTATATTAATAAGAAACTCATGCAATTAATCTTTATTGAAATTTGATAACATTAAAATAATGCTGTTGGTGCAATATTGAAGGAGGATAGAAGGGGTTCAACATAGTTGGACTGAATATAGCTCTTGCAGGATTCATCAAAGGTTTTGGTGAAACACATGAAGGAAGCAATCTTCATACCAATCTCCTCCAAAGCCAGAGATTCCTCTTCAGTGTATTTACTAGCACATTTAGCATACTTAGGATTCTCAGCCATTTTCTCCATGATTTCCGTAACACACTCTCCTATAACTTCTTCAGTTAGTTGAGCGCTGATCTCTGGGTTCAAAGATGCAATGTCCTCAGTGATGGTGGCATTGACATCTTCTCCATTTTCATCAATCCATCCCAAGCTCTGAAGGAAACATTCAGAGGAACTAATTTTTTCAGTCATCATTTCTGTAAGATCTTCAAATGTGGGACATTTCTTTCCCTTTCCTTTTCCTTTTCCTTTACCCTTTCCTCGACGTCTCCTTGGTGCTGCTTCTCCATCCTCCATGAAGCATTGAACAGCATCTTGCATTTTACTCTCAAGGTTAGAACCAGAGATACACATTGCATGAAGAGTCATGGTGTCCAAGCATAGTCCTTCTTTCATACTATCCATCTAAAGTAAAGAAAATCATGCAATCATAAATAACTAGTCATCAATATCTTTGCAGGGGTATGTCAGCTAAGATTAAAAAATATAAAGTATTGGCCCATGTTCTTTCAAATAAACCCAATAAATTTAAATTCAACTGTAATAACAAAATAACTTATGCCATCCACAATTCTTTATTTTGATATTCTTTTTGATGACAATTTTGGCAAAATTTACCTCTTCCATGGAGTCATGAGCCAGCGCAAATGAAGCTAGGAGAAGAGTAGAGAAGAATGTTTTCATGTTTAAGCTGGTGTTAAACTAATATCTTTTCAGTTTACACAAAGCATTTTATATCCTGCAATACTGAAGAACAAGTGTGGATGATATAGAATAATTCCAGGAAATACTCAATCAATTTCTTAGGAAAATCCCCACAAAAATACACCAACATTTATTAAATCTAGACTGAAAACTAAAAACAGAAGTAAAAATGGATCTTTTGCAATCTAGACTTATTCCCTAAAGTTCTAACTTTGGAATTAAAATACTAAAAATTTAAAACTGTATTGTTAGGTTCTTTTCCTAATGAAATTTGTTCATTTTCCTGACATCTCCGAAATACTATTTACCAAATGTCGATTTTGACTGAACAATAGACAGTGAGACACTTTTTGATAGACATGTTCTAGGTCTATAGGAATGACCCTAGATACGGGCTAGGAGTTCTCCAAATTCTAGAACAAAATGAAAACTCAACATCTAAAATTTTAATTTAATTTTGAACTTTTCAACATGTTGAATGTATGCACATTAAACTTACAAAATTTAAACATTCAGTGGCTGAATTTAAAGAATTTGAGCGGCGGTTTAAATTATGCCGTGGCTTAAATATGGTTGGTTCCACTTAAAATTGTATCAAATGTTTCAAGATTTAAGCCGGTGTGGCGTTATTTCTGGGTAAACGTTAAATAATGGTAGTAGATTATACGCAGCAAATTTTCCGCGGCATCCGCTCATATTTTTGCAGTTTAAGGCAATGCGCACAACAGAAATCTGGTATTTTATCTGAAATTTTAAAATTAGAAATTATATTTATACACTTAAAATATACACTATATGCTGATATATAATGTGAGTACAGAAGTAATTAACTATACGTTAAACTCTCATTAGTTGCAAGTATCAGAATCTTAACAATTAACTTACGTAAACTAAGCTGTCATATCGATCCCGAATGTTAAAACAATTGATTTTTACTGTCTGTCGCTCATCAAAACTTGATTGATTCTCAAATATGAGAAACACTTTCACTCAATTTACTGTTTACATTCACAGAATTGTGCACAAATGCCGCGGAAAATTTGCTGTGTAGAGTCTACTACCATTATTTAACGTTTACCCAGAAATAACGCCACACCGGCGCTTAATTTAAACCGGGTTTTGGCAGAATTATACCGCGGCTCAAATTCTTTAAATTCCATCTCAATCTGCATAAATGTTTTTAATTAATGTAATGTTAGTAATCATATAAAGCAATACAATTTTGAGAAGCCTGTTAAAAAAAGCCAAAGAACCTTGAATGATAAATTATATTAAACCATTTTCTTTCAATTAAAAATGTCGACAAATTCTTTTTTATAATTGTGAATACATTCTCTAATTTTATTATAAGACCTTTAATCCATTTGAAATTTTACAAATTACAATTTAAACGTTTATATTTGTTTTAGTAAAGTCACTTTGAGTCTTAAAGTATGGAAAAAGGACGTCCGACCTTGAAAGTCTGATAAGATACCTTAAAAACTTTAAATCTTTTACTCTTTTTTGAATTTTGTTGCATATTGGACAAATTTGCACTAACAAGTGTTTGTGTGTGTTTACAAAGCAGTGTAAATACATAAAAATTTCGACACATCTCAATTCTATGAAATTTTATATAGGACAGAAGGATTCATAAGACATAAAAAAGAAATTCTTGAAGAAATAATGTAGGTTTATATAAAAGTCTTTTAAATATGGCCCATTTTAATGTCTTTATGACATGATGAGAAAAAATACCATTGGAATTTTTGGTTAAAGTAACTAGTCAAATTTAAAGTCACTCTCAATTTTAAGATACCCCTTAAACCTCTATTTAATTAAATGGAAAAATCGTCATTTTTCTATGTTAAAGTATTTTAATAATATCTCTGAAGAGAAATGAGCAAGTTACTACTTAGCAAAACCACAATCTAAAGTAATAAACTTTTAAAGAGATAAAAATGAATATCTCTTTCAACAGACAAAGCGTTTAAGAGTACTGTTGAGGATCCAGCATGCCTCTTTATTAATGAGTTATTAGAAATTACAACTACAGACCCTTTAAATCATCAAAAAAATCTATTTGCACACTAAATAAATAATATCTTTTTGACATAAGACAATTTAGGATATATTTTCATGTTACATGTGTATTTATAAGAATATTGCAAACATTTTGACACATATCCCGGTAATTCCATAAGAAAAAATATTTATTTGTCAAGCTTCATATTTACTTAAAATAAGAATTCTGAGAAATACTTTGTAATCGATAATATAAAACATATACCAGATAAAAATAAACATAAACATAAACATAAACATAAACATAAACATAAACATAAACATAAACATAAACATAAACATAAACATAAACATAAACATAAACATAAACATAAACATAAACATAAACATACACATAAACAAACATAAACATAAACATAAACATAAACATAAACATCAAATATTATTTAAAAATAAAAATAACCGATGGGAAATAGTTATTTCCAAAAGCTTGAAAATTCATTTCATGAATTTTTTATATTTGATTTATCAAATAATTGATTGATATTATATTTTTTGATGTATTTCATATTTGATTGTTCTATAATTGAATAATTTTATTTTGAAGTACAATGTACAATGATAATCATTTAATATTTCAAAATAATAAAAATGTTACCGTAGTATATATTTTTAAGAATTACCACCCCTCCGCGGCATTTTAATGAATAATTAATTAATAACTATACCTTTCTGCAATATTTTCTAGATCTAATCCTTTGTTTGGAACTTTGTTGAGGTAAGTTTCAAGTATCTTCATCCTTACAAGCATGCAGGTTAATTCAAGGTGGGTTAACCAAAAACGAAAACCATTGAAAAGATATAGTAAAGGATGTAAATCAAGATGGAAATAAAAAGCTCACCTTCATTTAAAAATAAGAGGACGAATTTAAAGAATTTGAGCCGCGGCTTTACTTTAAACCGAGGCTCAAATATGGTTGGTTTACCTTAAAACTGTATTCAACTTGTCAAGATTTAAGCCGGCGCTCAATTGAAACCGGTTTTAGGGGGATTTGAGATTCATTAAATGCGGACAAAGGATATATAAAAAACAGATGAGCAAAAAATGTGCTTAAAACTTATCTTATCTTATCTAACTATACCTTGTTAATCTGTCAGGTGGAGGAATATATATGTGTGAATCAAGACGACCTGGTCTTGTTAAGGCACTATCCAGAACCCCTGAACAGTAAACAGTAAACAGTATACAGTACACAGTACACTACAGTATACAGTACAGTACGGTATACAGTACAGTACAGTATACAGTACAGTACAGTATACAGTACAGTATACAGTACAGTACAGTATACAGTACAGTACAGTATACAATACAGTACAGTATACAGTACAGTACAGTATACAGTACAGTACAGTATACAGAACAGTACAGTACAGTATACAGTACAGTACAGTATACAGTACAGTACAGTATACAGTACAGTATACGGTACAGTACATTATGCAGTACAGTACAGTATGATGTATACTTTACATGCAAGAATGAAAATCATCTTTAAAAAAATAAAAACATCTAGAAAGGAACACAATAGTCGGCAAAAATTATGATTTTCTGATCGATAGATCAAAGAGTTTGAGATTGAAATATCAATCAGGTTGAAAAATATAAGAGTTAGAAAATACTCGAGTATTCAATCCATTTTGTTTACATGTAGTTTAACAGGAGAATTATTTTTAAAGAATTTGAAAATAAAAAATGTCAGAATTATTTTTTTTTGTTGGTGGGGGGGGGGGAGGTAGTTTTAATCATTACCACCCCTTGGCCTTGGGATAGGTATTATCTAGTGTCACATCAAAAAAAAACTTCGTCGTGAACCGAACCTTTAATTAATAAGAAGAAACAAAAAAATAGAATTCAAATAAATATTAAAAAGTTGTTTAACCTGGTCTGTTTGTAGCCCCAATAACAAGCACTTGTCCTGAAAATCAAAAAATAATTTATAAATCATTAAAAACTACAACAAAAATCTAAAATTTTACTGTTAATCTAAAACTAAGTAGAAAACACAACTTGAAAGCCAGTTGTTCTTCTTATATCATAAATATAGTATTTAAATGTTAAATTGGTTTGTTTAGAAAAAAAATTGATGCTCTCTGCTACAAATATGTATGTACATTGTACATTGTATACACACTTCACTTGGTTCTCCTTAAAAGGACTGGATACATAACCCATCCTGCTCTTTCCCTCCCATACCGTCCATTTCTGTCAGCAAAGCAGAAAGTACCTGAACAGTGAACTTAATAATGGAATCTACATCATAAAATAACAGTATAATGGAATCTATCTCATAAAAAATAACAAAAAATAATGGAATTCATTTTATAAAGAATAATAGAATAATGGAATCCATCTAATAAAGAATAGCAGAATAACAGAGCAATGATGAAATCCATGTAATAAAAAAGACATAATAACAGAATCAGAACAACAGAATAATGGAATCCGTCTCATAAAGAATAACAGAATAATAGAATCCGTCTTATGAAGAACAACAGAAAAATTGAATAATAGAATCCGTCTCATAAAGAATAACAAAATAATATGAATAATGAAATGCATGTAATAAAGAGACAGTAAAACAGAATAATGTTCTTTATCTCTTTGTGAAAAATAAATAGTTGAAATAAAGACTCTGTATTGAATTTTTTATATCTCAATATTTATAAGCAATTTAAGAGTAAACTTTAAGTTACTTTTTCAGTAGATAGCGCTAATCTTCTGCGGAAACTTTTGATTTGAAAAAACTCATATTTTCAAAATCTTGTTGCCGAGAACATATTTGTTTGTGTGACTACAGCTATCTTAATTTGTTGGACATTAGTATTAGGATATTCAAAGTTTCGATTTCTCTACCCAAATTTTAGAAAACACGACTTGGATAACTCAATTTTGCTCATACGAGTTGGAAGGGTATCTCTGTGAATAGAACAAATCTTTGACCTTGTCAGAATGATTAGTTTTTGTTCCCTCCATATCACGGGCTGAGACAAGGCTATCAATTTCATCTAAAAAATGAATCAATTAAAAAAATATTTCATTAAAATTAATTATTTTAAAGATTTATTATTTACCAATGAAAAGAATTGTGGGAGCAGCAAGTCTGGCCTGTCTAAACGTTTATTCAAAAATATTTAAGAGTTTGTTATAATTTTCTAAAATCATAACAGAACTAGTCTTCATCTTTAAAAGTTTTTTTTCATAGATTTCTTCAAGTCTTCAATGTCAAACTAGTTTTAGTTAAACAAATTTTCAGACAAGATTTTTCCAATTTTTTAAATTATCTATAAAATAAAGTTCTTCTCTCATATGTATATATTTATATGTTAGCTACAGCTGGCTAAACGGCTGTGACAAATGGTATGATTTTTTTTGAGGAAACCCATGGGTACCCTGGGAGTAACATAGACTAAAAAATTAGAATTTTTGTCCCTAAAAATTCGATTTTATTACTAAAATTCGAATTTTTTTTCACGGGCAACGCCGGGCACTCCGGCTAGTACACTATATAATATAAGTTAGTATTAATCTTGAAATTGAGTGTAATCTTCTGAATAATGCCTGAAAAGTTCAACTACAGCTTTCTCACTGTCACCAACATAAGGACTAAATATCTCGGCACCGCTCACTGAATAACAACTTTTCAACGTTGACGAACATATAGCTTATCTTTTTGCGAAAAAGGGTCTTTTAACATATAAAATACCCATTTTTTAGTTACGTATCCTATTTACAACATAACCCATTAAACTTTAATCTAAGCAAAATTGATGATATCCTTGTTCTCTTTCTTTAAAAAAACTGATTATTTGCAGTTATGGTTTCTGCATATAACAACATTTGAATTTATATAGCAGAGACAAGTAAGGAAATTGACAAAGTTTATCTTTTCTTAAAAAGAAAAAAGACGAATTTTTCTCTTCGTTACCTGTAACTAGATAAATAAAAAATTTCGAGATAAAATCAAATAATGATTATCATCCACAATTTAATATAATATTAGTTTTGTATTCTTTAAAAATATAGAATGGCAGATTTTCTATATTTTTCTGTCCTAGCATGATTGGTATTGATTATACTTCTCTTGGAGGCGTTGTTGGTATTTACAAATTTGTAAAGGATTTGGGTACCGTTGTGAATCTGCCGCATTAAAGAAAGGGTCAAACTACAATGACACTAACAGTCCCAATTAAAAATAGTAAAGTTGAAAGTTTCCTGAAAGCAAAGTTGCTCCAATATTACTGGCAGCAGCTCGGACTAGTCTAGTCTTTCCACAACCTGGAGGACCGTACAGGAGCAATCCTAGTAATCAATCCTTTTACTAAACCATGTACATTGTACACCGTACAGGAGCAATCCTAGTAATCAATCCTTTTACTAAACCATGTACACTGTACACCGTACAGGAGCAATCCTAGAAATCAATCCTTTTACTAAACCATGTACACTGTTGGTATAGTACAGAAGTAATCCTAGCAATATCTTGTACTGAACCATGTAAATTGTACACTGTTAGCTTTACAGTGTATAGTGTACATTAGTAACTTTTTGTACTATGCACCATGTACATTGTACACTGTACACTGTACAAAAGTAATCCTAGTAATTATATTTATTACTAAACCGTGTACACTGTACGCTGTACAGCATACAGGAACAATCCTAGTAATCATATTCTGTACTAAATAATGTACATTGTACACTGTACAGGACTAACCCAAGTAATCATATACTGTATTAAACCACGTACATTGTTTATTGTACAGTAGTAACCCTGGTAATAGCTTGTAGTAAACCATGTACATTGGTAGGTAGGAGACCTAGAAATCATATCTTGTACTGGTGTGTTTAAAGTGTACAATGTACAATGTACATTAAAAGTAAGGAATACCTTTATCAATAATATGAATTCCGTCTCTAATTTGATTTTTTTGGGAAACAAAATTTAACGATAAAAAATAATTTAGGTATAAAAAATAATGGTACCTTTAGATGGTTTGATACCAAGTCTGGTAAATGCTTCTGGATTCCTGGAGACAAACTATTTAGACAACAATAGAAAAATAAAATAGTAATTTAAGAATCCGTTTGGAAATAAAATTTTCCTGAATGAGAACATTTAGATATTTTTTGTGTAGTTACTGTAGTATTCTTTTCTGAGCAATGTTGCGGCTAATTTCCTAATTGGCCATTCAACTGCTCTTTCAAGTTTTCTCTTCACATCTTCCATTCACCTAGTACAATATACCAGTCAATTTATAATAAAAGGGAAGCTTTTCTGAGCAATATTGCGGCTAATTTTCCTAATTGGCCATTCAATTGCTCTTTCAAGTTTTCTCTTCACATCTTCCATTCACCTAGTACAATATACCAGTCAATTTATAATACGAAGGAAGCTTTTTGTGAGAGGGGGGTGGGGTTATTTTTTATATCTTAATAGGATTGTCGTCAAAGTTTGAGTTACCCTGCAATTTAATCGGGAGCAGGCTTGATTCAAAACCATCATCTGATCAATAATGAGAAAGATACTAACGTCGTTTTTAATTCAGATAAGTTTTAAATCGTTGCTGAAGCAAGATATGAGTAAGTCACTTTAAGTTCTAGTTCGTACTTAATCATACACAGTTTTGAACGGTAGAGTTGTGAATGGAGGGCCGACCACTTGAAGAATTTACGTTCACAGTCCCTTTAAATCAGATAATACTTTATATTTGTGAACAGGACTAAATTCATGGATGGACAAAATCTTTAAAATTCGAAAGTAACTTGAAATCTTTCTTCAAATTCTATGTATGAAGCATGCCTCCATCTATATATTTTATTTCTTTAAATCATTTAAGAACTGAGATGTAAATCATATTTTAAAGTTGAAATCTCTTAAAGTTTGCTTTTATTTGTGCCAATTTTTTAATCTCGCAAAAGACGACCAAAAGGGAAAACAAAACACAAAAATTAAAAACAATATAAATAATGCAATTCACAAATGGCAAGGTTAACTCATTTTATTTTATATCTTCTGTCAGAGTACACATTTGGCAAACCTTAAAACAGTAATCCAATTTTTGGAACATTTAACGTCATTTTATGAATATCCAAGAATTTCCCAAAACCTTGATGTTTCGAAACGAATGAAGAACTATGTGCGATTACCTATAGAATCCCAAGATATAGTCTCCAGGTTGACCCATCCTAGTCCTAGTCGGAGACCAGAGGGAACAGTGATATCAATACACTTCTGTATCCCCGTCCAACCAGACCCTAACATTATTTATCTGATATAATCTTCGAAAAATTTGAAAGAATATCAGAAAACAATGATAGAATCTCTGCAGGCTTTGATAGAAACTCTGAAAACTTTTTCAAGAATATCAGAAAACATTGATAGAATCTCAAATGCTTCGATAAAGATTAATTTTTAAACATGTCGTTTTTTGTTTGCTGGAAAAATATAACCCGACGTCTAATAGAGCTACTCGGGGGTCAAAATTAATGATCAACGAAAAGAAATTGAACTGTTGAAAGGAGAACTAGCTATACCTGGTTCAACTACTTACGTTTTTCTGTGAATCGGGAATGTATCTATAGATTGAGCCTCTCACTTAAAATTAAGTGAGCTGTCCCTTTTTAATAAAGCTATACCTGGATCAGCCCAAAGTATTCTCCGAGTCAGCAGAGCTAGATCAGAGGCAAGATATCCTCTCGTGCAACCAGCAATCTTCTCCAAGTAACCAGCCTTAAAGAGACATCAGGAAAAATTGATTTCCAACTACCGGTGAAGTTGTTTTGTCACACTTTTTTCAAGTGTACATTTTCAGCATGATTTTTTTATAACAAAATGATCTCACCTCTAGGTTTAGCTTTAACTGTTCTTCCAAACATTCAAGAATACGCAATCTTTCATCTTGTGTCGGAACCTTAAATTAATGTTTATGTAAACTCGTTTTGTAAATTTTAGATACATTTAGAATTCCATAGAAAACCTTTGAAAGCTTATTTGCATCTTATTAGACCAGGCTAACTGTTTACTAATGGTTGTCCACTCTCGTCCATGTCCTTGTCCCTGTCCCTGTCCCTGTCCCAGCTCTTGATCAGGTATATATTCTCCACCATCCTCGTCATTTCTACAAATACAAAAATNTCCTGTCCTGTCCTATCCTGTCCTATCCTGTCCAAAACTACTTCTCTACTTTGACCGGCAGTGAGCTAAAAAAATGTAAAAATAGCTTTTCCTAGCTCAACTGCTTCAGCAACCGGCATCTGTTTTCACAATAATTACTTCTTGTCAAAATAATTACCTGTTTTCACAATAATTATCTGACCTTCATGAAGAATTCGACCCCAAGGCGACCAGGTCTTCTCAAACCAGGGCTAACCTCCTGAGGTTTAGTTGTAGTCACAACCACCACAATATTATCTGAACAAATATTATTATAATTTAATATAATTAATAATCATTTTATCATTATTATTATATTATTATAAACTATTGATTATATACATTAATAATAATGATACCTGAAGGTTTGTATTCATCAAGATAAGAAGAAAGTATACACTTTTGATTATATACATTAATAATAATGATACCGGAAGGTTAATATTCATCAAGATAAGAAGAAAGTATAAACCATTGATTATATACATTAATAATTATGATACCGGAAGGTTTATATTTATCAAGATAAGAAGAAAGTATAAACTATTGATTATATACATTAATAATAATGATACCTGAAGGTTTATATTTATCGAGATAAGAAGAAAGTTTTGAAATCCCTTGCAGCAGATGAATTCCCTTCTTTCCACCTGAAAAAAAGTAGAAATTAGCAGGAAATTATACGAAATTTGTTTTCTTAAAATTTTGTTATTTTACTTCAATATATTATGATAACAATCATGAGAGAACAAAAAATATTCCCGCCTTAATAAAATAATCAGTTTTTGAACTTATGAGCGTTGATATCCAATTCATACTTGATCAGACAAAGCTGTTCAGGGTACCGTTGTGAATCGGGCATTGTTATCTTTGGTTGGAACGTCACTTACAACTGCGCTTGTTGAATTCTGATCAGAGTTTCCATTTTTGATATTTCGCCTACAGTCCCCTTAACTCCTATTAAACACCCCCTAGTCATCGTCTAGAAAATTTATCTTCAGCAGTTTACCTGCTGTTTCAATATTTCGAAGAACAAGAATAGTTCCAGGATTATCAGGATCCTGAGCAGAGATCTCCTCAGCTTCATCAAATATCTGTTCAAGAGCACCTGAGCCCGAACCTGTTACAGTTAGATCATAAGTTTACTTTCTATAAAAATAATTTATGGCGTATTTTCATCACAGTGATATGTGATATGATATAGATGATGACAATGACAATGAAAATAATAATAACAATAACATTAAGAATGATGATAATGATAACGATGACATTGATGATGATAATGAAAAAGACAAAGACAATGGTGATGAGGATAAGGATTCTTAAGATCCTGAGCAGAAATCTCTTCAGCTTTATCAAATATGTGTTTGAGAGCACCTGAGCCAGACCCTGTTACAGGTATATCATAAGTTCACTTTTTATAATAATAAATTATGGTGATTATCAGTTTTATGTGAAAATGATAAAAATGACAACAATAACTTAACAATTTTAATTCGATAACATTGATTAATAATTATGATGATGAGAACAATGCCATTGATGATGACAAAGGCAAAGAAAATAATGATGAGGATAAGGATTTTCCATAGATCTCTTCAGCTCCATAAAATATATGTTGATCACATTTTTAACAGTTGCCACTAACCTAATTCTGAGCAGTCTTGAGATATAACCGGCCACTCAAGGTCTGCAGCCAGCCGGTTAACCAGTGATCCTTTCCCACAACCAGAAGGACCTTCAAACAGAGCGTGAAGGACTAACCTTTTAGGTAGTCTTTTGTAATTAAACTATTTTCTAGAAACCCATGGTCTTTAAGTATGAAATATACTTTTTAGATAAACCATATGCAAATCAGTTATCATTTCTTAAAGGTTAAGTGGTTATGATAGTTCTTTCAATATCAAATAATTATTAACTTACTCATAGCTGGAAACTTTTAAACAGATGAAATGAGTTTAAACCACACCCTCTCAATATTGAATATTCTCATAAATTCTGACCCATGACATATCAGCTAATCTCCCCACGAGAATAAAATAAATATTCTAAGCCCATTTAAAAGTTTCCATCTCCGACCTGAGAGCAGAATATGTTGATTCTTCTGCCGGAGACATTTGTAGAGTTTGCTATATAATCCCTCTACACCACCAACCTTTAGTAAAAATATTAAAAAATGCTGATATTTGGAATAACCCCCCCCCCCCTAAATCCATAGCCCTCCTCAATTTAACTAAGGTGGGACTCTATTTAATCACAACCTACTGGAGACTAATAACGGTCTTGGAAAGTAAGACCCATTAATTTGTGGAAAAGAAAGACGAATGGACTCAATTTTATGATTTTAAAAAGCCACTGAACACAAAAATACAGCAATTTTAGTCATTGTACAATGTACACACACCCATTTCATCAAACATGACAAAACACTAAAAATGCTGTCCCTCCTGTTCCTTACCAGTGGAGCAGATTTGGTTTTCTTCATCCGATGAATATATCTGGTGGTGTAAACTCTAGCAATCTATAAAAAGACTGTTATCAACTGTTTTAAATATTGGAAAATAAAACGGAAGTGCAATTACTATGGATTACAGTCAACTCTGGACTGTTGAAGTTTTATCCTTTGTGGATAACCCTGTAGATATTAGTGCAATTCCAAAACCATTCCACACACAACTAGTGTTACAACCATTTACAGACAAAATTGCAATAATCAATACATATTCTCAAAAATATCTATGAGCGGCCAAAAAAATAAAAAAAATAGGAGGAAAATGCGCATTTTAAAATGGGTGAACACTGAACGTTTTATCTACATTTCATATTTTGTATTTGGGTTTTTCTCAGATTATATATTCCATTTGAAGTACGAGACACGTAAAACCTAAGATGATCATTTTAGGAAAGTTTTTTGAGTTTAATTGGGTGAAGGGGTTGATGAGACCATAGTAGTGTTGAATGAGATGTTTTGTTCGATCCGATCCTGTCCACTGTTAGGACTAAGTCCTAGAGTCCATGTACTTTTTAGTCATACTTTTTATATAGATTTTACCTTGATGTTTGTAAGCCTGTTGATTTTATAAGAAAAGCCAGATTTGTCTAATTTAAATCCTAGAAATAATTAATCCTGTTTCGTCTTGACTTTGAAAAATATAAATGTTTGCAAAAAATGGATTTTCTGAACTGAATAGTAAACGTAATTTAAGTGACCCTCCATTTATTATGGCATTTCCGCTTCACAACGGTTTCAACTAAACCTTTATCTGAATAACAATGCGGAAGATATCGGTATTTCTCCATAAAAAGTGATGAATTTTGACAATTTTATTCATGGTTCCTGAACACAAAAACATAAGTCACTTTTCATTAGGAAACCACATTTATAAATAATCCAATTTAACTTGAAAAACAACGAAATTTTAATTCCTTCTTGATCAGACAGAGGTTTAAAATGTACTATTGTGAATCGGACAAATCTTCGATTTTTTTAATGAAGGGGTATTTAAAAGTTCGTCTACAATCCCTTTCATTCTTTACAAAGATTATTTTGCTATTTCTTGGTTTCCTAAATGAATTTGGACTGCTGAAATATGATGTAATTTAGCCACTGTATTTTCCTCTAGCAGTACAGTTGTATTGTTTACAAAACAAACATTATGCAGTACATCTCTTAGTATCTCCGAATACCCTTCCATGTCTTCGATTTTCTTTGTTAAAACAAGAACAACTGAAATTGACCCTACTGTTGTAAGATTAAGTTTCTCCAGAGTACTCTGCTGAAGACCTTGCTGAGGGGTTAGATGAGGAAGGAGTTCTCCAAGGTTCTGTATTTGGGACCCTGTACTACATATTCCACTGCTAACCTCTCTACACAATAAATACCAATTAATACATTGAAAATCAATGGCTTTAGAGTGATTTTATCTTTGATAACTAAGAATTATGAGAACATTTCTTCGATTTGTAAGACTAATCCGATGTTAGCGTCAAGAGTGGAATATTTCAAGATCGCGAAGGAAAGTATAATCAACCTACTCTACCAACTGCCATCGCTAACCTTAACAGCTCTAAGCTATCTAAGCTCTCCTGCTGCAGAAGTTTTACATTTACAAATATAATATATCTCAGGCTGCGCCTTTCGGTGAATTATTAAATTTATTCCACAGTTTTTCTTTCAATATTATAACAATAATTTTAATTATTACACTTTCTTCCAACGGACAGTATTATATTACTGTAGAAAAACACATGATTTTTATTGACACTACAAACTTTTTTTAGGCATGCAATGGTTAGACATTTAAAAATAAAATCTAAAAACTAGTGGAATATATTGTCACCTGATCCTATGAAGGAAAACTCTGGCAATAAAGGATCTATTTATGAGAACAATGTTTCCAGGTTTAAGTCCAGTTCTTCTCATCCAACCTTCTCCTACAATATATTAATTTTAAGCTCTTCTCATCCAACCTTCTCCTACAATATATTAGTTTTAAGTTCTTCTCATCCAACCTTTCCATACAATATATTAGTTTTAAGCTCTACTCATCCAACCTTCTCCTACAATATATTAGTTTTAAGCTCTACTCATCCAACCTTTTCCTACAATATATTAGTTTTAAGCTCTTCTCATCCAACCTTTTCCTACAATATAATAGTTTTAAGCTCTTCTCATCCAACCTTCTCCTACAATTTATTAGTTTTAAGTTCTTCTCATCCAACCTTCTCCTACAATTTATTATTTTTAAGTTCTTCTCATCCAACCTTCTCCTACAATTTATTAGTTTTAAGTTCTTTTCATCCAACCTTCTCCTACAATATATCATTTTTTAGCTGAACTCCTTCATCTAGAGCTAAACTCATTTCTATAGAGCTGAACTAATTTTAAACTCATCTTGGAGTTTAACCGTTTCTATGGCACCACTCTAGTCAAGGATTAAAGATATAGAGCTGAGCTACAGTCCTCGTTGTATGTATCAATACAATGAAGACGACTTCTTCCATGCTTTCAAACACATAAACATACACATACATATGGAAACAAAGAGAAGCTATCAACTAACAGCTTCTCTTTGTTTACTTGTAAACTCAAATTTGAGAAAAGGATGATAGAGATCAAAACTTAAATAGAAAAGTCGTCTTCACTGTATTGATACAAACGCCGATCCCTGTATGAAGTTCAACTTTATTTTCGACTCAGTCAAAATTTTTGAATTCTCCTGTACTCTTTGAAATTCAAAATTAAAAACCCTTATTGTTTTTGTATTTTGTGTTTCAGGTTTCGTTACATTTAACTTCAACATAAAACGTAAACTGTAGCTTAAACTCAATAATTAAGAATATTTGTTGTATTTACTGCTAAATGCGCATTTTGTTAATGCCTTTTCTGATGTTTTCTCATTTTCTGGTTCTGCTAAAAATATTTCTAATAAAAGAAATAATTAAAGTTTGTGGGATTCTTCTTTCGAAAAAATATCTTGTTTAATAGAAAATTAATTGTGTATAAGGAAGCCATTCTTGTATACCTATATACAGCTTCTGTAATGAACTTTTCTCCGGTTTCACAAAATCAATCTCAATGCTTTCCATATTGTTTTCTGAAATTAACGAATTTTCTTAAACAAAACAACCTTGTCTACCCTCAAACCTCGTCCACAAAGGGTCGTTTGGGGTCCCTTGGCAGCCCCCTTTTCTTGCCAAGGGTGATGTTTGCAATGGATAAATAATCTTGTATCTGTAGGTTCCATGAGTTTTGAAAGAAGTGTATGGGCGAGGGAGGGAACAATGGGTTGAAGTAGGATTCCACAAACCCTGGCACATTTTAACATTTTACTTCATTCAGATAGATAGAAATACAGATAGATATATAAATAGGTATTTATCTAGATAACTTGATATATAGATAGATAAATAGATAAATACATAGATAGATAGAGAGATAGGTAGGCAGATTGATAAATAGATAGACAAATAAATAAATAAATAAATAAAGATAGACATAAAGAAAAACATATATGTATAAAGTTAGTTAAAAAATATTTGGGGATTTGAAAAAATTCAGAATTGTTGAGGTATCTTTGATAAAATATTTCACACATAAATTTTTTTTATTGAAATATTAACGCTTAAATTTTATAAAAGGTTGCGAATCAAATCAAATCAAATCAAATCAAATCAAATCAAATCAAATCAAATCAAATCAAAGTTATTTAGAATTTCCAACTAAAAAATGAAGATGGACTCTCTATCAAGCTTGTGATGAAGGACGAGACTAAATGGTATTTGTGGAAAGTTACTTTGCCAGTCTCTTCTAGTATTTTGAAAAATATTAGAAAATTTGACAAAAAATCCTAATTTTTCATTGACTTAGCTAAAAGATAAAACAGAAAAAAATAAATTAAAAAGAAAAGCAAAATGTACATCCCTAAGACTCTCGAGACTGAGCGCCAGAACAAAATTTAATCTTTCTGGATTCATTTTCTTCAACTCCCAGGGCTTCTCCTCCTGTCACAAAAAAGGAATGGTTCATGAAATCAGAAAATGGAATTAAAGGGATGCTTCATAAAATCAGAAAATGGGATTTAAGACGAAAACAAAATTTTTGCCGACTGCTTTAGAAAATTCGTAACAAAAAAGACCTCACTACATATATTCAATGAGATTTTAAAATTATGATTATTTTAACAATGTTTTTAATTAATTTTCAAAAACCTCTATTTTGATAAATCTACTAAAATTGACCAATTAAACTGTTGAATAGGAAGAAGACTCAAGTGAAATGAATATCAAACGCAACACTTACACAGTTAAAAGACCCATTTTACTTCATAAAATGTTTTAAGCTAATATTTCATAAAAATGCCTATGAACAGAATTTCTTCTGGATACATTTAGGTTCAAGTTTTTAACCCTTGGGCGTCATAAATAATCATATTTGCTTCATATTAACATCTAATTTCAAAGCTAATCTCCACCTAATTGCTTTAATACATACATATAGTAAACAGTATAAAAATAGTTGTAGATTTTTTTCCTGTAACATTATAACTTGTATGTGTATTTTTAGCAATAAACTACATCTTATCTTATCTAATACACTAAATTACTTGCATGTCGTCTTCCTATTCCAAAGTTTTATGCGTTTCTTCTCGCTTTACGATATTCACAATATAATATACAGAATCAAGTTTATTTTTTGACCTGGACGAACAAGTTGGTTAATCTCAAGACATCCATTATTAACACGATTCCCTAAAAATATAAGTTTTCATGACAAATTCACTTTATATTGGGCTTATTAGTATTCAACTGTATTATTCAATCCTAATAATAATAATAATAAAAATATTTGGCCAGAAAAATAGGGTGAATTCTTCGTTTGATTAAAAAAGTAAAAAAATCAAGAACAGTTTTGACAATATTTGAAGAAAAGGATTTCGGTCTGTAATTTACTCCAATCAGTGACAAATTTTTTGGAGTAAATATTGAATGAATTAAACAGTAAACAAATTCTCATTTTCTAATCCCTAAATCTTGGGAGCCTGATTAAACTACCACGTATCTAGATTAAATGTTTAAGTTTAAAACCAAAATTACAATATTATGTGAAACTATCTCAAGTGACCGGCGTTGCCAGTAGAATTTAAAAATACTAGGAAAATAAAAATTTAATTTTGAAAAAAAATCTATTTTTAGCCTATCAATGGATTCCCTTAAAAAAATGTCAGCCAATTTGGTCCAGCCGTTTGGCCAGCTATTGCTGACATATATATACATAGCATACATTCATACATACAAATATATATGTATGAGCGAAGAGCTTTATTATAAAGAACGTTTAAACTTGCCTGATAAAAGTTGAAAGTATCGTATGCTGTTTTAACAGTGTCGGGTAAGGATTCAAGATGATCTATTAAACTACTAGACAAGGTGGTGGAAAAATTCTTAAATATGCTTTTTATCAACTTATGGAAGAAGTAATTTGAAGCTAAATGCAATTTAATTTGTTTGTACACTGCCTATGCTCTAGTGACTCTATAGTAGCGAATTAAATTTAAGAAGAAAAAATTGCGCATTCTTTTAATTTTGAAAACTTTACAATCTTTTTTCCAAAATTGTTGTTGAGTTTAGTACGATGAAAAAATGACGATTTGAAAAGCAACAGTTAGAAGCTAAAATAGTTACTAGCAAAGCCGGCGCCACATATTCGAATACATTTGAGAAGAAAAGTGTAATAAGCAGCATATTCCTGAAAACATGGATTCCAATCAGGAATTATTTGCGATGGATTCACACCATTTGAACAGGATCGATTCAATAGGTTTCCTAAAATTGATTAAAGTTGACCAAATCGAGCCATTTTCTAAAAATGGATGAAATTCGCCAGATTTACAAAAATTGTTCAAATCAACAGATTTCATAAAAATCGAAAAATGCACCAATTTCCAAAAATTGATCAATTCCACAGATTTCGTAACATTGACTAACTGATTGGACAAATTTCCTAAAACTGATCAATTTTTAAAATTTTTTGAAAAATTGATCAATTTAATAGATTTCCTAAAATTGATCAATTCAACAGATTCTCTAAAATTGTTCTATTTAATAGATTTCCTAAAATTGATCAATTCAACAGATTCTCTAAAATTGATCAATTTAATAGATTTCCTAAAATTGATCTCAACAGATTCTCTAAAATTGTTCTATTTAATAGATTTCCTAAAATTGATCAATTCAACAGATTCTCTAAAATTGTTCTATTTAATAGATTTCCTTTCAACAGATAAAATTAAACCCTCTGAAAGGACTGAAGAATTAACTTAAACTCAAATTTTCTAATATCTTTGCAACCTTATGTCGTAGACTATTCATGTTTAAAACTATGAATTCTGATAAAATACATAATCAAAGTTGGAAATCTAAAAGGGTTACACCTTACAAAGATAAAAAGAATAAAATATTACGGAAAGCGTTTAGTTCCTTTAAATAAACTTCAAGCTTACCTAATGTATCTGCTAGTTCATGGTTCAGGTAATGCAACATTCTATAAATATGGAGTAAATAGGATTCATGTCGGGAATATGTTTATTTTAATTAAACTATTACATCCTTAGCAATAATATTCTATAAACTATAAATTCTTTAACCCTTTCCCATGATTTATCCCTTATAGTTGAGATAGGGGAGTGTTAAACATGTCCCTAGTCTAACTTTTCCCATGATTTATCCCTTATAATTGAGATAGGGGAGTGTGAAACATGTCCCTAGTCTAACTTTTCCCATGATTTATCCCTTTATTTAATATAGGGGAGTGTGAAACATGTCCCTAGTCTAACTTTTCCCATGATTTAACCCTTATAATTGAGATAGGGGAGTGTTAAACATGTCCCTAGTCTTACTTTTCCCATGATTTATCCCTTATAATTGAGATATGGGAGTGTGAAACATGTCCCTAGTCTAACTTTTCCCATGATTTATCCCTTATAATTGATATAGGGGAGTGTGAAACATGTCCCTAGTCTCCCTTTACAAGCTCAGACAATTACTTTAAAATTCTCATTTATATTCTCAATAAATGTATTTCCCAAAAACTTTTGAATCATATTATTATTAAAAAGTAAATAATTAATTTATAACAATACATTCAATACTAAGAGAACAAATCTTTCCTAGAGATATTTTAAATGACACTAGTATTTACCTATCATGACAAAAGTTTCCATCCATATGCGGAACCCCTTCTCTTAACAGCATGTACCTTGTACCGTCTACACCATACCTATCAAGCAATCATTTATCATGATCGATAATATTGGTTTGATCTTTGATCACGATAGTTGATAATGGTTTCATCACTGATCATGTCTTGATCATTGATTATGTATTGATCCTTGATTACATTTTGATCATTAATTATGTCTTGATCATTGATTACGTTTTGATCATTGATTACGTTTTGATCATTGATATGACTTGATCATTGATTACGTTTTGATCATTGATATGTCTTGACCATTGATTACGTTTTGATCATTGATTATGTCTTGATCATTGATCATGCTTTGATCAAAGATCGCCCTTCTATGATTGATTATGCATTGATTATTGATTATACTTTGATCGTTGATCATGCTTTACTCATTAGTCATGACTTAATAATTGATCATATTTTGATCAATGATCAATGATCATGCTTTGACCATTGTTCAAGCCATACATTTATTACTAAAAAGTTTGATAAAAATCTTGCCTTTTATCTTTTAGATTAAAATTTCAATCATAGGAAATAAAAAAATTATCAATCATTTATATAAAATAAATCTAACTTACTTAGTTATGAGATCATGTGGATTTAGAACATTGCCTAAAGATTTAGACATCTTTACATCGTCCACCATCCAGTGGGAGTGAACTAAAATTTTACGCGGCAAAGGCAGTTCGAGAGCGCTCAGAAATCCCGGCCAGTAAATCGCGTGGAACTTGAGAATATCCTTTCCTATCACGTGGACCGAGGGCGGCCATATTGGAATTTGTTCTCCTTGTTTGTATCCAGCTACAGTTAAATAATTTGCAAGAGCATCCAGCCAAACATAAATTGTGTCTCCAATCTCATCTTCTACGAAGAAATAAAAATTGTGTATTAAAACATAACTCTAATGTTGCATATTAAAATTATGTGAACTTATAATAATGGAAGTTTAAATCAAAACCATGATGGTTGTTGCTGGGGTTTCATTCATGAACAGGAGAGGCGAAGACGCCATGCTTTTATAAATGCTAGCACAAACCATTGCAATGTGCAATAAGGATCAATCTGATGGAGGGTGGGTTATTGGCGCCGTTCGGGGTACCAGATACTTCATGATTACTGGCAAAATAAAATAAATGTTATGTGTATTTGAAGTGCTGAAGAAAGTGTTAGGAACAAATTTTTTGCACATAAAAAACTTCTTACAGAGAAGTGAAGGTGCTAATTTCACGACATTTTCTACCTGAGTCTGGGGCAGATATTCCCCATTTTAATCTAGATTTAGGTCGAGAAACAGATAAATCACCAAACTTTTCATCTTCTAACCATGCGGAAACCTAGCAGGAACAATTCTTATTTAAAGGGACTGTCGTCGTAATTTAAGTGATCCTCCATGTATAGACGGTATAACGGTACCATTGAAACCTTTCACAGAACAATAATTTCTTCAGATAAAGGTTTATTCTGAAAATTCCTATATGTTTTCCCACAGTAGAAATGCACATGTCACTTTTGTAGAGAAAGTACAATTAAAGTAATCAGTTTTCAAAATCATAAACATTAATATCTTATTTATACTTAATCAAAAAAAGGATTCACCACAAAGGGTCAAACGACCCAGGGTCAAACGACACAGGGTCAAACGACATAAGGGTCAAACGACACAGGGTCAAACGACAAAGGGTCAAAAACGCGACAAAGGGTCAAACGACACAGGGTCAAACGACAAAGGGTAAAAAAATGCGACAAAGGGGCAAATTTTTTTAAATTTTGAAAGTTAGTATTTTTTATTATTATTTAGGATTAGGTTAGGTTCATTCTGGGCCTAGCGCTGCGGCTAGGACAGGCTAGGGGGCCGAGCGCTGTGGCCACATGGTCAATTATATCCATTTATTTATTATTATTTAGGGTTAGGTTAGGTTAAGACACTTTCTGGGCCGAGCGCTGCGGCTAGGACAGACTGGGGGGGCCGAGCGCTGCGGCCACGGGTTAGGTTAGTTAAGACAATTTCTGGGCCGAGCGCTGCGGCAAGGACAGGCTAGGGGCCGAGCGCTGCCGCCACATGGTCAATTATATCCATGTCTAACATAAGATCCATGTACAAAATTGATAGGAGGGTTGCGAGTTTCCTATGATTCAAATCAAAAAATATTTTTATCATTTAGACAGTTAGATACCTGTTAAGTTGTTATCCATTCTTTTTTACTAACACTGTACAAATTTGTTGACTGAAAAAATAATTATTGGTTTCTATATTTATAATTCAATGCAATGAATATTTTTGTCTACAAAACTATGAAAAAAAGGTTATAAATATACATATAATATAATATAAGCTGCAGCAGAATCCGTCATTTCTTGGTTTACAGTCCCAGTAATATCAGCAAAAACTGCTCTTGGGGCAACTGTAGGCAGGTTTGCAGCAGCCATTATTTTCTCCTGCTCAACAGCTCGAACTTTATTCTTCACAAACCTATTTCCATGGGCATGGTCGGGTTTAACGGACTTAATTATCCCAGATTCATCGATAAGAATGGCTCTAGCATCGCATTTTTCAGCAATCTTATCCCGACACCTCAAATAGCTTACACCCGTCTTCTTGTTTACACTTGTCTTCTTGTAAATGTTGCCAACCCGACCATTATGGAAGCCAGAATCAGACTAAAGTTTTAATCTTCAAAAAGGTTTTGCGGATTTTTGGGATTAAAAATGCGAGTTTCCTATGATTTAAATCAAAAAATATTTTTATCATTTTGACCTTTTGTCGTTTGACCCTTTGTCGTACTTTTGACCCTTTGTCGTTTGACCCTTTGTCGTTTGACCCTTTGTCGTTTGACCCTTTGTCGTTTGACCCAGTGTCGTTTGACCCTTTGTCGGTGAATCAAAAAAAGCTGTTATGGGTACCGTTGTGAATCGGAAATGGACGATTTCAAAGATCTACATTTAGTGACATACTTGAGTAATTAATTAAACCTACTTGTCCTTGAAACTGTGCTGGCTGAATAGGTTGACAATCCTTTAACCATTTTAATATTTTCTCCTTCTGATCACTTAACCTAGAAAATAAATATTTATGATATAATTCATTCAAAACAATTCTTTAACCTTGAACTTAGGCTTTAAGGGACTGTAAAGGAAAAATGAAAGGGGGTATAGGCTGAAACCTGAGAATCTCAGGAGTTGATTGAGACCTATAAGAGTTTTATCTGATGTTTCTGTCTCGAGAAATTAATAAAAAACTGTGTCAAAATTATACCAAAATTATACCAAAAAATTATTCGTAGTATTAAACAGATCATAGTCCGCAAATACGCAACCAATCTGAAAACGACGATATCCCAGAGGAGTCTGAGAAACTCAGGTTTGCTCCTATTATTATTTGAATTTAATAATTTTTCATTTTAAATAGATATGATTTATAATATTATTCATACTTCCGGATCAATTGACCAGAACTCCAACCAATGGCAGTGTAGTGTTATTATCCCGTGATACGGACGTATATCTTTCAGATATACGTTTTGGTATAATTCTGACACAGCTTTATGTCAATTTCTCGAGACAGGAACAACAGATAGACGTCTTAAAGGTATCGTTCAACTCCTGGTAGTCTCAGGTTTAAGCCTATACCCCCTTTCATTTTTCCTTTACAGTCCCTTTAAGCAGTAAACATATTTTATCCATTCTTTTAAAATTAGTTATTAGCGTAATAGAGTACCCGTTCATCAAACCTAGAGAAAACTGACCATTTTCTGACCACAGGGGTTTCCGACATAAAATTTTATTTTAGTTTTACAAAGGTTAGGTTATGCTAAAAGGTTAGAAAAAGTTGTAACCCGTAAAACCACGCGGGGACTGAGAGTTAGAACTACTCGATAATTAGGTAGGAATCCCTTAAGGCAGGTTTACCTAAGGTTGGTTCCCATTACGTAAGCATTAGTTCATTAGTTTAATAATGATGGCTCCTCGGATTAAAGATATAATCTCAATGGTTGATTTTGTAATAAAAAGGGTCTGTTGAGACGAAGTGTTCCTTTTAATTTAAAAATACAGTTGTTTTTGTTTAATAAAGAATAAAAACTTAACAATTCTTTCAGTTGTTAAAGAAAATTCCTTTTTTCTTTAACATTTTCAATCCTTAATGGAACTATTGTCCGCCCACCTGAAACACCAATTTTCCTCTGACGCCCACTCCACCCTGTGACCACTTTCTAAACTATAATGAACCCCATCCCTCTCCTCCACCTAAAACAATAAAAAGCCTCTAAATAATATTCAATTATCTATTTGAAATGAAGAGGCATTCAGGCCTAAACTGCTTCTGGAAACAAAAAATGAAAACTGTGCACCATACGGTATAAACTTAAAGTATATACTTCAGGATTTATTCCACTGTACAAATACAAAAAAAAGACACGAAAATCAAATTGTACAAAGTAAACGCTGGTAGTGGTAAATCTAACTTAAAACATTTGTTCATATTTACCACTACAAACTATACGGTACAATATTCTTTGTACTACTCTATCTGTGAAATTGTTAATTCTACATACTGTACAACGTTTATTGTAAATATGTACCTGTGTGCTTGTTTGAATTGTACAACTCTACCATGTGTACTTGTTAGAATTTTACAACTGTACCTTGTGTACTTGTTAGAATTGTACAACTCTACCTGTGTACTTGTTTGAATTGCTCAACTCTAACTGTGTACTTGTTAGAACTGTACAACTCTACCTGTGAACTTGTTAGAATTGTATAACTGTACCTTGTACTTGCTAGAATTGTAAACTCTACCTGTGTACTTGTTAGAACTGTACAACTCTACCTGTGTACTTGTTAGAACTGTACAACTCTACCTGTGTACTTGTTAGAATTGTATAACTGTACCTTGTACTTGCTAGAATTGTATACAACTCTACCTGTGTACTTGTTAGAACTGTACAACTCTACCTGTGTACTTGTTAGAACTGTACAACTCTACCTGTGTACTTGTTAGAACTGTACAACTCTACCTGTGTACTTGTTAGAACTGTACAACTCTACATGTGGACTTGTTAGAACTGTACAATTCTACATGTAGACTTGTTAGAATTGTACAACTGTACCTTGCGTACTTGTTAAAATTGTACAACTCTACCTATGTACTTGTTTGAATTGTAAAACAGTACCTATATAATTGTTAGAACTGTACAACTCTACCTGTGTACTTGTTAAAAAAGCTTCATCCTGTACGCTGTACCAGGAGCTGTAGGTAGTCCTGTACAGATTTCCAGACGCATAAAGCTGCTTCCATATACTGTCAACAACAGTCTAGACAAATTTAATGTTGTTTAGGGATATTTTCAAGGAGACAGGGAACATTGAAAATTAAAGGCATTAAAGGGGAAAACATTAGATCAACTTTTACAATAATGTTTTTTTCTAGATAGGATATTTTACCCCGCAAAATGATTTAATTAAAAAATGTGTCCCAGGGCCTCCGTGCAAAATGCTTGAATTATGTGGGCAATTTATTTTTTAAAAAATATTTACCCACTGCATTCGCTGCAAACCAATGTACCCCCCCCCCTCCCCCGCCCCGAAGTAATTAAGGAATGGATAAAATGAAAAACAAATTGGGTAATTTTTTAAAGCTTTATATTCTTGAGAATGTACCTTATGTCTAAGTTCTGTAGTTCGTATAAAGTCTGTATAGCTGATTCCAGCTTCGTCAAAAAGTGATCGAAATTCACCAGACACCTCTCTACACAGTTGATCTGGTGTTATACCTAGCAATAACAAAAATGCAATTCAAGGGTAATTATTTTGAAAAAAAAATTATTTTGAATTTTAGAAAAAATAAAAATATCGAACACATCTTTTTGACATTGTCTATTTATGAATGGTCCGTTAAATTTCTCTCATAATGAGCTATCAATGACAGACAAACTTAAATTGATGTATTGCATAGGGTTGAATATAACAAAATAAAAAAATAAAAATTATTAATGCTATTTTTGAAAATAATGCACAAAAATGTATCCAGCCCCAAGCACTTGGCCATTGACGTCACAATTCTATATGGCTTGAAAAGTTTAAAACATAGTATGTCTACACAGAATCATTTTTATTATAATTATTAAATTGAGTCCCACTAAACCTGCCGAGGCTGCAGCTTGCTGAATTTTTAATCCATGCTCATCCGTTCCAGTCGAGAATATACCACGTTTATTAGGTTCCTTTAATCTCCTAAAAATAGAGAATATTCAAGGTTTATTAAGTTCCCTTAGTCTCCTAGAAGTAGAGAATATACCACGTTTATTAGGTTCCTTTAATCTCCTAGAAATAGAGAAAAATCAAGGTTTATTAGGTTCCTTTAATCTCCTAGATATAGAGAATATACCACGTTTATTAGGTTCCTTTAATCACCTAGAAATAGAGAATATTCCAGGTTTCTTGGGTTCCTTTAATCTCCTAGAAATAACAAATATTCCAGGTTTCTTAGGTTCCTTTAATCTCCTAGAAATAGAGAATATTCCAGGTTTATTAGGTTCCTTTAATCTCCTTGAAATCGAGAATATACCAGGTTTATTAGGTTTGTTAAATCTTCTTGAAATAGAAAATATTCCAGGTTTATAAGGTTCCTTTAATCTCCTAGAAATAGGGAATATTCCAGGTTTCTTAGGTTCCTTTAATCTCCTAGAAATAGAGAATATTCCAGGTTTATTAGGTTCCTTTAATCTCCTAGAAATAGAGAATATTCCATGTTTCTTTCATTTCCTAGAGAAATTTATGGAAACTAGGAAAATTTATTTATTGCCCATTTCGTTTTATCATAATCTTACATTTAATCGATGATTTTTAGAAATCCCCAATCTTTACAGAAAATCTAGTTAGGCTCATTACTCAATCGTTATATGTATCTATATAGGATATAGACGTAATCTCTATTGCTCTTTTTAGTTGTTTGTATGGCAGATCATAACTCTAGGAACCCCTTGCGCAGTATGCCTCAAATTTCGGTTGAGGAACTTAGCAGAACCACAGTAATGTTTTTGGGTTGACTTAAAATTTCTATTTGAATGAGTAGACTTAAAGTTGAAATTGCCAGGCAAAGCTGGGTTCCCAACTAGTTGGTTTGTTTTTAGATTGTTATTGCAAGTAGTCTCTGATAGATATTTAATTATTGCCATCATAATTTTACATTTCTATCCTTAGTTCAATTTTTACGAATATTTCGCGTATACATTTCTTGTTCTTTATTTTTTGGTGGGGCTTCCTAATTTATTTCTTTTTGTGGCTTTTTTACATCTCTCTTTGCATGTCCATTGAGTAGAAAATAAAAAATATCAGAACTAAAAAGCACAATTTCAAATAGTTCAATGTTAGCGCTCTTAAATATTTCGAAGGTAAAATAATACACTAAGATCAGGGTGAAATATCGATTGCACTAATGATCGATCGGACTAACGTAAATTCGTACTAACGTTCATTCGCATTATAGTGCGAGTGAACACTTAATTGATCAATCAAACTAAAATCCGCGTGGAAGGTTTTTAGAGCACGTGGAGAACTATTTTCTAAATTCTAGCAGAATTTGCCTCATTTAATTAATTAGGAGAAATGAGCATAATTTAGTAGGAATGAACAAAAAATGTTCGATTGTACTAAAGCTAAAAGTGTGGGTGAAATTGAAGTTAGTACAAATGAATGTATTTTAGTGCAAATTTAACAAAAAAATGTTCTATCAAACTAAAATTACTAATTTCACCATTTTACCTTTCAATTATAATTAGTACAAATTAATATATTTTACTGCAAATGAAAAAAATGTTTATTTGCACTAATATTTACAGAAAAAACATTAGTCCGTTTGAACAAATTTTTTGTTAGAAATGTTCATTTGCACTAAAAATTACAGAACAAAAAAAATAGTTAGTTTTAACAAATAATTTAGTATTCCTGATCAATTGCACTAATGATCATTTGTACTAAATATACCTGGCGGGGAAAATGAAATTTTAGTCCAATTGAAACATAAATTAACTGCGTCATTGATATTCTGAAAAAATCTGAAACAAATTTTTAACTTCGACAACTGGAAACCAAATAGCCTTAATCCAGTGAAACCACCAATATCATTAAAATTACCTAAATCTATAATGTGCATCTGCCAACAAAGCTGAGTAAAGATGACCAATATGCGGCGCAGAATTGACATAAAATATTGGAGTCGTAATAAAATAGTCCGAATTGTTTCCTATCGAGCGTTTAAAATTTGATATTAATGATGTCATTTGTTTCTTGTTGTTTCGTGTGCAGAGCAGTATGCCGCAAATTTTCATCATTTTCTCTGAAAGAAGGAAGGAATCAACAAAATGCGCGAATATTTATTTTCATAGAAATACTATTCAGCCTCCAAGTTCCATTGATATGCCTCCATCTCTTTCGCATGCCTGAAATTAAAAATTATTTAAAAGAAAAGAAAATTCGACAAAATAGGTTCTAGATATTAGAAAAACATAAATTAAAGAACAGCCCTGGTTACCTGTCAATATCTTTAGTGAGTAGTTTCTCTTCAAACCCGTTAGTTCGAACCACCCCATCCCATCGATATCCTGGCCATATCCGGAATCTTTAAAAAATCAATCAATCATTTATAAAGTGATCATTTTTTATTTATTAATCATTGAAAGATTTATTCCTTCATCCTTCCGATCAATAAATCATAATTAAATGAATTGTTGCATCATTCATTCAAACAATCATACTAAAAATCAATCAAAAAGTTCATTTATTAATGCAATGCAATAAAGCAAACAATAAACAAATCGACCAATCAACAAACTGAATTTCATCTTCTAAATTAAAACTGATGAATGTATACCTGTTCGCTGGGGGTTGGGGTCCTGAATATTTTGGAAGCTTTTTCACTTTACCCTGGATCTATAAAAAAATTAAAAATGTAAAGTAATTTTTTAAATATAAATTCAAAATTAAAATCTTTAAACGTATTCAATTGTTAGCTTATGTTGAGATACCATTTCTGTGAGCTTAAGAGAGTATAAATGTTTTTTTTGTGTGAAATTTTCTTTTACCTTTTCTTTCTTTTTTCTCATATATTCCGCCATTGGGTCTTCTTCTCTTTCCTAGATTTTATTCAAAATTTAGTCAAGACCAATGGAACAAAATACAAAACAAAGTAACACATAAAAAAACAGAATTGATATTAATTAACTGAAAAATGCTTCATAAACTTCATCCTAATTTTTTTATGTCTATAATACTAAAATCAAACAAACCAACTTGCCATAAAAATCTATCTGAAACAATAACCATGTTTAAAATAAAAATATATCCCACGTATAGGAATCCTAAAATGCTGTTCATTCATCAATATTCAATAGCTTGTCAAGAACCAGATTTAAAACTAAGGATACACACACTTTTTAAACTTCTCTGACCTGTTCTTTAAGCATAATATCCCTGTCCACATCGTCCTCTGTCCTGGTGAGGGGTTTCGACATCTCGTAGAGGTTGTCCTCGAGCTGGTCCATACTCTTTTTCACCTGGTGGACACCCCTGAACAAACAAACTAAAATTACTAATTTCTCCATTTCACCATTTCACCTTTCAATTATAATTAGTACAAATTAACAATTCAGTCAAAAAACTCCTAAAATAATTTTCATAAGTGGGGGAGGGGGGGGGGGAATATTTTTCAGGCAAATAAACACGCCCTGTAATCTTCGCTCAGTGGAATCTAATGATAAGAAAGCAAAAAAAGTTGGTTGTTATTAGAATTATTAATGCACATTTATGCTTGGTTACCTAAACGTTCAATGACATTTAAGGGTAGATTTATTGTTAAACTGTCATTTTTACTCGAAAAATTATTTTCTTACATACTTTCTGAGGAAGTAAAGAAAAATGATTTTTATTCAATGGAGTGGGGTAAATATCTTCAATAATACTCCCAGTTTCTATGAATTCCCGTTTTAAATTGCCACTAAAGCTAAAAAACTGTTTGCTCACCGATTCCATTGCTCGAACTTCCTCTTGATCTCCTCCGGCACCTCCTTCTTCTCCTTCTCCAATCTCTTCTTCTCCTCCTCCTCCTTGGCCCGACCTCGCACCTTGGTCTCTGCAAACCGTCCAGATACTTTCACGTCCATACTCTCAAACATGGCAGCCTCCTTCCGTCTGTGTACACACAATAAACTTTATCAAATACTTCCAACAAGATTAAGTCTGAGATCAAAGCTTTGACGACCGGAAATTCGTAAATGAAAAATTATATTAATTTTAATCTATATTAAAGTTGCTACCTCAAAGTTGAGTACTCATAATTACTTTAAATCTTAATACTTTTCAACCAAAATTTAAAAAGAAATTATTAAGTTTATTTTTTTCCTAATTGCAAGTAGTTCGTCCTTAAGGTCCCCAGCCCTCTGTAGTCCGGCTCTTTTACCGTCCAATGTCTTGGCCATCTTATCACCTTGTCGTGGTGGCGACATGTCAGAATCACTGCCGCCACCCTTTCTTGGCGGCGATAAATCAGAATCGGAATTTGCGCGCTTCCGCCGTGGTGGCGATGCGTCAGAATCGGAATCCTTACGCCTTTTACGCGGGGGAGAAGCGTCAGAGTCTGATTTATTTTTCACAGATTTTCTAGGAGGCGATGCGTCGGAATTATGACGCCGTCTTGGGGGTGACGCATCAGAATCATGCCTTCTTCTCACTGGTGACGCGTCGGAATCATGTCGACGTCGTGGTGGCGACGAGTCATTATCACTATCATGTCTACGCCTTGGCGGTGAATCGTCCGAATCTACTTCACGTTTTATACGCCTCTCAACACTAGAGTTTCTTAACAAGTCCCGTGAGAGTGGGGATAAAGGTTCTTTCTTTACATCAACATTGGGTTTTTTCTTCTTATTCTTTTTCTTCTTCTTTGTGTCGAACCCGTTCTCGTCTAGATCAGGGGGTTCTTCCTTGATACCAGGTTCAAGCTTGATTATCTCCTCCACCAGTAGTTTAGTTGTTAGATTTTCTCCTGAATTATTTTCAAGTTTTCTTATTTATTTAAAATTGAAATTATTAAATTAAAAAATGAACCTTCAAAAGTTTTCCACCGTCCAGACTTGTTAAATTCTTCATAAATTTTCACTTCTTCTGGTCTTTCATCCTGAAAACAAAATAATTACTCTCCATGGAAAGTGGGGCCAAAACGTCAAAATGTCATAAAAATGGGTAATTTTTCGGAAATTAGATCAGGCGATGAGAGTGATTAGATTTTAAGAGACATTGGTGAATTCAAAAGCTAGGCCTTCGTACACTGTAAAAAATATTTATTTTCAATGTTAATATTGTTTATATGAATTTAGTTCTGTGTCCAATAATTCTTAAATTAAATATTTACACCCCTCAAGTTCTCAGTTCTAAATCTTCTTCCGGCTCATCGTAGCAGCATCAATATACGAGAATTACCTCCATGTGTGAAATAGTCGGCTTCAACTCAAAATCATCCTCCTCATCATCAGAAAGCACAATTCTCTAAAATATCTTGAATTGAGAAAAAAGATAAAACAAGAAATAATTTCTTGATAGGTCATTAAGAGAGGTAAATAAGAATGTATTATGTGGGGTGGGGTATTTGATCTCTTCTTTGAAAAAATCCGTTTTTGAATTCTGAAAGGGACAGTGGCTTTTAAGGAAGGGTATGCCAAATAATAACAGTTCCCTTGAAACCTTAATCTGATCAATATTCAGATTAATGTGGAAGAAAATGTCGATTTGAATGTTCAATTCTGTTAATTTCTCCATTGTTTCTTAAGCAAGAAATGCGCAAGTAACGTTATTAAACAAACCTGCCCCAGCCCAGCCTCACTATCAATAGAGGATCAATTGAAATTACTTTTACAGTCCTTTAAAGAGTAATTAAAAAAAAAGAACTTAAAAATGGAAAGGAGGAAAGTAAGAAAGTAATAGTAGAAGAACATTTATTTATTTAGCTTTATTTATCTCACCGGCTCCTCGTAATTAACCGGTACATCAGCATCCTCGTCAATAATACGCATCCTGACAATCAATCAATCAGTCAATCAATCAGTCAATCAACATACCAACCTATCAATCAATCAGTAAATAGTCAATCAATAAGTATCCATACTATCAATCAATATCAATATATCTTTACAACTAAGGTCTTTTTATTCAACCTTTTATTTAAATGACAAAGATGTAATATGGAAAAGGAATATAAATTTTTAAGCTATTTAATTATTTTAATTCATAACTTTAAAATTTGTGTTCCAACTTCATTAAGATTTTTACAACCTTGGCTGAATTGTTTTAATTTTTTCCTTCTTTTTCTTTTTCTTCTTCTTCTCTACTGTTAAGTCAGCTGATAGATATTTCTTGAGGTATTCTTCCTTTGACATGGCGGCCATTTTGGAATTCTGAAAAATGTCAGATTCATTTTGACAGAAATAAGATCTGCGAGGTTTAAACATATTTCTGTGTTGAAAAAATAATATTTAAGAACGGAATAATCAGAGATTTTCTTTTTTTAAGTTAAGATAAATATGAAAAATACGAGGATTCAATATTTATGATTTGAATATTAGAACACTTTAAGAAAAAACATTTCATTTCTTTTTAAAAATTAACAGCATCATAAATCATAGAGAGAAAAAAAAACTGTTTATAATATTTCCAATTAATTCATTACATATAAAATGTTATTAAAAAGGCTTCAAAATTAATACTTACACAATCATGACAAATGTAGAGAGAGAGACAAAGACGGGGTACAAAACATTATTCTACAATGATAAAAGAACCTGTGCCCCGAAGAACTTAATTAATATAATATCATGTTTCTTGCACAAAGCCAGTTCACACAAAACGGCAACACATTGTAAACCACCTATTATAGTGTATGAGAAAAGTCAATCAGTCGAGAAAGACTATTTGTTCGCGGAGCACAGGCCCAGTCAAAAGTTGAGATAGATTTCAGTCCAATTCAAGCTGAAAAAGATTTTTAGGGCTGTATTTATCATCATCAAAGGTCATATGAATATAATGCGATAAAAGTTAAGATACTGATGCTTATTACTAATGGTAAAGGTACAATTTGTTTTATGAGAATTCAACAGATTCGTCTCTGTGCCTCTGTAGTTCAAATCCAGTCAGTCAGTGCAGGTGCTTTTAGTCAGGTTCAAGATCAAGATCCCATAATGAAGATTTTAGGCGCCAGGTAGCTCTGAAGTTGTTTACCACCTGCCTAGACTAGAAAGTGAACATTACTGAGAGGAAGGAGGCCCGGGAGGCCCTCCAGGAGGTCCTTGGGGTCCAGAACCTCCACTTTGAGGACCATAGCGACCTTGATCATATCCTCCTGGATATCCACTTCCAGGTCCCATTGGAGAGCCACCAGGAGGCCTGTAGTATCCACTACTAGGCGGGTATCCCTGGTATCCACCATAGCCTTGGTATGCACCAGGTCCTGACGGTGGATATCCACCTGGTGGATAGTTGCCAGGTCCTGGATATCCAGAGTGTGGTGGATATCCTTGTGCTGGGGCACCCCCTTGGTACGGACCAGGTCCTGGTGGGGCTCCACCTCCGCCATATCCGGGAGCTCCACCATATCCTGGATAACCACCGGATGGATAGCCTGGATACGGACCAGGTCCGCTCTGAGGAGACTGAGAGGGAGGATTGTGAGGAGATGGAGCATCTGTGGGTCGTGTGTGAGGAGAAGGTGCTCCACGTGGTTGGGGGGAAGGAGCAGGAGATGTGTTGCTTTGAGATGTTGGAGGACCGAGGTGCTGAGAAGTTGGAGGAAGAGAAGATGGAGCAGAGGTTGGAGGACCCTCACTCGGTGTAGAAGCTGGTGGAGTACTCGATGTACTGGAGCCAGGCGAGGTTGCACCAGGAGCTGCAGAGGTCGGCGGTGCACTTGGAGGTCCAGAAGCTGAAACAGGAGGTCCAGGTGGTCCACCAGGATAGCCACCAGGCTGGGGTGGTCCACCCTGACCGGGTGGATATCCAGGACCACCTGGATAATTATTCTGTTGAGGAGGTCGTGTCGGTGGATATCCTGGTCCTCCGGCTGGATAACTATTCTGTCCAGGTGGATATCCGGCACCAGGGGGGTAGCCAGGAGCTCCCCCAGGTGCAGGAGCACCATACTGGGGTCCACTGTAAGCCCCTGGCGGTCCACTGCTAGAGTATCCACGGTCAGGGCCTGTATATCCGCTAGAGCCATAGTAAGGTGGGCGCTGTCCACTGAATCCATACTGGCCAGGATACCCTTGTGGGGCCCCAGGAGGTCCTGGGGGGGCGCCAGGAGGTCCACGCGGCGGCATTTGTCCGGGAGGCGGCAGAAGGGAAGCAATGTTTTGGTTGGCGTCCGCCATTTGAGCCAGGTAGGTCAAATTCCTGTGCAGCTGCCACTATAACAATATCCTCGGTCAATTTCAATCAATCAATCAATCAATCAAAAATTGTTCAAGATCGATCACTTAATATAATATTTTTTTCTTACAAAGTTTGATAAGTCAGCGTTTGAAAAGAAAATGCTGTGGAAACAATTTACAAATAAACTGATTAAATCAAATCAGATCATGAAATGTAGGGATTGCTATGAGTTTTATCAAATCAAAAAAGGTTCGAATCCCAAATGAAAATTTAATAAAAAATGCTTAGTTTAAAAAAAGAAGGGCGCGAAGCACCCTGTTCACCTGGTAATTCATGGATTCCTGATGTCTTCCCATTCCCTGGTAATCGGCAATAGTCTTTATTAGGGAGGAGTTTTCATCTAACATTTTCTGCACGTTCTGAGGATTGAAGCCAGGCCGGGGACCGTTAGTTGCTGAACCAGGAGGGCCAGATGGCGGAGTACCTCCAGGTGGTCCACCAGGGGGACCTCCTTGACCACCAGGAGGCCCAGTTTGAGGACCTGGGGACTGGGCCGGGCCTAAAAGAACAAATGTAAAATAAGATGTATGAAAATTTATTTCTCCAAAAATAAGTTAGAAAATTATAAGGTTTTGAGGGAAGGGGGCAAGAATATCAACACGGGTCGGGGATATTTATACCCCCCCACCACCTATTTAAATGAACGGAGCGCGATAAAGCTTTGTCTACTCAACTATTTCTAAGTAGGATTTCAAAACTTTAAAAAGAATACTACTCTAGAATCTGCGAAAATCTTTTATTTTTACACGTGCTTTTCTGCCTTCAAATATTTACAATATTTTGTTTGCAAAAAGTTTCATGCTTTTTACCTGGATTTGCGAGAGGTTTAGAGCTCGGAGCCGGCGGCAGAGCAGCAGTTGTCATTTTTTACTCTAAAAATACAAAGTAAAAATAAAAGCTGAGAACAACTGAATTCTCTGAACACTGTTAAGTATCACATATTTCTGCAAACAAATTGGCAATTGCAAATTTGCATCAGATCCGCGTTAGCGCTTGTGGAGATTCCTATAAACCAAAAACTTTCATATTCATTTTCACTATTGATTAAAAAACTGGGAATATTTTTGAAAATGCAGAAGAGTATAATTGAATAAACCATTTCTAATTTTTAAGTTATAAATCGATCTAATTTACCAAACTTAACTTAAATCTCAAGATCAATTTAAATTTATAAGATCACAATAATTTTTTAAATATTAAAGGGAAAGCAATAAACCTTATCATGCATATAAAGAATGTGATAAGAGCATAAGTAAAATGCATGAAAAGGATCTTAAAAAATTATAAAAACAGAAAAAAATTAAAATATGAAGTTTTGTGTTCCTGAGAAAAATATCCTGGGCTTGTGTTTCCAGATCAGATAACAGGGCGACAGTAGAGGCAAGCTGGGTAGAGTGCCCTTCATACCTAGGATAATCAATCAATCAATCAAGCTATCAATCAATTAATCAATCAATCAATCAATCAACGATCCATCAATCAATCAGAAATCAAAAAGTAAACCAAATAATAAATCAATCAACAACCAACCAACCAAATTAACTTAATTAATCAACAGAGAAAGTTTTTGTCAATTTTCAACAAAGTGAGTTATTCCTTTTTCTATTCTCACAAATATATCCACTTTTTCTTAATACTAAAAATATGACAAAATAAAAAATATTCTGGTTAAAATATTTTTTTTTCTTACCCTGAACCTGCGGATTTCTTCTTCTGACCGTAAACAACTTTTCCGTCAAATTCGTCTGCCTCTATCTTTATATCTGTATCCACCTTGACAATTAATCAATTAATCATCAAATAAATTAACAAATCAATCAATTAATCAAGTTATAAGGAAGCTAGTCTGAGAAAAAAATAATGAAATTGAAAGTTGGTTCTGCTCCGGGTCCAGATGTTATTTCTGTAAAATTTCTACAAACATTCTGTGATGAAATAAGTGTACCCTTGAGTTTGATTTTTAACTTATCAATGGGCGAAGGTCTTGTACCATCAGATTGGAGAAACGCCAATGTTACACCAATCTTTAAAAAAGGAAATAAAGGTAGCGCTGAAAACTACAGGCCAGTCTCATTAACAAGTATAAACTGCAAGCTCATGGAGTCCCTTATCAAAGATGAAATGGTATTGAATAATGGTGCATGTTCAAACTGGGCAGTAGTGAAATCAGGTGTTCCCCAAGGAAGCATATTAGGTCCGCTGGGCTTTGTCATTTACATAAACCCACTAGAAGATGATATAGAAACACTAACAATTTTATCTTTTGCTGATGATTCAAAAGGGGCTAAAATTATCAGATCTCCTACAGATAATTCACTTATGCAGACTGCAATTGACAAACTTAGTGAGTGGGCTGATAAATGGTCCATGAAGTTTAACGTCAGCAAATGCAAGATAATGCATTTAGGCAAAAACAATCCAAACCATCAGTATACCATGAATAATATCCCTATGATCAGTTCTACAGAGGAGAAAGATGTTTGAGTACTGGTGACTGATAAACTAAAACCATCTAAACACTGTGCCCAGGTTGCTCAGAAGGCCAACCAAGTCTTAGATCAAATGACAAGAACCTTCCATTTCAGAGACCGTTTCACCTTTATCAGACTCTATAAACAAACTGTTCGCTGTCATCTTGAGTTTGCATCCTGTGTCTGGAATCCATGGACGAAAGCAGATGTTTTAGAAAGAGTTCAAATGAGAGCAGTCTACTTTGTACCTGGATAAAAGGGATCAACATATGAAGAAAAACTCAAGGAGCTGAATCTTCAAACACTTGAGAATAGAAGAAAAAGAGCAGACATGATTCAAACTTTTAAGATAGTCAATGGATTTGACAATGTTGACCAGAACACCTGGTTTAAATTTGTTGGTTTGAGAGAACAAGTCACAAGGTTGAATCAAGATAGTCTGAATCATGCTAAACCTGTTGCTAAACTGGAGATAAGGAAGAATTTTTTCTCACACAGAGTTATTTACCTATGGAATGCTTTACCCTATGATGTTAAACATGCAAGAAATACAGTTCAGTTTAAACAACTGTATGATAAGAGTCATTGAGAATGGAGTGGATGCTGATTTGAGAAAAACTGAAGCTACATCTGATCTATAGCAGACCACACATGAAGAAATCAAGATATTCTCAACATTCCTATTTGGAAGATGGAGAATTACTTCACAAGTATGAAGTAAGTAATAAATGCATTGATGGCTGAGCAAATAAATCAATTAATTTCTCAATTTATCCTTGAATCAATCAATCAATCAATTTAATCAATTAATTCAATCAATCAATTCAATCAATCAAATCAATCAATCAATCAATTAGTTAAAGAAAAACAAATCACAAAACCATTGAAAAGACAAAAGGAAAATACAATCAATACCCAAAAAGAAAAATCAACCAGCCAGTTAAACATTAATTATCTATAGCCAAGGAATAAAGGATTAATATGTTAATAAAAAACTAGTGAATAAATTTTTAAAATGCAATCCAGCAATCAATCAATTAATCGTTAAGTTTCTGCTTTTTTTTGTCAACCATACCTGTGGAATAGTGACCCCAAGGTGTTCTTCAATATCTGCCAGATACTGAGGTTCATTATACCAGATACAGCACCCCTTTACATCTAAATACATACTACATAGAGGCAAATTATCAGGATACAGATAGTTACAGAAAGAAACATTGATACCCTTATTTCATTGAATGATGGATTGTCTGCTAGTTAAAGTTACTAGTCGTAATCTTAATGAAAATCTTACCAGTTTTTCTTGATTTTTTAAATTTTAATTTCGCAATATTAGGTTAAGAAAAAAATTTGAAATGTTTAGCACTATTCTTGACTTAACGCTATATTTGGTCACCTGTTAATTTTGTATTGTGACAATTTTTCCCTCTTGAAGGACACCATTCACCGTGGTACCAAACCTTGAACAAAACAAACATAAAACATCGATCCGAACATTTTTAAAATAAAAAATAGGGGTGGATGTCCAATTAACAAATTTATATTGGAGGATATTTACCTTTTCTGGGATGCAGGAAACTAGGGAGACGGCCAATCCCATTCTCTCAGCTCGACCAACTCGTCCAATTCTAGTTAAATCAGTTCATCAATTCTAGATTTATTAATTTAGGGTTCGAGCGGAACATACACAAAGCAAGAGTGGGTTAGTTTATAGATGCCCCATTCATGTTATTTTTAAAATAGACGATAAAATAATTGTAATTCATTTTCTTTTTTGACTTAAAACCTTGAATTATTTACGGTCTCATGTCCGCTATAAATCCCATTTATTTTTGTTAAAATGAAAGCATCAATAAGTTTGATGAATTTTATGGTCTATTAGGAATATCAGGAAAGAGATCTGAAAGTCCTCTCCGGTTTTGAGAGCCCAGACCACCATAAAAAATACATGCATTTATAAATATATATAATTCCTTTTTTAAACTTCATATTTTATCAAAAAAAGAATTATACTAACTATAATGTTTCACGCCTTATGACGATCCTCAGTAGTCAAATTCTTAGAACATTATATATATTATCCATAGACTCCGTGTTTCGTCCTATAAGGACTCATCAGTATGGCTGAATTTTTATCAGCTTTTGATTTTTCCAGCTTTGACGGGGCTTGAATCATAAATCCTTAGATTAAGGATCAAACACGCTAACCACTGCTCCATCAAACCCAGATGGGGTAATGAAATAGGGACCAGAGAGCTCAACCAACTCATTTTATGTTGAGGGCCTTTCATATTGCTAGTATACTACACCTATTCATTACCACAGAGTGCTCAACTTTAGCGGAATAACGAGCATAGATCAATAACAACCTAGTTAGTACAAATTGATATTAATCCCAAACATATATTACCTGTGCACATAGTTAGTTTTCTCGTCTGGTAGAGTGAAGTTGATCATGAAAGGGAGACCCCCGATATCCAATCCCCTCGCAGCTACATCAGTGCAAATTAAAAACTTCACCTAAAACAGTTGATAGTTGAAACAATTTACAAAATCAATTTAAATTTTAGAGACGACCTACCTCCATAATGAAAATTAAGATTTTATGCATACTACAATATCATGGAAAACATATATATATATAACATAGTTTGACAGATAATTTAAGCTGTCGACATTTTTTTTCTTTGCTAACCTCCTTTCTCTTGAATATCTCTAAGTTCTCCTTCCTCTCCTGCGGCTTCCTGTCTCCGTGAAGGCAGACGCAGCTGAACTCCTTGTTCTGATTCCTTCCCCCTCCTACCATGTTAAAGTAGCGCTCTAGATTGTCACAGTCCTGCTTGGTTCTGCAGAAGATAATACCGTAGTCCATCTTATTCTGCCGGATCGCTCTAGTACAGGGGCTTATTGAGAAGATGTAAAAAATCCTCAATTAAGAAAAGGTATTTTCTGTCTATAATTATTTCCCACGGCTATATATTCAAATGAAAATAAAATCATTATTCATTATTTTCCGGTCAAAATATTTTTAGTTCAAAGAATGAACAGGGCTTTGTGGAACTTTGTCTTTGGACCCCCCCCCCCCCCCTCGGCAAACATTTGCCCTTTTATTACTGACTAAACTCCTGCCTAACACAGTATTCTGCCTTCATCATCTTGACTGCCTCGGACAATGCTTCTGTAGTATTAATATTTGGTCCAACCCTATCCTGGGCATGCACTCCATCTGTCTGTATAGGGTTACGGTAGGATTTCCAGCTGGAGTCGGTCCTTGATAATTTAAATACTCGGAACCGAATTTTATGAATTTGAGCTAGGTCGCTAAACTGCCTATCACTGGTTCAAATCTTGAATATCCAATTCAAGGTTAATGATTCATAATAGTTTGAATCGGTGATTCAGAATTTGAACCGACTGGGGAGATATGTACGTAGTTCAGCGTCCTCTCCAATTCATTAAATTCGGTCCCTGGTTAAAGTTTTCCGACAAAAACATTATTTCAAAAACATGGGACTTCTTAGATTAATGTTTTATTCAATGACGACCTGGAAGTTGGAACTATTCAAATACAATCACAAATACTGTTATAGAAGGCATAGCTAGTGTAGAGGACATGACGTACTACAGCTCCACCGTTAGAATTATAGCATCGGGTTTGAGACTATAACAGTCCAAAGCAATATATTTGTAAAGATTTTCAAACCATTTTTCTTTGAATTCCTACATTAACATTCCACCTGTCTGTTGAGAAAGAAATACCAAACTGTCCTTATTTACCTTGGATCTACTGTAACCACCACGTGATGAACTGTTTCAGGAACAGCATCCTGGCCCTAAAAATCAATCAATGAATCATTGATCCAATCAATCAATCAAACATTTTGTTCTGCATCTTATCCACACTGAGATGCAGGTCATTATCATCAAAAATCATCAAAATGAATTGTACTTTAATATTGTAGTTCTAATCTATATATGCTAGATATTTACATCGATAAGTCGTCACCGTTCACACATTCAGACAATAAATCGATTAATTAATCAAAGCGCCAATCATTAATACTATCAATCAATCAATCATACAGTCAAATGAAACATTTATAGACGATCATTCAGGCGATCAATCAATCAGACAATAGGCCAACCAATTAATTAGTCAAAGAATCCAAAAGTTTCCAGTAAAATTTTTTTTTGCAACCATTGAAAAACGAATCTTTATGCATATTGTCTTTTGAATTATTACCTTCAGATCAACCCATGCGGGGAAATGCATTAGTCTCTCGGCCATCTTTTTAACTTCAAACGAATGCAATGTTGCAGAACATACGATCATCTAAAGACTCAATTTTAGAACAAATAAATGTAATTGACTAGAAGGGGGGGGGGGGAGAAGGCATAGGTACCGATTACTTCCCTTAGACTCTAGTTTTCTTATACATAAACACAACCTTATGCCGACCTTAAATATTGCAAATTATGAACTCTACTAGATTAAATAGTCGTTCTACAAACTGTGCTTTAAAAAAACAGGGTTTAAAAATTACAAAATAGAGTTTGAGGCTAGTAATCAGTTTCTTTTGGTAGAATGAAAATTTATTCAACCATTTAATGACATCAAGAAATAAAAAAGAAATATTAAAAAAATGTTCAAAAGGTTTAACTTCAAAATTTTCCAAAAAAGGAAAATATTTTATACTTGTCTAGGAAAACAAAACTAACAATATTGAATTGAATTGAGTTGAATCCTAAGCACTGGACTGAACGTAAAAAGTTACCTGCAACCTCTTTCCGTCACTTGTAATTTTAGGAATAGTTTGATGGATTCTGTTAATAAACTTTTCATATCCACCCTTTAGCAGACCATCAGCCTCATCAAGAACAAAAAATCGACATTGTCTGAATTAAAAATGGTAATGTTACATCGTCTATACGCAACAACGCCCCTACTGAACTTCTGACCTACTAACTTTCCGACCTGCTGCAATATCGGACCTAAGCCAGCTGTTTATTTTCGCATTCCTGGAGTGTTAGGTTCAGACAATTTCTGGGCCGAACGCTGCGGCTAGAACTGGCTAGGGAGCCGATTATCGCGGCTAGGGTGCCGGGCGCTGCGGCCACAAGTTCATAAAGACGCTGTAAAACCACGTGCTAGTAGGTCGGATGGGTATGTTTAGTCTAGTGGATTTGGCTTAGGTCAGAAGTGGAGTATAGTGGATTTGCGTAGGTCGAAAAATATACAATCATTAAAAATATCTATCTCTAATGTAATCCTTTCTAAATTGAACCAAATTAATGATATTTAAACTCTTTTTAGGATGAAAAAAGAATTCGGGAAGAAATTGAAGAAAAAGACCCCCTCCAGAATGAAAAGTTGTCCTTGAGGACCAAAATTCAAGAGTTCTTAATGTATAAAAAGGTCCAAAAACAGTATACACCAGTTTGTTTTAAACCCTTACTAACTTCATCCCATGAGCTGTTAACTACCTGAGGCTTAGTTTGCCTGTATTAATGAGATCCTCTAAACGTCCGGGTGTTGCAACAACTATGTCAACTCCTGATAAAATCAATGCTAGATCAGACAATCAATCTTTAATCTAAAATTGCCCTGAACAGTGACAGGTATAATATTTTCCACGCCCCACCCAAAAATTTTCCACGCCAGCCCTTTACCATCACGGCGGCGACTAGCTAAGGGTTCAAGTTTGACAACAAAGACGACTGCTAGTTTTTTTAGGAAAAAGCGGGAAATAATACCTGAATTTAACGCGGCAACTTGATCGTTAATGCTGATCCCACCAACCACGAGGAGTTCTGTAACTGCTGGTGGAACAAGATACTTCTTAAACTTTTGAATTTGTTTTAGAGTTTGTTCTGCTAACTCTCTACTTGGCTCAATTATTATAGCCTGAAAACAAAAAATCTACTTCTAGTATTTCATATTTTAAGCAACCATAGTCCTAGTAACTATTTAATATTAGTTAGAATATTCATTAAAAATCTTTGAGAAAAAAATCATGGAGATCTCAAGACAAAGTGTAGCATTTAAATGAGTTGTTGAGAATGAATTTAAAATCACCATGTTTGGATATAAGCATAAGTTTTAAATTGTTTTGTTTTTATTAATGGAATTAGTTTCTGATTAATTTAGTTTTAACATGAAGTAAAAAAAAACATACCAAAATTTTGGGAAAAGAATTATTTTTTTATAAGAAGGGGGAGATTAATTATTTTTCAGGAAAATATACATCCCTGGACAATGGACTTGTCTATTTAATGCCACTGTCCTAAAATTACCTGAGGTGCATTATTAATGATTTTCCTTTCTTCAACATTTGTTCCCTTTTTCTCATTTGGTACTACAGTGGTAGCAGGTGCAGCAGAAAAACTGACGAATCCTGAAAAAATGGAAGAATTTTAGTTTAATTGTAAAAAAACAGTGCTTAGGATCTGTAAAAATAATAAACCCCATGTTAAGGTGAAGTGAACAGAAACATGTGATAGAAAACCAGACACTGATGAGCTCTTGGAACTTTGAAGAACCTTTTGTGATTCACCACTCACAATTTTTAAAACTAAAAGTGAAAACTTATTTTATTCTTAAATATTTGAAGTATTAATGTTTCAGAGTGATTATGCAAGGATAATCGGCATAAGTTTTGGATATTCTTCTAACCTTACAAAAATCATATGGACTTGTTTTCTTTGCTTGAATATTGTAGTCTTCACTTTCAAACAATAACTTTCAAAACTGATCTACGAAGTATGATCCCCCCAGGTAGAATTTCTGATCGGGTCATTGTGTACAGTGGCTGTACAACAAGAAGTCTAAAATTCCAGATGCCCCCTCTATTACTAATATCTCGATGATTAGGACTGATAGGTATTTAAACAAGAAGGATCAAGGACTCAACTGATCAAGGATTCGGGATCCACCTATAAACGGATCAAGGATTCAACTAGTCAAGGATCAAGGACTCAACTAATCAAGGATCAAGGACTCAACTAACCAAGGATCAAGGACTCCACTAAACAAGCATCATTTAACAGGAGAAGTCTAGCCTGGATGTTGCCAACGTAAGTCCTCGTGTTATAATGTATTAATGTTCTAAAAAGTTAAAGATCCTCTTCATTTTAATACTGTTCAAACAAACTAAAGATTCCTTATTATGCATTAATTTTAAACTGATTAAAAACTTAACAAAAGAAAAATCTAAATATTTTAAACTCTAACCTTTTTTCTAGATTGGCAAATTCTAGGAAGGATATATTTTAAACATAAGTATGTAGATCATTCTTGTATAAAGATTTTAATATTATATTATTTAGGTTTTTTGATCGCTCAAAAACTTATAATTCCAGATGAGCGCATATGAAAAATTGGCTTTAAAAATGGCAGGCTGGTCATTCTGCGGATAAAATATCAAGAAAAGGTGGGATATTTTGACAGGATCCATTTGTTTTGATGCGGATCCGGATCCTGGATCCGGACCGGAAAAAATGGATCCGGATCCAGGTCATTTCTTTAAGATTTACTGAATTTTTTTTTTACAATCATTTGTCTAATTTTTCGCTTATTTTTGTGCTAAAATTTGATTAACCATTCAGAATTTTTTTTAATCTCTCTTTTTTCAAAAGTTCAGATTTGGGTTTAGAGAGTAAATTTTTTTTCACAGTTTTTGGTTGATATTCCGCATATTTTTGCGGACCCGGATCCAGGAAGCCAAAATCTTGCAAATCCGAATGGATCCGAAGCAAGCACTGAAAAAAAAAACTGTTACAAAAACTATAAATAATTCTCACCGTTGGTTGGTGGATATTTAAAGGGAGAGTCTCCAAAGTTAAACTGCATCTCAGCGTTCTTGAGCACAACTGCAGGGAAGAAAGGGTTGTTTTTGAACTGTTGGTTGATGCTAAATGCTCTACCAAGATCAACTCCGTTCTTAGCAAACCTTATTTCCAGATCATCCAGGTTTAGGAAGCAACCGATGACATCAGCTTTTCCAAAGGCCCCTCCATAATCATCAAACTTAAAACAAGTTGTATTTTTGTGTCGTAACTAATTGGAACATCAATAATCGTAATTAAGGTTATTTTTGACGGAGGCTCAGTTCTGACTTGTACTGGAATGATGGTTGATCGTATACATGTTTGCTTGTTTGTTTTTTCAAAGAATCTTTAAAAGATTCCCTCAAAATCATATTTTTTTAATGCGCTTCTTTCTTTCCAACTTAAAGTGTGCAAAGTTTAACGTTATATCGCTTTCTTTTAGAAATATAAATTATTGAAATTTTATTCTAACAAATTCAAAATTTACTTGTTTATTGTTTGACTTTTTTCCGGTTCCTCCAAATCCAAAACCAAATCGACAGGTTCCAAGGTCTAGATATAAATAAAAAGATTATAAATTGAGTTAGCTTTAATAAAATTCAGATTTTTGTAAATTCAAGATTCAAGAAGTACGATGAGGTTACAAAATATTGAAAATCTAACAATCAACTTTTTCACTTTAAAAATCTATGTTTTTAATAAGTTTTGAAAATTCTCTGAAAAAAAATCGGAGAATATCTTAAAATAAGTAAAGAAAACAAACATGGTATACCAACATAATTAAGCTAAAATTATTACTATGTTGTGCGCGAAGAACATTGGAAGCATTAAATATCCAATTAAATTCTTAATTATATCAAGATTAAAAAAAAAACTAGGAACCCATAATTATCCAAAACAGGATTAAAGAACCTATTGTAATTGTTTCAATAGGTCCAATAGGGTCTGAGTGTGAGATTTCAACTACAATGCAGTAAAATAGAGGTGTCGTAGGAATTTTATTATATAATTCCCACCTAGAGAAGCTTGAGAAGTAGAGAACCCTAGCCTACATAGGCCCTCATCTGTCACTGTAGCTTCATAGTAGTATTTACCTTTCCCTACAACTCCCTGAACAATTTGAAAAAACGACTCACACAAGAGAGTTGAATCAAATCTCTGAGAGAGTATACTGCGAAATAACAACAATAATAACAGGAGAATAAATCAGTTGGTAAAGAAAGTATGGAATCATTCTCCTTCTCCCCTGATATTAAACAGTTAGTAGTTATACAAAAAGACCTGAACCAAAAATATGACACTCTTAGAAGGTCGAATTAAATCTTTTCGGACTTAATTGAAGTCTTCTAATGGTTTATTATATGATTTTGCAAAGAAATAAACAGGTTTTCCAGTTGCAGAGAATTAGAAAAATATGGAAACTGACAGTTTAAATTCCGCACAGTCGTCTCCTTTATGGGTAACCCTTTACCTTAGTTGCTCGACAACCATGCCATTCCCTCTGCTCCCTAGACTGGCAGCGTAGTCCTGAAAGAAAAAGGCTGAAAGGCAAATCTTAAACATTTTTTAGGTGTATTTCTATCCAAATGCTTTGATGTCACATATCTAATGATATAAATGTTCTTTAAAAAACACTAATTGACTCACCATCTGGCGTGACAGCAAGGGCAGGTCCCCTATCAAAGAATGACATTGCCCAATGTGAGCTGGCAGATTTTTCATCCCCTACCTTACCTCCAACCTTCCCATCCTGTAAACATTTAAACTTAATACTCCCATAATCTAATAAAAAGAGATGTTTTTGAACTCCAGATTCATCATCTAATATTTTATTTTGTGCTAATTGATTTAAACTCAGATATCCAAGCTGGCTACAAAGATATCTATATCATTATGATTTTTAAACTGATCATTTTCACTTTCATCGTAATTCTAGAACGATCTGTAATCCTTAATAAATTAATACAGCAATTTGTTTAATAAAAAATAACTAAAATTTTTCAATTCTCTGCTCTTAACTAGGTAAAAATTTATTAATAGTGTATTTGTAAAAATCTTAATCTTAAATCTGGACTTAATCTTTTCAACTTTGATCATTAAGTAAATATTGTCAAATTTATTGATTTTGTAAAATATTATACACTTGTACTCAAGTATTACTAGGTATAACATGCTCAGCATGAATTTAAAAGATATTAGTTTAGCACCAGTTTAATCGTGAAAACATTTGCTCTGGCCCAAGACTCAATGGAAGAGGTAAGATTTTACCATCAAAATTAGAGAAAACTTAGTCAACAGTCTTCTATTCATTATGATCTTAAAACTCCATTCTAAAACTTGGAAGCAGTTAGCAAATCCCTTCAGTTTTGATATTATTTGATAAAGGCTGTTACTTATTTTTCAAACATAATAAGCGACTTAACAATAAAGTTTTCTAAATTCTACCAATGTAAATATGCTAGCATTAAATCCTTTACTTTAGATGGATAGCATGAAGACAGGACTATGCTTGGACACCATGACTCTTCATGCCATGTGTATCTCTGGTTCTAACCTTGAGAGTAAAATGTAAGATGCTGTTCAATGCTTCATGGAGGATGGAGAAGCATCAACAAGGAGACGTCGAGGAAGGGGTAAAGGAAAAGGAATGTCCCTCATTTGAAGATCTTACAGAAATTATGACTGAGAAAATGAGTTCCTCTCAATGTTTCCTTCAGAGCTTGGGATGGATTGATGAGAATGGAGAAGATGTCAATGCCACCATAACTGAGTACATTGCATCTTTGAACCCAGAGATCAGCACTCAACTGAATGAAGAAGTTATCGGAGAGTGTGTTATGGAAATCATGGAGAAAATGGCTGAGAATCCTTAGTATGCTAAGTGTGCTGATAAATACACTGAAGAGGAATCTTTGGCTTTGGAGGAGATTGGTATGAAGATTGCTTCCTTCATGTGTTTCACCAAAACCTTTGATGAATACTGCAAGAGCTATATTCAGCCCAACTATGTTTATTGTTGAACCCCTTCTTTCTTCCTTAAACATTGCACCAATGGCATAGTCACATGGATGTGAAATTAACTTGAATAAATATTAATTGAATTTTTTTACTTTAATACAAAAAAAGAAAAAATGAATTCTTATCTCTGAAATTTCCTGGTCTTTTAAAATTAAACTTTTACCTGAAAATCCTTCAATGTCTCCCAAGTAATCTGAAGAATTGGTAAACAAAAGGCTCCTGTCTTACCTAAACAAATTCAAAATTTGATTATAGGTATGACCAATACAGATAAGTTTTAATAGTACCCAGCTAAATTACCCATACCTCAAGCATTAATGTCATTTAAGTATTTTAAGTAAGTTATAGTAAGCCTGTTTAGTTTTTATTAAAAAAATGATGGTTTAGTGCCACAATTCTTAGTTTTAATGATATTTTATACAGCTTATTTTTACATGGTTTCCAAGCTTAATTCTTTAGTTAACAGATTACATACCGCTTCCAGTTTCAGCTGCCATAAGAACATCACCACCACCCAGTATCAAAGGTATAGCTTCTGCCTACAATAAAACAGCACAATTACATTGCTTTGAAGTGATTATGAACATAAAAGAACACAATTTCAAGGCTTTAATATTACTAAATCACTATCCTAAAACGTCACAGTGGAACGTTATGGACACTTTTCCTACTTTTAGCAGTCTCCTACCATCCTTGTGTTACTCCCACCTGAACATCAGTGGGAAGGTTCCAGTCCATATCATCCACTGCCTTCCCTATCTCGGGCATCACCCCAAACTCTTCAAATGCCGTCATTCTCTCTCTGAAATTTTTTAGTTTTACAAATGCAATCAATTTTCAACAACTTTACAGAAAATGAACACAAGAAATAAAGGACCACTATTTGTGGTAATACAGTTCTTTTCGGTGATGGGGGAAGATGAAGATGATGGCATGGAGAGGGGAGGGGGGGAGGTGGTTTTAAGAATTATTTTTTTGATCCTCCAAACCCTGAGAATCCCATAAGCGCCATCATAGCTGGGTCTCCGCCAAGCTCATCACCATCATCATCTGTTTTACGCTTCTTTTCCTAAATAACAATCAATTAAATCAATCAACTAATCAAATGCCATAATAATATATTTACAGAGCAAAAAAAAATATATTTGTTTTTATAAAGAATGAAATACCATGTTGTCTAACATCAACGTTTTATTTAGCACACTAAGTAAACATTTTTCTTTCTATTGTAATGATTGCAACACATGTACTAGAAATAAATAAAACACCCAATTCTTAATTTTATCAATAAAAGTTAAATTTGAAAAAACTTAAGTACCTTTCTTTTCTCCTTTTTATACTCTTTAGCTCTCTCCTCTTCTTCCTTGAGTTCTGCCAGTCTCTGGTCGAAATCATAATCTTTCTTCTTCTCTTCCATCTTCCGCTTGTTCATATTAAACCTAGCTTTCACCTAGACAATCAAGCAATCAATCAATAAAGCAGTCAAGCAATTAAGCAATCAAGCAAACTTCCATCTTTCGCTTGTTCACATTAAACCTATTTCTCACCTAATGATTTTAGCAATTATCCAGAAATCAAGCAATCAATCAATGATCCGCTTGTTTACAATAAACCTGACATTAAACTAAGAAATCAAGCATTTAATCCAGAAATCTATCAATCAATCCAGAAAAACGCAATCAACCCATAAAATAAATCAATCCTTCATACATTAATCAAACAATTCATAAAATCAATCAATCAATCCAGAAATACATCAATCAAGTCAGAAATTAAACAATCAATCCATAAATCAACTAAGCCCCCAAACATCAAACAATACATAAGATCAAGCAATCAATCCAGAAATCAATCAATCAATTCAGAAATCAAGCAACCCTTCCATAAGATCAATCAATCAATCCATAAAAAGCAATCAAGCAATCAAATTTGTATCTTCTGCTTGTTAAAATAGCTTTCACCTAAGATATCAGCCCATCAAACAATCAATCCATAAAATTAAGTCTTATCAATTAATCCATAAAATCAAGCAGTCATTAAATCAATCAAAAAAATCAAGCAATCAACTTATAAATCAGTATCCCTTACTTCGATCTTCTCACCAATTTATCAACTAATTAATCAATCACGAAATTAATTAATCAATTGATCGCTTAATGCTCAGTCAGTTTAAACATTCAGATTCATCGGTAAAAAAATTAATTCTAAATAATCATTTTTATAAAAAAAAATCGACGTTTAAACATCTGAAAATGAATTACCCAAACAATTTTTCACTGCCGTTAGATCAATCAAAGCTTAGAAATTATGAGAAACTGACAAGTTTAAAATGGATAAATTAAAAGACAACAAATATCCGAGAAACAGGAAAACCATGAATGAAAGTCTAATAATTTGCATTAAATATACTAGCTTGGAAACCCAGCTTTGCCTGGAGACTGAACTTTCCCTAAAAAACGCAAACCCAGTCAACTTAAAATTTTTAAGAACATTCCCGTGGTATAATAAAGTTCATAAATAAAAATTTGAGGGAAATCGGTCCAGGGGTTCGTGAGCTATAATCGGACAGACAAATAAACCAACCAACCAACCAACAAACATACAAAAAAGATTACTACTTTATAATATAAATACCTGATCAAGGCTGGACCTCTCCACCTTCATGGACATACCCATATTTCTCTGATGTTTCTTCCCATTAATGTGATCCAGAAAATTGATGGAGTCCTGACAAAAATAAGCAAAATTAAAATGTTGTAGTAAACACTAAACAGTGTCAAGATAATTGATGATATAGAATTGCCTCAAAACTGGATGTCCTGATATATATTGGGGTTTACAATTTTATGACCAAATCTTTTCTCCCCCCCCCCCCCCCTCCACTCACGTGTCTCTCCTAGTTACGTGAAAAGCTTTTAGGAGTGCAGTAGACTATTTTCTTTTGATAAAAATATACACAAAAGACACAGGTGTCCTTAAACCAATTATAATGGGGTTACTCTTGTGAATCTTACTGCCATATTTTGTATAAGGGTCCCTTAAAATACTTTCCAACCTTGACTACGCAATCACACACGTTACAGTAGTATCCTCCTGTAGCGGACTGTGGGGTATTCTTGGTTATAACAGTGGATTTACCTGAAAAAATACAGTGTTAACCCCAAAAAAAGTGAATTATTTGTCGTCTTCACTCTTTGTTTCAATCTAAAATGTCGCTGATGATTTTGCATTTGCAGTTACTGAACCTGATACTTGATAATGCCTCCCAAGTCCCCAATTACATACATTTCAAATTTAAATTTTACTTTAAAGGTACTTTAAGTGTAATTTCATGTGACCCTCCAAGCACAGATGGCATTCCCCAATTCACAACGGTACCCTTTCAGGTTTTTTCTGATCAAGTATAAAAAGAAGTTTTCAGAATTAAGAACTTTTAGAGCTGAAAAACCGACAATATCTTCCCAAATTATTGATCAGATAAAGGTTTTTATGAGTACCGTTGTAAATTAGGCATTATTATCTTTGCATGGAGGGTCATTTGAAATGGCGCTGAAGTAAGTAAAATGATTGTTATTTGAATTTTAAATGGCACCAAAGATTTTGTATTTGCAATTATTGAAACTGATAATTAATATTTTCTCCCCAATTTAAACAATTGGATTTAAAATTTTAACTTTTAACAGAATAAAACGGAAAGAACCCTTCTTGTTTACAGGTGGTTTGTTATAATTTTTGTTTGCTTTGTTGCTCCAACTTTAATCTAACCTAGTCTGGAATCCAAATCTACTTTGTAATCTCGAGTTCGGAGTAAATCCCTCTTCACTTTCTCTCCATCATCCGACCTATCCCTTAAATATCAGTCAGTTAATCAATCAATCAATCAAACAATCAATCAGTCAATCAATCAATTCAATTCAATCGATTTATTGATCAATAGTCAAAAAATGTAATCGATCAATAAGGTACAAAGTCACCCACAAAGGATAAGACTGTAAATACGACTTGAAATTCTTCAGATATGACGATCCCAAATTTAAATTAAGTCTTCTGCTCTAACCTATTCATAGCCTTCTCAACATCCTCTCTCATCTTCGCCGCTTTCTCATACTCCGAGAGATCCCATTTCCGCCTGTGATCATCCGGTCTCTGTCCCTTGTCCGCCATTTTGAATTCTGTAGACACGCGTCAAAAAATATAATTAAGTTTCCTCCCAGATAAAACCAGTTTTAAATCATGATTTTAGATCTTTGCCAAGAAATATTTGAGATCTGAATAAAGCGGGTATACAACATAATATAGATAGAACATTAATATTTAGTCTTAAATGCAGATAATATTTTATGTTGAGATTTTTCACAAATATTTCTCGCGCATTTCTTCTTGATGCCGTCAGGTAAGTGTTAGTGCCAGCCCTGCCCAGTCTGTTGAATAGATAACTTCTTAAATCCGAGTTTGCCGAGGTCTACATCCTGGAAAGAACTTTTGAGTTTATGCTGTTTTTAGGTTTATTTTATATTTATGAAATTTATCTGTTTATCGACCGACAAAACAAGAAAAATCTTAAACAATATTTTTAATTGTTTCCCTGCATACTGAAAGAAACATCAGGAGGAAAAAAAGTGAACAGCCTATTAATATTAAAACTAACCTTGTTATTTTCTGCCTGTTGACCGTCACATTTCAAGGTAGAAACACATTTCCATAAGTCCAGGTAGTTCGCCTTCCACAGTTTTACCTGAAGAAAATAAGGCTTCTGAATTTCATAGTTTTTGGGAAATGTGGTGGGATTCATTTTGGATGTTACCCCACCCGAGGGACCCCTAGTCTTTATAAAGGTAACAAAAATTTAAAAGCCCTTTCTTTTTTTCTTATCATAATAAAAAAAAATACATTTAAAATGAGAGGGAAATGGGGGTTGTTCACGTTATAACATAACATATTTTCATCTTGTAAGGATCGATTTTAACAGTACTTAAATGATAATACCATCAAATCAATTTCAATATTACTTATTTTTTCATTTTTACTCACCATCCCGTCATCCCCTGATGTTGCCAAGATAGTTCCAGTAATATTCCAACAAACCCGCCAAACCGCCGACCCGTGATCGTCAAACTGCCCGGCTTGCCGAATTTCAAACCGTCCTGAACAAGTGAAAATAAAAGGAACTGATGAGGTGCATGTCCAACTCACACCAGTGAAATTAATCTCACTTTATCTCACTAATAGGAATATGTCGTCGTTTTCTTAGATAGGTTTCTTAGACAGTTTCGTTAGATAAGTTTCTCATATTCTGCTGTGTAAATCCACAAGTTAAAATTGATAATAATAATGAATTCATTATTTGTCCTTTTTCAAATAGAAACCGTGATTGCATCTATTTTGCAAAAACTATTGATGAAAGGATAACGTTGGAACCAAAGCCATGAAATTCTTAAATAAAAAATCATTATTGTTGTTATTTTCTTAGGATAAAAAATACTTGGAATTCACTGTCATTTATCAAATCATGCTTTCAGGAATTGCTTAAGGCATCCTTCGTACGAGCCGGAGTTTCAAAACCTTCACACATTCTGGGTTTTCACATTATTTCAATTTCTATCATTTAATATTAATTTTAGGTTTTCCGAGTTAACCGTCAAGTTTGTAAAATTATCAATAAGGATCGCAGCAGGGCGACCAAATTTAAGACATGCTTTTACCTGGCTCGTCTTTAGAGTCTCCATGAATAGGTTTAAGTGTGATAATTCTAAGATCTTTGCTTCCTACAGCCAGCACATGATAGGACCGGCCTATACCCACGGGTCAATAAATCTTTTCATATTTTTAGAAGGAAAATTACTCCTTGTAGTGTCATATAAACAAGAAAGGTGCAAGTAACTTCCGCAAAGAAACCGCAAATGAAAGTAAACAATTTAAAGGAACAAAAAGATTGATATCTAATTTACACTTGATCAGAAACAGCTTTCATGGGAAACGTTGTCAATCGATCATTGCCATCCCTGTATGGTGGGTCACTTGAAATTATGCCAAATTAAAGTCCCTTGAAGGCAAAAAAAATTCTACTGTAGGTTAGGGAGCATCAAAAGGTTTGATTTAAGAACTAATAAGCTGATAAACTTTTTTTTTTTAAATCCACAATTCCATAAAGCTAAATCTCAATCTGAAATAATAACTCCAATATATTTGAACAATACTCAAGAACAAATGTCCGTCTTTATGAATGTTTATTGTTTAACCCCAAGTTCCGATTGTTTTAAACAACATTCAGATTTCTTGGGTTTGGAATTACATAAGATAGATTTTAATTTCCCCTCCCTATATTAGGAGCGAAGGCTATATCGTGTACAGGATCTGTAATGTTACTAAATGTTTCCACTTTCTTCCACTGTCGAGCATTTTCTGTATATTCGTACACAGAAACCATTCCCTGTAAAGTAGTACATACAATGATAACTAATAAACATCAGAGATTACGTAGAATTGAAAATAAAACTAATCATGTTATTTGGAAATATGATAACAAATTGTGAAATGAAACAAAACTAGAGTCAGTTGTTGAGAAGGGTACATTTTTATACAATAAACCCCCCCCCCCTTGGCCAGTAAATGATTTTCCAATATTAAAGAGTTTATAGATTAAAGAAAAGTTTGACTTTTAATTCAAAATTTCTTTTTACCCATAAAAATCATTCATTTGCCTTAATTTAGAAAGTAGTGTGCATTTCGAGAAAAATATATACCCCTGATTATCTACCTGGGAAGGTCCTGTGGAAGCTGACTCATCTGACCCAACAGCCAGCATGGGAGGATGTAGACGGGATAGAGAAGGGTTCCAGGAGATACAAGAGCAAGGAATCTAGTGGAATCAATATTAGAGGATAGAGAAGGGTTCCAGGAGATACAAGAGCAAGGAATCTAGTGGAATCAATATTAGAGGATAGAGAGGGGTTCCAGGAGATACAAGAGCAAGGAATCTAGTGGAAACAATATTAGAGAGTTCATTTGAATCAAGAATAGTATAAGGATATCACAGGATTCCAGATCAAAAAAAAAACTTTATTTGTAGAGATTATTAGCCTGTTAGGGGGTTTTATAGAACTTATTATGATTAGAATTTGTCGTTAAGCTTTTGGAGATATATATTTTTCTTATTAACAGAACCACACACAAAAAATAGTTAAAGAAGGATAAATTAATTAATCACTAAATCAAATGTATAAATAAAAACTTACTTTACAATGTATTTCATGTTGTAGACTCCACTGCGACAGATTCATGACATCAGGGGCCTAAAACACAACAAATTTTACTTTTAAAAAACATTTTAAATCAATTTAATCAGGCGTAAATCTGAAATCAGGGATGTATATTTTCTCGAAAATTCATCCCCTCCCCCTTTTAAATATTATTTTTTCCCCGAAGTTATTTAGGGTTTTCTAAGGTTTTAGTCGCTAAATTTGGGAAAAATTGATCTATAAGGGGAAGTCCAATAACTTTTGGTTAAAAAGTATCGAAAATAAGGAAAAAAGTGTCCGTTTTATCTCATTTTTTCATTTTCCCCCCAAATCATCAAAAATCACCATAATTTAAAAAAAAAATATACACCCCTGTCTAAAAAGAACCCAATGTATCGCCACCCCACTCATAGATCTAGGTTCTTTTCGCTGCTGCTGTCTCATCTCCTCTTACCCTCCAGGATTTTGTTTATTGTTGAATAATCCTCAGGAACCCATGTAGAGTTATAATGAGGAAGTCTTTAAAGACTTGGAGTTGCTGATGATGGTTCTGATAGACTTTGTAACTGGTAATCTAGCATCAGCATCTCACGGATACTGTCTGAATTTGTCATAGCTTCTCTTGAAGATATTTACTGTAGTCGACTGTTTAACTTCTTGTGGGATAGAGTTCCATTTTCTTGGAATTCTCAAGCTGAAGAAATTGTTCCTGATACTGGTCCTGGAGATTTGTATTTCCAAGTTCAAAGGGTCATTAGCCATTCTTGTCACTCTGTTGTGGTTGATTTTTCTAAACCATGTTGCAGGGTTGACATCACAGAATCCATGAATTATTTTAAATGTCTGAATCATGTCGGCCCGCTCACGCCTTTCTTCAAGTGAAAGCAACTTCAACTCAATCAGTTTCTCCATATATGTTTTTCCAGTAAGTCCTGATATCATTTGAACAGCTCTTTTCTGAAACAAAGTCTAAACAATTTGAGTCAGCCTCTGTCCAGGGTGACCAAGCTGCTGTACAATATTCTAGGTGGGGTCGCGCGACATAGGTTTTGTAGAGTTTTACAAAAACATAACGATCTCTGTAATGAAAAGCACGGGAGATGGAACCTAGGATGATATTTGCTTTTCTGGCAGCTTCAGAGCATTGGCTAGCTGGCTTCAATGATTTATTGATTAAAACACCAAGATCTTTTTCCTCATCTGATTCAGTTAATTTGATACCATTCATATAGTACTCATGTCCTGGGTTATTTTTACCAACATGGAGAATTTTGCATTTTGACTCATTGAATTTCATACTCCATTTATCTGCCCAAGTACAGAGTGAATTTAAACAGTTTTGGAGTGCGTCCTTGTCAGCATCTGTGTTCATAACCTGACCAAGCTTTGTATCATCTGCAAACTTATTGAGCACACTTATGTTCAAGGCACTTGTATCGATGTCATTTATAAAGATAATGAATAGGAGAGGTCCTAATACGCTCCCCTTGGTACCCCTGAGAGTACCAGTATCCATTCTGAAAACTCACCGTTCAAAACAACTCGTTGTTTTCTATTTGAAAGCCAACTACTTATCCATTTTAAAATGTCACCTTGAATTCCATAGGATTTCAGTTTATATAAGAGTTTAGTATGGGAAACTTTATCAAAGGCTTTGGCAAAATCTAAATATACAATATCCATGTCGTTTCCAGCATCCAGTTCCTTGGTGACCCTCTCAAAAAACTCTAATAGATTAGTAAGGCAAGATCTTTTTCTCATGAATCCGTGCTGTGAGCTATTAATCAGACAATTATCATACAGGTGCTGTGTTACTTTGTCTTTAATGATGGACTCTAAAAGCTTACATGGGATTGAAGTCAAAGACACTGGTCTGTAATTTCCTGGATTAGATTTTGGGCCCTTCTTAAATATTGGAGTAATGTTGCCACACTTCCAATCAGCTGGCACTTCACCAGCCTGAAGAGACCTGTTAAAAATTAATTCAAGTGGAACTGAAACCTGAGAGTTAAATGTTTGGAGAAATTTTGCTGAGATATTATCAGGCCCAGCAGCAGAGTTTGCTTTCAAACTGTTTATCTTTTTTACTATATCCCCTGCTGAGCTGTTTATTTCCGAAACTGGATCACCAAAAATTTGTTGATCAATGATAACTTGTGTTGCAGTTGGATCCGTGTCTGAGAAGACACTACCAAAGAAACTGTTAAGAATGTTTGCATTAGTTTTATTATCACTGACAAGCTTACCATCCTTTTTTCAGGGGCCCAACTCCAGCTCTAGAATTGGTTTTTGTCCGAATATAAGAATTAAAAGCCTTTTTGTTCTCCTTCATGGAAAGATTTTTTTCAAATTTGCGCTTTGCTTGTCGTATAGATTTTTTAACTTGTTTTTCACATTCCTTAAATCTTTCAAAGTCACTGTTGTCTTTAGATTTCATATAGGTGTTATACAGTCTTTGCTTTAACCTGACCAGTCTTAAAATGTTTCTATCCATCCAAGGAGGTTTATTATTCTGTCGTCTGCGCTTGTTTGGAATAAAACTATTCATACCTTGAGTAATTCGGTTTTTGAAGTATAGCAAACAATCTTCTGTCCCCTTGTCACTAAATTCACTTTCCCAGTTCACTGATGTTAAAAAGTCTGAAAAAGAATCAACATCACATTTGTTCCAGTCTGGAACATATTCCTTAGTTTGATTGAATGCAACATTTAACATTATATTAAGAGAAATAATAGAGTGGTCACTATTGCCCAAATTTCCAATAGGTTCAATGTTTATAATTCTTTCTGGCAAGTCTGTGAGGGCTAGATCAAGAATATTACCCCTAATGTGGGTTGGAAAGTCTATTATTTGATGAAGGAATCTTTCACTTAGTGTATCTACAAAAGGGCGACATTTATTATCACAAGAGTTGTTTGCCCAATCAATAGATGGATAGTTAAAATCTCCTATTATTAAGTTGTTCTTGCCCAGGGAACTAATTAATTCACAGAGTTCTGAGTTATTTATATTAGGAGAGCTCGGGGATCTGTACACTAAAGTGACATTTAAATCTTGGTTATTATCTGATAATACTTTGAATTGGCAGAATTGATTAAATGTATTCATATTGTCAGTTTGTAAAATAGTAATTCCATGTTTTACATATACTAATAACCCGCCTCCGATACCATTAGTAGTATCAGTGCGGTCACATCTTAGAGTCGATTCGATAAAATATCCTTCAAGTTGAAGGATAGAATTTGATATATCTTTATTAAGCCAGGTCTCAGTAATTAGGATGATATCAGGGTTTTGTTCTTTAACTAAAACTTCAAGATCATTAATCTTACTGATTAAACTTCTGGCATTCAGGTAAACTATATTTAGCGTTTGCTGGATGGACCCGGGGATCCCTCGTTGCTTCGCGGCCTTTTCCTCCTGTCCCCGTTTATCTTCCTGGTTTTTATCAGCTTTCTTTGACCTTTCGGTCCGATCACCTTCCACTCCCAGTTTAAAGATTCCTCGCTGTCCATGTCTCTGTTAAGCTTTTCAGCATCAGTTCTCATTTTAGCTTCTGTCTGGCGCTGTTTGTTTGTCAAGTCCGGTCCAATGCTAATATCTTTGTATTTGGTTTTAGATAAGTTCCGTGCAGATCTAAGAACTTCATCTCGGAGGTGTAGATTACGAAAGCCAACGATCATAGGTCTAGGTTTCACTTGATAGTTGATATTGTCCTTTTTCTCACCAATTCGTACAGTATACTTAACATCCTCATCAATTTTCACCTCACATCTTATAGCTTGTAGAATCTTTACGAGTTCATCATTGTCCCTATTCTTCCTATCTCCAGGTCTAGTGACACTAGGTTCTGGTTCTGGGAAGTTATGGATTATAAGATTCTCCTTCTTGCTCTCCCGTTCTTCTAGTTCCTTAAAGACAGCTTCATTATCTGTCCCAGGAGCAGCTTCACTAATCTTAGTCTGTTTCACTATCTTCAGCTCCTTAGTCAGTTCAATGCATGTTTCCTTGACAGCTACTATCTCATCTTTGTTGTGGTCGACATCTGTCTCCAACTGAATCATCCTTTTTTCTATGGCTATAACCTTTTTATTAAGGTTCAGAACAGCTGACCTGCAGCACTGACAGCTCCAACAGTGTGATGCATGTTTTTCAGCCATTATGATGATCAGCTTGTAGGTCTCCTCATCCAGAGTATCGGAGCAGCTAACATGAATCCAGAGTTCACACAGGGAACACTGCACTGCTTTATCATTAGCTTTAACATGTACTTTGCATATCATGCAAGGATATTGCTTCTTAGTTGGAGCCATTAAAGTTTGTAATCTTCAGGCAAAAATAAAACCTCGGCGGCAAGATTTTATTGTAATACAGGTACAATTTTGTGGATATTATCCACTGTCTTCCCTGTACTACACCAGACTACAAGGTTACAATAAAATATAAATCTATGGATGCCACCACTAGTCTTTATACTGTGATCTCTTAATGCCATATCTCTTGCCCTCTCCAATGTCATATCTATAGTTGTGTTATAATCCAAATAAATGCTCAGAAGATCCTAAGGCCTTCCTGTGTTATTATTGTATCGTTTCCTGGATCTATCCCCTACGGACCCATCTCTCTCTCTCTCTGATCTCAGTCCTGTGCGTGCTCGTGCTCCCACAGCGTGAGCCAGACCAGGTAGTTCATCTACTCCTCTTCTCCTACTCAGTTCCTATCCTGGACGTAGCCAAGCGACACTTGTCTAGGCAAAACTAGGAGGACTTCTTCAACCGGAGCAGATACCCAGGTGTGGAACTTGCGTGGTGGCAGCGGTATCGAATCCACCTCCGAGTACAAACCGTGTTCCATGCTCTGTCATGTCCCTAAAACTCAAAGCTCGTGACAAACTCCCAGCAGATGGCAACTGTCGCATTCAAGGCATTGAAAAATAATCTCTTCTCCTACCTCGAATATAACTATATGTTCCTCAAGGGCGGTACCTATGAAAACTGGACCTCGCTCAATTCAGCAAGGAACATAAAACGTTAAAAAGAAAACCATATCCAATAATTTATTATACTTTGTGAAAAGAGAGGTATCAATTAAACAGACCCTCCAAACCCCACAATAAATTACCTCATATATTCTAACAGTGCCGTCTGCTGAGCATGTAGCCAGGATTAAACCAAGATGTTTAGGTCCAAACTTCACATCTGTTACACTGGTTCTAAACAATCAGTTAACAAATAAAACAATGCTAATCTTAATGCTAATCTTAAATATTTATCAATCTCTCAATGGCCAACACTTTAGCCTAGTCTTTTGACAAGGAAGTATATTTTCTTTAACATAGTTTGAACGGCAAAATATTTACCTAAACGTTGCCAATAAGAAATGCCTTGTCTAATGTCTATGCACCAATATCAATGAAGTAGCGGAATTGACATTTTTTCTGTCCATGCATTGGAGGAAGTATATTTTCGAACAAAAATCATTGGTAACATGCAACGCTTCACACTTTTTGTTGGTTTTGATTCAGATTTAAAGNGGTGATAAATGAGACCTAAAGATTTTTTTAAAGTTTAACCGAGTGCTATCAACTTCAAATTACATATATTTGAATTTTATTCAAATGTTGAGGAAAAATTTGTGAAAATTACAAGAAAATTGAGATTGGAGCTGTTATTTAGAAATTGTTGTTATTATTATTATTATTCAATGAAATAGGGGTCGGCGCTCCTAGCCGCCAAGACATATCCATGGGCTGACCGAACTGGTTACCCTAGGGAGCAGACTTACACTAGGCAATTTTTAATCTTACGATTAATCTCGATATCTATTATTTATATCCAATGTCATCCATTCATTTTAATTATCCTTGCAGGGTATGACTATTGACTAGTGACCTGCACTGGATATCGAAGGGGAATTAAATTAAGAGTGACGGTAAGTTTGCAAGATTAAAATTAAGTTCAATCCTGATCCCACCATTCGCCACACAAAAGTTTTGACTTCTTGTTTGCCGGGATAATGTATCACTTGTTTGACTAGATATAAAACTATTTAAACTAAAATTTAAATTAAAAATTCCCACAAAATTATGAATTTTCTCGCTACCTGGAGTCCACTAAGCTAGTTTTTCTAATCCAATGGTTTTGTCCAACTCCTGTTTTCTCGCCAGCAATCTCCTCCCAAACAGCAGCTGTTCGGTCAAATGAGCAGGTGGCAATAACCTGAAATAATAAATAGTCAAAGGAAATCAAACGAGAGAGGGGATATTTTTAATGCTCAATGGAAAAATATAAAAAATCGGACATCATAAGGCAAGTTTTTCCATCATTTTTGATACCTTTAACCCAATAATTCATTTGTTTTCCCCTTAACCCATTTATTTTCCCCTTCATCCATTTTTTTTTAAAATCCATTTATTTTCCCATTAAACCATTTATTTACCCCTTAAACCATTTATTTTCCCTTAAAACCATTCATTTTCCCCAAAAACCATTTATTTTCCCCTAAAACCATCTATTTTCCCCTTAAACCATTTATTTAATCCATTAAACCATTTATTTTCGCCTTAAACCATTTATTTCCCCTAAAACCATTTATTTTCCCCTAAAACCGTTTATTTATTTTCCCCTTAAACCATTTATTTAATCACTTAAACCATTTATTTTCCCCTGAACCATTTATTTTCCCCTTAAAACATTTATTTTCCCCTTAACCATTTATTTTCCCCTTAAACCATTTATTTGATCACTTAAACCATTTATTTTCCCCTTAACCATTTATTTTCCTCTTAAACCATTTATTTTCCCCTTAAACCATTTATTTAATCAATTAAACCATTTATTTTTCCCTAAAACCATTTATTTTTCCCTTAAACCATTTATCAGTAGGGAAAATATCTAGTGTAAAACAAAATGTAAATGGACAAAATGCACCACGAAACACAGATCCGAAAATATACCAGATAGGAAATAAAAACATCTGCATTACCTGACCGAATTCTGGATGAGCCCAGGTCACCTTCCAGACTGATCCATAGTGGGTCTTAAAGCTAGCACTGCAGCTCCAGGCACCTGTGTCATCCTGGTCCCAAATCTAAATCAATTCATCAATCAGTCTGTCAAGTATCATTTCAATCAATCAATCGCAAACTCGATCAAAAAATGTTTAGTGGCCTAACAACCCTTGGATCCCCGAGGAATTTTATTGGGAATATTACATTGGGAATATTTTATTGGGAATATTTTATTGGGAATATCTATTGGATATTCGGAATATCTTATTGGGAATATTATATTCGGAATATCTTATTGGGAATATTATATTCGGAATATCTTATTGGGAATATTATATTGGGAATTATCATTAAAAATAAGACGGTCTATGCTCATTGCAGACCTTTATGCCATTTATTAAGCGACTGACGATTTAAAAGAACCCAAATTTAAATACCAACCTTCAGAGATACCCTTTTAACCTTTAATTTAGTATAAACAAACACTGGAGAAAATTTAAAAGCTTTAAAGCTTTCCGACATAGAAAAACAAAAATATCTTCCGTATTGTTTCTCAGATAAAAGTTTGAAGGGTATAGCTGTGAATCAGACATGTAACTCTTTTAAAATGGAGGGCACGTGAAATTACGTCGACAGTCTTTCTTAGTTATCCTAACATTATTTTTAAAATCCGCCCTGGTGCTATTTTCAGGTCGTGACATGCTTGCTAACCTTGACATGCTGATCAGAAGAACAGGTCGCCATCCTCTTCCCGTAGAAATCATATGCAACATCGTGAATAAGGTCAGCGTGACCGGCTTTTATACTCTGAGGGTCAAAACTTGTTAGTTTCGAAGGTCAAAAATTATGAAAGAGCTCAGTTGGTCCCTTCCACTCTAGTGGAAAAATTTACCCCTTTGAATCAAATTAATAATTGTCTTTTGGTGAATTTCCAGCATATCTTCGACAGTAAACTTAAATCCTTAATTACTTTACACTGTGAAACACGACATTATTCATTGGACATAGCCCCATCCCAATCAAAAAAAAACAATCAGATATGAATTAATGTTTGTTTTAGATAAAACTTTAGTTGTAAAGTAGTCGTCATATTTATATATATTTACCCCGTCTTTACCCCCCCCCCCGAAAAAAAATAACACCTTAACCGTTTAATATAAAAAGAACCACGAAAAAAAAAATAATAAAACTGAATAGAGGAATTGAAATTTTTGCTCAATTTTCATAAATTAATTGGATATTGCAGATGTGCATTCTATTCAGAAATAAAATGCAGATTAAAAACAAAAAGTCCACCCTTCCTTTGTGACATACATTTTAATAGATTATCTGAAAACAAATTCATTTCTAAATATATTTTAAGACTACTTTGTGAAGACAAGAATTTAGACAGAATTTCTCAAATATTTCCAAATCGGCTATTTTCAAAGTTTCCGGCCTCGGTGCTCGGGCCCTAACGCAATCAAGTTGTGCGTGGAAAATGTTAAACTTGGAAAATTGTCGTTATGGAAATATTTAATTGGGAAGAAAATAGCAAACATTGACAGGAAGTTAGAGGTAACTGTATAACAAGTACTGAACAAGTAAACATTGCTTCTCTATGAAAATATATATATGTATACATATTACAGATCTCTAATTGTATGTAAATATATTTTATATATATCTATCTCTGTAAGTATGATCTAATTGTCCACTATAAACCGTACTGTACACAGTACAGTTTTTAGTGTACACTGTACAACTGGCGCATTTCAACGGGATATTTCATTTTACACTGAACATATGGTCCAACCCTGTACAATGTACATACATTTCTTTATAAGTAGGTAAAATACTTTACGAGGTTTAATAAAAATTTCAAGAATAGTTTAAGAAAATTTTAAATATTTACTTCACTTTTTCGTGAATTTGTCAGTTGATTATATTATAAAATTAGTTTGGACTACTGAAGACTATATTTGCATAATGGCGGCGCCAATATGTGGAAGGGTGGCGGTTGATGGTGATGGATAATGTCGATGAATATTGCTTTATCTCGGATATGCTTGATTCAACTTCTATGAGTGGCTAAACCTGAAAGAAAATGAAAGGTTGTTAAAAATATAATTACAAAAACCTTGGTTTAAAGGGGTCTTCGGGAAAAAATTAAAGGGTTATGGGGTGATATCGAAGATCGCTACTATTTTCACTTTTATCGGTTACGTATATATATTAGGAGAAAAGGGCTTAAAACGTCTCATACAGAAGAACGTAGAACCCGAACAAATTCACGGAGTTGAACTATTATCTCAGATCGTCAATATAGTTTGATTAAATCTAAAATTAATCATTTAGATATTACAACCTTTAAATGTCCAATTTTATTCGATGCATTCGTTTGTAGTTGATATTTCATAATATTTTTATTTTTTATATGAGATGTACTTTAAACGACGATTTTTTGGCCGCTAGATGTCTCAGCTCTCGATGTTTGAGGAATTTCGCTTGGAATAGACATCTAGCGGCAAAAAAAAATCTTCGTTTTTAAGTACATCACATATAAAAATAAAAATAAACCTATAAAAAAAGGAATACCTTGGGAGAAGCAGACCAAACTTAGATTCTACCCCGGCAAAGATGGGGCGGGCCACCTGGTACCCGCCTATATGCTCCGGATTACCGGAGGACATATCCATAGCACTAGCCACGCCCTCCGACACTGAACCGGAGGGACGACTGCCTCCGAAATCGATGTAGAAATATCTCTGCATTAATTCGTAGGTAACCAAGGTTACTCCGAACTGGGGAGAGCTCCTGAAATCAGAGTTTTAAAGGAATAGCTCACAACTAATATTTTTAGAATGAACTACCCCTATCTAACGCCCAGGGTACCAACATTTTAAATTGTCAAGAAGCATTTTTCTTATTTAACTTTTTCCTACAGGTCTATTCCCAAAATGTCAATTTAAGCTGAAAAGGAAAGACGTCTACACTGGTCAATGGCCACTTGGGAAAGATTAAAGAAGTTGCTATCAAGGTAAATGCCTTTGAGAAATTTTTAATTGATGAAGTAAATAATGTCTACACCCTTGTCTCTTGGTAAAAGTTTGCGATAAAAAAATAAAAATGCACCAAAATATAAAGAAACAAATCATGTTTTAGTTCATAATTCTTAGATTTTATTCAGACATAAAATTAGATAATTCAATTTATTAAAATTGTCACGGAAACTAAAGATACAAACCACATATTTGGAAAATAGACGAAACTGTCGGAGTGTGGTGGGGGGGATTGCCCTCAATAGATTTGTTTATTTTTAACCTGCACATTCTGGCGATGCTTCCTTTCCAGAAAGCCCTGAATCCCTCCTCAGCGTAGATTTTCCTGGCAGCGTCCATCACACCAGTATATGTTGTTTGACCGGCCCTAGCCACTACCTAGGATAGACCTAAGTTATAAGGATCAAATGACCTATCAACGATCAATTATGACTGAACCTGAGGTTGCAACTTAAGAATAGCGAAAGAAAAATTGAGCTAGATACGAATAGTAGAACTAAATATCTGGTGAGCTCAAGTGTGCTACAACAATTCTTAAATAGCCATACCTAGTGTGACTAATTCCTTGCGTCCAACCTCTTCGAACTAGATTTAAAGATTAGTGAGAGGAAGATATAAACTGCGTAAACGTAGTTGAATCCCTTTTTTGCGCCGGTACAAGTTGAGTATTTTGGTTAACTAGCCTTTGTCGTTTTTCCGCTTCTCACGATTTATAAAACTTGGTCCCTGGCCTGGGTAGAATAAGGAAACGAAAAAACCTCTATCATCGCTACCTGCAATCTTGTTTTGATGACGTCAGCAGGCGTAACCAAACTTGCTGCAGGCATACCAGCAATAGCTCCAGCAGTCAGCAGGGATAGCGGGGAATTGTATCCATTCTCATCTTAAATATTTATTCTTTTATTTCTGGATTTATGACATTATCTTATATATAGATTAATTGGTTGATGATCTATCTGATTTTTGGATTAAATAATTTTTTAATTATTTCGTATATGGACAATTTATTTAGGGAGTTATTTCTTAATGGATTTAATGATTTAATTGATAGGTTTATGGATTATTATCGTCATGGATTTGATGATTTATGAATAAAAAGGTTGCTTGAAAAATGAACAAATTAATGGTTAAGATAAACAATATGTTGATTGATTGATTGATTGTTCTGTTTACCTGCAAAGGCTGGTTTAAGATGCGCGTATGCCGGGAAGTAGATTGCAGAGAAAGGAATATCTCTCAAAAAGCAGGCCCTTGATCCTATAATAATACAAAAATACGTTATTAAAGCATTGATTTTAAAATAATTTTGATCAGAGTCAATACTAAAAAAGGGTAAATGTCATTTCATTAAAATATTTTTCACTTCCTTTTGCAAAACAGAAAGTTTCACAAAGGAATGAGTGCTCTTCGCAGATTGCAACCTGGTGTAGCAGACCTAAGATATTAAAGGTTTAAGATAGATGGGCATTTGAAATTAGAGTTTGAGGTGAAAATTAAATAATAAAAAGTATCTTTCTCTTTCTACGCCCCCTCCCCCTTTTAGGGAACTCCTCATTATCAATGAGGATTTAAAACTGACCTTTATAAAGACCGAAAAATCCAAGTTCACGAACTACTCCCATAGCGGAAACTTTAGAGCCGGCGGCCAGCTCTCCGGCTACCTGCAACCTGATCTTCACAATCTCCAGGGGGTTGGTGAACATCACCTACACATAGAAGAGGGTTGGGTGGATATCACGGATCATTTAAATGAAATAGAGGGGGATAGGGTTAGTGGCGAACAAGGAGCAAGTCATCTTAGGAGAGAGAAATTGTGAGCATTAGAGACAATGAAAGGGAAATACGGAGCGTTGAAGACGATGAAATGGAGATAGGGAGCATTAGAGACAATGAAAGGGAAATAAGGAGCATTAGAGACAATGAAAGGGAAATAGGGAGCATTAGAGACAATGAAAGGGAAATAGGGAGCATTGGATACAATGAAATAGAGACAGGGAGCATTAGAAAATGAAAGGGAAACAGGGAGCATTAGAGACAATGAAAGGTAAATAGGGAGCATTGGAGACCATGAAAGGGAAATAAGGAGCATTAGAGACAATGAAAGGGAAATAGGGAGCATTGGATACAATGAAATAGAGATAGGGAGCATTAGAGACAATGAAAGGGAAATAGGGAGCATTAGAGACAATGAAAGGGAAATAAAGAGCATTGGATACAATGAAATGGGGATAGGAAGCATTAGAGACAATGACAGGGAAATAGGGAGCGTTGGAGACGATGAAATGGAGATAAGGAGCATTCGAGACAATGAGAGGGAAATAGGGAGCGTTGGAGACGATGAAATGGAGATAGGGAGCATTAGAGACAATGAAAGGGAACTAGGGAACATTGGATACAATGAAATGGAGATAGGGAGAATTAAAGACAATGAAAGGGAAATAGGAAGCGTTGGAGACGATGAAAGGGAAATAGGAGCATTGGTAAGAAGGAGATGGAAAAATGGAGTATTGAAGTCTAGAAGAGGGGGATAATGTTTGTGGAGAATTATAAATAAGGAGCGGTTGAAAAAGTTTGGGGAGTTCAAGGAGAACTAATGAAAGGAAAGTAGTGTCTGTAGAAAACAAGGAGTTTTATAACCAAGGAATGGAGTGGGGTTGTTGTTGTTGTAGAACAAGGCGTACAATTACTGAAGAGTGGAACGCTCCGCCTTTCATACCTGTGATCCGCCCCCGCATGCACCCGCCAAACACTCCGCCCAAAGAGGTAGATGTCCGCCATTTGCAGTTTTTAGTTTGTCTCTAAGAACAGATATAATTATTAAATAATGAAACAAAAAAATTATTTTTTTCTGACGATTAATTTTTGTTAGTTTTTCTTGAAAAATTGAATTTTCGTACCTTGCAAAATCATTCATGGTGAGTTTTATAGCTTTTTCAGGGGCAACTCCCATTAGTTGAGGAACTAGGCCTCGATATAGACCAGTAAATCCTTCATGTCTAACCATTAAAATCGGTCAATCAATCGATCAATCATTCAATCAATCAATAATAAATCAATCAATCAATTATTTGTAATCTTAATATTATTATCGTTGTTTTGAATCCAGCTTGCAATCTATAATCAAAGTACTATTTTGATCGATTACGTAAATGAATGATCAATTCACAAATAAACATTTTTTTTAACAATAAGTTGATGATAATTTAAGAAACTTGTTTAATATAAATTAAATCAAAATAAACAATGAATAAACTAGTCAATCGATCAATCGATCAATTGATCGTAAACTAAACCTATTTAACCAATCAAACATGTCAATCAACAACTTATTTAATAAATTAACAAGTCAACCAACAACTTATTTAATCAATTAACGAATCAACCAACAACTTATTTAGTCAATCAACAAATCAATCAATTAACAAGTCAACCAACAACTTATTCAATCAATCAATTAACAAGTCAACCAACAAATTATTTAATCAATCAACAAATCAATCAAGTAATAAGTCATTCGATGATCAGATCTTTCTTATCAGTTCGTCACTCAATTAACCATTCCATCAATCAGTCACTTCATTAATCAATAGATCAATCATTAATCATCTTTAATTACCTGAGCACCTTCTTGAAGCAATCGAAACTATTTCTGTACATTAGCTCTCCTAAACATAAGATTATATTACTAAGAGATTTAAAAATAAAACTATTTTTATACATTAGCTCTCATAAAAATAAGATTATATTACTAAGAGATTTAAAAATATAAAAAAAATCTTGAAAACTAAAGAGGGTAAACCCAAATTGAAACAGGTTTTCTAAACTCAATGTTAGAGTAGATTTTAGGATCATAAATCAACTCCACATTAAAATCTAGAATGATACAGAGATCAGAAAATTGTATTTCGTCAAAACACTTCTTTATTTTGTTATTTTTCCGGAAATTTTTCAGAAACTGATTTCAGTTTGCGTGAAAAAGAAAACAAATTTAGAAAGGTTACCTATATATGAGCCAGTACGCTGATTTTGCATCCTAGTTTTTACTACAAACAGAAACCATTGAACAAACTTAACTAATTTACTTTCTTTATTTTCTTTATTTAACACGGTTCGATATTTTTTGTAATATTTTATACTTGAACGGAATTTGTTGCTTAATGTATAATGTATCTTTAAATCTTAAATATTCTCAAATTGAAAAAGCAGAATATTTTTTGAGGAGATTATATTTTCTTAAAAAATCATATCCCCCCCCCCTGAAAAAATCGATTTTCCCCTAGAAGTTAAGCATTTTGCTGAATTGGGAAAATAAATGTCTTCGTTGAGGGGGGAATTTTTTTTTTTGGGGGGGGGGGAGTTATTTAAAAAGATGAAAAACTTTCCTTTTTATGTCCAATTTTTCATTTCCCCACAAAATTTATCAAAATCATTTTTAAATGATTTAATAGAATATTTTTATCAATGATTCCTAAATCAATTGGATAAACAGCAGTAGCTCCACAAGCACCAGCAAAGGAACCAAGAGCAAACCTAATCACAGGGGACATTAGTTCCAAAACTAACACTTGGCTCAATTCTAACACTGAGTGTAATTGTCTCAAAACCAGGATATGTTCTAAAAACGCGACATGAGCTGAAATGCTGTAATTATTTCAAAATAGGGTTATGATCGTAAATGAAATCAAGAATCATTAAAAAATAGCTCTCACACCATATTATTAATTTAAAACTAAAATTTATTGTTTCAATATATAGTTTTAGCCATTTTTAATAAAATATGGTCTAATGTAAAGATAGATAAATGTTAGTTTTGGAACTAATATCCCCTGCAATATCAAAATAGTAATGATCGCTGAACTTTGGCTTTAGAAATATGTGCATTGTACATCCAGGGGCGTATTCAGGGGGGGGGGGCTTACATACAGGGAGGGGCATTGTACATCCAGGGGCGTATTCAGGGGGGGGCTTACATACAGGGAGGGGCATTGTACATCCAGGGGCGTATTCAGGGGGGGGCTTACATACAGGGAGGGGCATTGTACATCCAGGGGCGTATTCAGGGGGGGGGCGCTTCATACAGACGGCATGTACGATTCAAAGCAGTACCCATTAGAATTAGACCTTTATCTTATCAATATTGTGTGTGATATCTTGATAAATTTTAATTTTCTCCATTGTTTCTACGGCATCAGGATTCAATCCGTCAGAGATAAACCAAATGAACTTTATCAATTATCAAATGGAAAATCATGGATACCGTGATCATTCTTGATAATATAAAGCTCACAGGGGAACTGTTTTGAATCGGATATGCCAATCTTTAAATGAAGGATCACTTGAAAATACAATCACAGTCAATTTAAAATCAATTCTTAGTGTTTACCATTTTGTGGTAAAATATCTATTTAGTTCTATACTGTACTGTACTGTACTGTACTGTACTGTACTGTACTGTAGTTGTACCTGTTTCATGTACTGCTCTGGAGCAATTGCAGCGAAATCTTCGTACATAATCTTCTGGAATCCGTGCAATTTGTCGCAAATTTGAAAAAGCACATCAACCTCTGCAAAAAAAAAGAAGTAAAAGAAAGTCAATCTAAAAATGGTCCCGATATGAACCCACTGACTGTCACAAGAGGAGAGGGGACCGGAGCACCCTTAACTAAGCTTTCGGTGTGTACTGCAGTGATTTGCAGTATACTGACAGAAGGAAGAGTGAGTTTTAGTGGAGAGTTATAAGGGAGATGAGGGGGGATTGAAGGGGGTAGTACAGTGAAACTGGCGGGTGGCAGAGGCCAATTAATTAACAAATAATAAAACTTATCTTTCGTTTGAAATTTAATCATCGTTCCTTCACTAAGTCTATTAAAGGAAAAGCCCGAAACATCATTACATTTTCAAATTTTTTCAAATACAAAAATATGTAAAATTGGTATCAATCAAAGTATGCCTTACAGGGTGAGTTACATATATGCTGTGTTGAAAAAGTGACAATAGACTAGTTTAGCATCTAAAACATTAAACAAATAAATTTGAAGAAAAAAATTACAAAATAAATAAAATTATTAAATAAAAAAAATGATCTAAAGTTACCTAGAGGAGTGATTTGCGACATCATTTGAGCAGAATACAGAAAATCTTCCTGAAATATAATTTATATGTACGCTGATTTGTGCAGCAACAGGAAGAATTGAAATTAAAATAATTTATCTCTTTTTAAAGATAGAAATACAACAATAACTTCTTTTTGTTTTAAATTTTTAGATATTTTAAAGATTTAAAGAATAACATAGTGAATCGGACATGTGAATCGTTAAATGTACGGTCATTTAAAACTACACTTACAGTCCCTTTCTTACCTTCTTAATTTCAGCCATTCTGGACCCGTTGGAAGCGTTAAGATAAACCTTCTTGATCAGTTCCATATTAGAGAGAAGAGAGATGAAGGCGATAAAATAGGGATAAGACACTTGGTTCCCATCAGCTGAATTAGATTAGTTTGGTTTGGTGGAATTAGAATAAAAAGATCATTCTTTATGGGATAGTAGACAAATATAAAAAGAACATCTTTGGACCTAATGTGTTCCATAAAAAAGGTATTAGGTGTACTTTCTAATAGGTAACTTTAACCTAAGATAGCTTAGTTAATTGTTAAACAATCCCTTTAACACTCTAACCCGGAGTAACTAGCAAATTGGTAAACAATCCCTTTCACACTTTAACCCAAGGTAACTTATCAAATTGGTAAACAATCCCTTTAACACTTTAACCTATTGTAACTTATCAAATTGGTAAACAATCCCTTTCACACTCTAACCCGAGGTAACTTATCAAATTGTTAAACAAACAATCCCTGTAACACGTAACCTAAGGAACTTATCAAATTGTTAAACAAACAATCCCTGTAACACGTAACTTAAGGAACTTATCAAATTGATAAACAATCCCTGTAACACTTAACCTGTAGTAACTTATCAAATTGGTAAACAATCCCATCAACACTTTAACCTGAGGTAACTTATCATATTTGTGAACAATCCCATTAACACGTAGCCTAAGGAACTTATCAAATTGGTAAACAATCCCTTTAAAACAATAACCTGAGGTAACTTATCAAATTAATAAACAATCCCTTTAACACAATAACCTGAGGTAACTTATCAAATTTGTGAACAATCCCTTTAACAATTTTATTTGAGGTAACTTTTTTGATTGGTCAACAATCCTTTCACAATTTTACATGTGGCAACCTATCAAATTGGTGAACACTCCCTTTAATACTTTTACCTACTTGATAACTTTTCAATAGGTAAACAATCCTTTCAACAATTTTACCTGAGGCGACAGCTGCAAGATTTGATTTGACAGAATCGGTTAAAAGATGGCTTTTAATAGAAACCATAATATCCTCAAAATCTGATCAACCAAACAATCAATTATTTTTTTTACAATCTTACGTTTTACTGCAACATTTAAGATCTGACAAACGCATTTTAAAAAGAGTAAATTAACATTGAATTGTTGAAAAAAATCATCTAATCTTGCAAAAACTTCCCAGAGCGCAATGTTTATTTACTTTTATGCCAAGGGATTGTTAAGTCACATCATTTCCAACAAATTCCGGAAATCATTAGTCTGTATTTTGCACCAAGAACCGGTGAAAGAAATACATATTGAAATCATTTGAATAAGAAAATTTAATTTTCTGCTTATTTTCAAAGGTATAAAAATACTTTTATCATCAGATGAATGATTGGTGGTTTCCTTTTGCGCTGATGAACCCGGTTCCGTTTTTATCTTTAGCCTGTCGAGAGATACACCTTTTAACATTTTTACAGAATAAAAATGGGATTGTAAGATTTTTAAAAATTAAGAATTTTACGTTTTGCTGAATTTTCATTTGTAAATGACATTTATTATAATATTTTTTTGTTGAAAATATCCTTTTCTTAATTAAGCACAACATGAAAAATAAACTTTTTACATTGAGAGTAGAGAATAATAACTTCTTTGGAGTAATGAAAGAATCAAAATAAAATTTGAACAAAAAAATAAGTTACTCTTTGTAAATTAGGAAAAGATTTGTTTTTTAACTGTTAAAAAAAATATTTTTCGCAACGAAAATGTTTCATACTCGGAGAGGGGGGGGGTTGGCGTTACAATGAAGAAAGTTTAGGAGTGTAACTAGCCTTGAAAGCAACTGTTGCATATTCGTCGTGGAAATCATGAAGAAACTGAGAGAACTCACTGTAAGATATCTGACGACTCTTCTCCTTACCTAGAATTCGCATCAATATTTTTTTTTCGTTTTTTATTAGATATTCTAGGATTTTATAGCTTCTAAGAAGCTTCACAAAGTCTACAAAGGTTTGAGTAATTCAAAGTATAATTTTCTCTCAGTTTTCTTTTATAAAGTCATGAAAAATTTTGACTTTGCCAGAAGATAAAAACCTTTTGAGGATATTCTAGAATTTTTTAGACTTTAAGAAGCTTCACAAAGGTTTGAACGAGGCAAAATCCATCGTTCGTTAACGAACAATTTGAAAGTTTGTCTAGACGTAAATATTCCACCAGAGTCAAGAATTTGAATAATTTCATAAAAGCAAACTTTAAGATAATAGAATTTTGAAACATGTTAAGCTTCTCAGATTTTTGTAAAGTCTCCTGAAAGCCTAAATAACATTAGGCCGAATCTAAAGAATTTGAACCGCGTAACATGGTTGGTTCAGCTTGAAATTATATTAAGTGTTACGAGATTAGAGCCGGCGCACGCCCAATTGGAACCGGTTCAGCGACGCGGTTCACATTCTTTAAATTCGGCCTCTGAATGTTAAAAACCTAAAAATAAGGATTCCAGACAGTATCCTTACCAAAGTATAGTTTGATAAATTCACTATCGTAATTAAACGGTATTCTCTTGTGTATTGTTGTTTTAGAGATGATATCCACAAACTCATCAAAACTAGAAAAAAGTCGGTTTACATTTACATCACAACTATACAAAAAAGTCGGTTTACAATAACATCAAAACTGGAAACAAACATTTAGAATTTCATTACTAGAGAAAAAATGTATGCACAATTTGGTCAAAACTAGTCAGTTTGCATTTACACCAAAACAAGAAAAAAAATGTTCCTTGATTCCACCAAAATTATTTCTGGCATGTACACCAAAATATTGATGCATTTTCCACAACATTTCTTTAATTTTCCACAAAAAGTTCATTAATATCCTAAAACAAGAAAATAATACCGCTAAAATAGCCCGTTTACAATTTTCTCGGAAATGTAGATTGAAGGTCGGGTTTTGAATAATACCCGTCTAAACTCTACAGTTCTGTTTGTTTATCAATAACTTAAATTAAATTATTATATTCAAATTTTCTATCCATTACATAATATCTAAAATTTACCTCACAGAACCGTTCCCGTTTGTGTCGAATAACTGAAACGCAGTCTTGTAAAGAGCATCAGGAACACAAAGGTTACCTAAGAACGATACAATTTGTTGGAACACTAAAGTTACCCAAGAACAATACAATTTATTGGAACACAAAGGTTACCTATGAATTAAGTCATGTTTTTTTAAATACAAAATTATCCTAAGCTATTGAAAAAAATATTTTCTGGCCTCAAACTGTAATTTTCAACATATTTTAAGGTAAGTTACAGTTATTTCAAGGATAAGCTGATTTATTCATTCAAAAAAAGTAAATTTATTTGGGGGTTTTCATAATCATCCTTTAGAATTAAAAACTCACCTTCAAAAGTTTGGAACTCTTTAAAAGATATTCTACCCTCCTATATTGATCAAGTTATTCTTTTTATGAATAAGAATATCAACAATTATATCAGGCTTTCTTTGAGGCACTTTAAAAACCAATAATGGAAAGACATTTTTTTTGGTAGAAATCCATTAGTCGCTTTTTAGAAAATTATCGAAATTAGATTGAAAATTATCCATTTCCAAAAATATTCCCGTATACAGATGGGATTATATATTACTGGTGTGAAACTTTTAAATTGAGCACCGCTTAGAACTTCGTCGTGAGTCCCTTTAAAAGGAACTGTTCATGAAATAATTGATCTTTCCTTTGATTGGTCAAGCACGCCACAGAGCAAGTGAAGAGACTCTTTATTGTAATCTTTCTCCGGCAACAATCCCAGATATCTGAAAAGTCATTTTTTAAATTTCTACTTAGTCAACAAGGACTAGGTTCTCGACTATGGGATGTCTGGAAGGGTGGTCCAATCCCCCTCCCTGGAAATTGAACAACCTTTATTCAGTTGTAAAGATTTTAACAATTACAGAGGTGTACTCAGAGGGGGGCTACAGGGGCTCAGTCCCCCCCCCCCCTAGATCAGTAAAATCAAAGGTTTCCAGGGGATTTTCAGGCCCGAACACGAAAGGTATTAAGCCCCCCACCTGGAGTGCCCCCGCCCACTGGATAAGTTCATGAGCACGGTAACGCCCCTGAATAATTATAAATCAAGGGGTTAGCATTTATACCTGATCACAAAATCCTCGTCTGTCATGAACTTGTCTCCCTCCACGGTAAGACTGGCGTATTTGTCGAAGATTTCCTTGAGTTCTCCGGTACTCGCCCTGGATCAATTTATTCTGTAAGTGCTAACGTCGTTTTCCACACGTGAAATGAGCTGAGCTTATGGATTAATTAGAGCTTTCTCGTGAATTTTTTCAACTTTATGGCCTAATATGTTCGCTGTGACGCCAATTTGTTTTCCAAGGGGAGCATTTATATTTAAGCGCAGATTTGATACATTTAAAGTTCGTGACTTCAGTCGAAAACGTAATTAAAATTCTAAAAATTCATTTTTAAATTTCAAAGTCATTTACCTTTTAATATAGCCGCCGTGTGTCATGCTCTGACACGAAGCCGTTTTTAAAATTCCTAGAAAGAAATTCAATTAGCGGAGACTAGTCTATTTATAATTTTTATGTCATGTATAGAATAATGAGCAAAATAAAATTTGGGTCTAATTTATAGAACGCTAGAAAGAATTTACGGTTTACAGATATTTTTTGATCAGATCTTAAAGGAGCTTTAACCTGTGGTTTGAAGAAAGCTAGAAACTGAGTACGTGCTTCGTGGCTCCCCCATTCCACACATTAGGCCGGCCATACTTACACCTGCAAACGATAAAACCAAAATTACATAATATAATTTTGAAATATGATTAAAGGACTTAAATATCAGTTATCAGTCGAAATAAAATAAACTTGTAAATAAAGGGTTATACTTATAACAGTTGTTAAAAAAATTTAACGTTCAATATCTAACTAAAAACACAGAAACGTTTGAAATAAAAGAAAAAAGCTTTAAATTTTTGACTTCGCTATTGATATTTGGAGGGACGCTACGTCAAAAATTATATTATTGCTCTCCGTTCAGAACCTTTTTCTCAACTAAAGAATACTAGGAGTTTAAGTGGAATAAATCGATCTAATCCGAAAAAACCTTAAGCCGGCCCGAGAGCCATGAGCGACCCCAAAAATATAAACTAAAGGCACGGATCGAATCTCGATTCATTCCACTCCAACTCCTGTGTAGACACAAAACCAAATTACTTCATCAAGCCAGCGTAGAACTTTAAATATATCTGGATAATCCTGAAATTACGGCTATTGCTCGGTCAAAATAATATCCAAATATCTTATAACTTATCCGCTGCTCGGTTTTCTAAAAACTGAACCATACTGTACAGTATTCATACGTTTCATAACCGGTTTTCTTCACTACGTGCAATATTGGTAATGTTACAGATGCGCATTTTTCCTGAATTGCCGCGTAAGGATTTAACAGCCATTGAAAATACACACACACTATGGGGAATATTTCAAAATTACCTTCAAAACTTTTTAACAGATAAAAAAGCCAACATTAAAACAAACAACAGCTTTTTCAAAAATTGTTAGTGATATTTACATGATATGTTCTGAAAAATTTAAGTGTATTCGAAAATTAAAACTTCGTGATCGTCTTTTCTTCCCAAAATGTTCATGAATAGAAAGAGTGATTTCAGAAAGCAGTCAAAAAACGGCCGTTTCATGGAACTGTTATGAACTATTTAGGATTTAAGTCTGAGGGGGGGGGGCAGAATAATTGACCGTGAAGATTGCTTCCCGCGACCCCAGAGCTGGGCTGTTTTATTGTTGCTCTACTTTCTTCACAGCTCCTATAGCTATATTTGACCCTTTAACCTTTTTTCTAGGGTTTCCACCGGAATTCCGGGTTACGGTTTACGTATGGAAATGATCCGGAAATTTTTTTCATTTCCATTATGGAAAAGGTTCCGGAAATTCGGAATTCCGGAACAATTTCCAGAACGATTTTTTTTCCGTAAACCGGAATTTTCCGGGACGTTGATCTGGAATTATGGAACGTTACGGAATAGAGTTCCGGAAAATTCCGGTTTACGGAACAATTGTTCCGGAATTTTCCGGAAAACGTTGAAGACATCTTAAACTTTTGTAAAAGATAAAACCAGTAAGTAATATCTACAGAATAATAGAATGTGCGCCTGGTGTAGCTGTAGTCATGTACAGCAATCCTTGAGTCTAATTAATGTTGTTACAAAGGAAATAGGTTAAATAGTAACTTATAAAATCACTTTTAAATTTGTCTGTATACAGTATAGTATATATACTACGTAATTGCCGTGTCTCATGTTCATTGAACTATTTATAGAGTCATAATTTAAGTCTAATAGTCGTCCTCCTATTCCAGAATTTTCTGGTTCTCACTCTATTTATATACTTTGCTCGTCTGTTTGTTTGTCCGTTTGTGTCCAATAAACGTCCAAACAGCTGAACAGACCGAGCCCAACATTGTGAGGCAACTCACATGGCCCAAGGGAAATTGTTTAAAACTAGATAAAAATTTAACACTAAACACTACAATATTCTACCGTACAAATTAATACACTTTCATCTCATCAACTATATAGACGAGGGAGGGAGTCCAGAGTTCCTCAAATATAGTAATCACCGCCACCCAAATCTGTTTTGCGGCAAGCGCGCTCCTCAATTGGTAATCTCCACCACCTCAATTAGTAATCACCGTAAAATTTTGTTTTCTATGATTTGAATTTAATGCACTTTTAACACAATTTTCGACATGAGCGTATTTGAAATTTTAACTCAGTAACAAATACTTAATTTTAGTCGATCCATTGTGTATACAACAATTGAGAACACGACCAGTAAGCAGACGTTTATAAATTATATTCAGGGATATTTAAGGATCCTTTGTATATAAAATAAAAAACCTGTAAAAATAGACTAATTTAATTAATTTTATGTGTTATGTTAAAAGTTAGAATGGGCATTATATGCAACAACTGGCGGTTAATTGGTAGTCAAAAACGAAATATACAAAATAATTTTTTGACCAATTGAAAAAAAATCAAACGAAATGGGTCATTCGATCACGAACGATAAACGAACAAATAAGAAAAAATCAGAATGCGCCCATCTGTATGTGTATCCCTGGATAATTCTGTAAGAACAGTCATAACACAGAAATAATTGAGCAGATTGGTTTTAATATTTATTAGTTAATTTGTTAGAGTTACAGATATATTCTTAGCTTAGTTTGAAAAAATGTTTAATTCTCCAGGCAAAGCTTGGTTTCTACAGTGAAACCCTTAATAACGAATACATCGAAAGAATTCATCGAATGTCGTATTCTTCACTTTCTGATAATGGAATGTTGCAGATATTTAGTTTTTTAATTAAATGATTATATGGAACTCTTTAAAACTGTTCCCGCATATTCATGGCTATTTATTTATTTTCGCAAATACTGAAATTTACGTAATATAGTATAAAACTCATTGAATAATTGTCAAGACGACATTTGATAAATTCTTCCGATGTATTCGTTATTAAGGGTTTCACTGTAAGATAGTAATCAATAAATTGTAATTTAGACATTTTGAAGAAAAATGTTTAATTCACAAAGAAAGTTTGGATTTAAAGTCATTTATTGAAGGTGTTCAAATAATTGAGCTATCCTTCATTCATAAAGCATCACATTTATTTTAATTTCATCTGAAAATTATTAGTCAAAAGAAAGCAACTTCCACGTGAGCATCTTTTATGCTATCTATGTTGTGGCTTAATGTAAATGAAGTTTGAAACAAGAATTCTCAGTTCAATTTACTTTCCCTGAACTCTGAACGAACTTCCCACTTGCCTCAAACCCTTACTTCTAATTTATCTTTGCAATCTAATGTTGTAAGACAATTAAAATTTTAAACTATATGAATTCAGTTAGATCCAAAAGCCAATGCTTGAAATACTAAACATATACTAAATCAGGTTGCAAAGATAAAAGTTTTAGAAAACTATAGTTTGTGAAAATGTTTAGTTTCTTTTTATAATTTGTTTTAAACTTTCTATGGTAATATCAAACTATGCAGAATGATTTGACTTTCCTCTAATTCCTCTTCCGGATTTTCGAAAAGAGACCTCCTTTCACATATCCCAGCTGGCTATGAGGATCAATAACATGTTTGTCTGGATTCTTTTGACTGTAGACAAATGTGTAATTTGAGAGAACCATCATCATTGCCACCTTGGCTTCCAGAAGTGCGAACCTCATTCCTATGCAAGCTCGAGGACCTTGACCAAATCCCAAGAATGCATAAGGACTTCTAGACTGCTTGGCTTCCTTAGAAAAGTTTTCTGGATTGAACTGGTTTGGGTTTGGATAGTATTTTCCATCTCGGTGAATTCCGGACGCTGGTATCAAAACAACATCATTTTTTTTTACTTCAACATGGGTGTTAGGGAACTTGTAGTCTTTAGTACATACCCTGATTAGACCCCCAATAGGAGTCATTAGTCTTAGGGATTCCATTATGCACATTTCCAGGTACGGTAGTTCTTGGATAGCTTGATACTCAGGAAAATTTCCACCATTCTTCTCAAAAGCCTGATCTATTTCACCTTGAAGTCTTGATTGTATATCTGGATGCATGGAGAGATAGTATCCCATAAAGGATAGAGTCATTCCAGTGGTGTCATATCCAGCTACCAACAGAATGAGAGCAGTAGAGACAATAATGTCTTCATCAAACTCCAACTTTTTCTTAATATGTTCTAGCTTCATGTCATTTTCATATTGGTCAACCACATCTGTATTATTTTCCTCAGAGTCTTTAGAAGTTTTCATACAGTCTATCATTAGATCAATCAAGTCATTGGGTCTTTCCCCTGTTTCTCTTCTATGCTGAATTGTTTGCCTAATAACATCACGAAAGAACTTTGTTTCCTTTGGTTTATGTGCATTGAGATTAAGGAATTTCTGAAGCTCTGCACAGAAAGGAATTAATCTTGAGAATATTTTTAAATTGTCCATAGAGGTCATTGTAAAAATTCTGGCTGCATATTTTACAAATATTGTTGATTCATCTTCAAAACTCTGTGGGTTAATTCCAAAAGCACAAGTAGCTAAGGAATCAAGACTAAACTTTCCAAAAACCTCCTGAAAAAATAACACAGGTTATGCGAAAATTTAGCTTCACTCTAGACTAGGGCTGGGCATGTTGATAACAAGCTCAATGTTATTGATGGCAGATGTTTTAGAAATCATAAACATTGCTAGTTGTTAACCAGCCCTTAAGACACATTTAAAAACATCAAAACATGTAAAAAGCATCAAAATTCAAAGTTCTATAAAAACATCAAATTCATTAAAAAATCTTGAGTTTTTGCAAGTTTCATGCAAATTTAAAAATTAAACCACTTGGCTTTTTCAACCAATAATTTTTTCAAAAAATGCTTTTCTTAATGTTACCCAGCCAGCCAAATTGCGCAAAAAGAGCGCAATTTAATTGTCACTTTTCGCATTTTTATGTAAATTTTATGTAGAGGTTTTGGCTCTTTTTACGCCATGAAAGACGTAAAATCGCACACTTAGCTACGCAAATTTATTGGTTTTAGTAGACGTAAAATGTACGTAATAATGTTATACAAATTTACGCCAAAAAAGCGCATTTTTATTTTCTCAATTACCAAAAATTATGCAATATTTGATGCATGCAGAAAGGCCATCCATCCCTGAGTAGGTATGGTACTTTCTCTGAACTGTTTCCATTAATCCAGGAACTGTTCAACATAAAGATTATAGCGTTAAGCTTTATACTTATATGAGAGTTATAAAAGTTATATAAAACTTTTTGATAGTAAATTCAGTGCATTTTCCTAATAAAAATGTTTTATCTAAAAAAATTTTAAATAATTTAAAACCCAAATCTTGACTTCTAAATGATATACTTTTAGTAAAAAATTTAATCTGAATCTTTTTACTTTTTTTAAATTTTAGGTAAAACAAGCAGAGACACCTTGCTGTAAAATTTGGTACTAAAAACCAGTTAGCTATATAGCACTGTAAATTCTCTGCCCAATTACCCCCCCCCCCCCTTCCCACTCTTATCTTCAAATCACAAGGCTTTCTATATAATATAACATTGCTGCACTCTGCACAATGCACACACACCTGGGCCACTCAATTCTTCAATATTTAAAACACTTAAAACATATGTGTAAAAAGAGCGCAATTTTTACACAATTTTAATGCTAACAAAGACAACTTAAATTCTTTTTAAAAGTTTATTTTTTCAATTTTTTTGGAAAATGCAATATATGCCATATCAGAAATTTGAGATATTTCACAAATAATTTAGATTTAGAGTTTTAGAGAATTACGCAAATTGAGCGTATTTTTACGCAATTTGTATACCTGAAGTAAAATGATACACATCTCTACAAATTCATGATATTTTTACTTAAAGCTGGGTTACAAAATATTTTCTTTAGAAAAATTAGATATTTACACTAATTTGAAATCTAGTCTTATGCAAATTTGCGTTTTAATTGGAGCCAAAATAATATGCGTTTACGTTGCTTACACAATTTGGATAGCTGGGTAGTTAGTTAATGATTTAAAAATTAATGGTTTTTGCCATTTATTAATGGACTCTTCTGTTAATTTAAAAAAAAACTTTACCCTTTATACTAGTGTAAAGAGGAAATCAAAAGATTAAAATCATAGGCAAAACTTTTTGTTTTTACCTTGAGCTCAAAATCTTTTCCGCTCTCTGCAAACTTCCCAAACTCCATGTTCAATGATTCACAAACTTCTCTGATAAACTTGACCATGCCCTTCATTTTTCCAGAGGTAAAAATAGGACTGAATGTGGCTCTAACATCCTTCCATTCATCTCCAAGCAAACTAGGTAACTGTTTTGCCCAAAGCTGATCATATTCCCCTCCATCAAACAATTTGATAAGATTAGTATCATTTCTATCCACAAAACTGTTGAAGTCTTTGGCCATGACATGCTTAATCATTTCCATATTGTGGATTGTTAAAATTGGCTTTCCGAAGAAAAAACTTCCATGCAAATCTTCATTAATAAACTTGTCATAGTCCTCTCGTATTAGATCATTAACTTGCCGGGACTGACTGATCAGCTCTACATGGCTTCCATAGGGAAATCTTCCTTTAATGAATGGAACCCCTATATCTTTCCATCGATCAAAGTTCTTGGTAACATATCTGTAAAACACCAGACACAGTGCAATGAGGATCAAGATGATTTCAAGAAGCATGATTTTGATACTGTATTTTACAGTGTTGTCTACTAACTGACTAAAGTTATTTACTGTATGCAGGGAGAGCTAAGCCTGAGTTCAAAGAAAACATATGTACTCAATCAATGTAAGTATAGTGGGGGTAGGAATGGGCAGTTTTGACTTTTTTGAAAAATTCTTGTTTTGTTTGGTTAAGAATGAAAAAAAATCTAAAAACAAAATGATCGTTTTGAAAACAGAATTTTTCATGATGTTTTAATAATGTACAAAAGATATTTATTGTAAGCATAATAGAAAAGACCATCTAAAACTTTGAGCAAAAAATTACATCTATTATTTTACCTTTTTTTTGAAGGTGTTTTTATAAAAAGCTGTTCTCAAATGATGGAGAGATATAGAATGATTTTTGATACTTTTTTCAACTTGAGAACAAAACATCAACAAAAATTTAAATGTGCCCAGCCCTACATTTTTAAGCTGAGAAAAAGTAAATTATCTGTAATTGAAAAATTGAACAACAATAAGAATATTGCAATAGCATTGCCATTGCAATAATCATCATAAATTTTATTTTTACAAAAGTGATATTTGTTAATTTTTATCTGAGAAAAACAAAAACTTAACAACTATAAAACTATAATTTTAACAAAAAACCTGATAACATTGGTTAAAAAGGTATTGTGAATATTAACTTAAAGTAAATAAATGCCATACTCTTAAAACTGCTTCGACAGATCTGTATCAATCCAGCTACAACTCGTCAGTGATTAATGAAAATACAGACGCAAGCTCAGCTATCAATGTCAAAACGGACACAACCTCTTAGTCGATCAATGCCAAACCAATGTATACCATCCTATAATCCTTCTAATCTTTGATGGTATACTTTTTGTTATAGTGTTATACTTAGGGCTGGGCGCGTTAACAGTGGAACGATCGTTCTTTCCCGAGAACAAACGGAACGATCAAGAACGATCCCATCGTTCCGAAAAAAAAACGAACGCTTCGAATGCATTCTTAAAAATATTGGAACGATTAGTAAAAGAACGGAACGGAACGGAATGGGAATTGCAGCTCTCACAAAATTATACATTGCTCAGAATTATCTAAGCTTATTCTTTTAACCCTAAATTTAAAATATATAATTTAAAGTATTATTTACGGCCGTGAGGACCTTTTTATTAAAAAATTGTAATTTTTTTACGTTTTAACCATCTCTTTTCTATAAAATTTTTGTCTTTGATGTAATTGTTCGTTACTAAGAACGGAACGGGGGATGGAAACGTTCTTAATTAAGAACAGAACAAGAGGGATGCAACCGTTCTTCAACTAACAACGCCAAGAACGGAACGGAACGGGAAGACCGTTCTTCTACTCAGAACGTAACGGAACGGGATGGAACGGAACGAGAACGGAACGATAAAAAAAGAGGAACGAGAACGGAACGATTTAGCTGAAGGCCCTCGTTCTAGAACGGAACGGAACAATTTCAAAAAAGTCGGAACGTGCCCAGCCCTAGTTATACTGCTGTGCATGTTGAATGTGGCACTTCTTTCCATACTCAGTTTGACACTTCTGCTTAAGAAAATCTTGGCACTTTTGTTCTGGGATGAGGGAGGTTTTAACCGCTTGAATAGTGTTGTACTCTTGTTTATACTAAGTATGACCCTTCTGTTCTTGCCGTACATATTCTTTCTGTACCTCTTCTTGTTGTACATCTTCTTTATGTCTACCTCTTGACTCCCTACATTGTCGCTCCAACTGTCATTTCTGTCTTACTGCATCAAACTTTCTCTCCAGATTTATGTCTGGCTCCAGGTCTATATTAGAGTCAGGGTCCTTGTTGACTGACTGTTTAGCCCTCACTGCAGCATTCTGTGGTTCAGCTAATCCGCTGTGCTCTTCTTTTGTCTGGTCTTTATCCAGGTTTGGTCTTGTTTAATCTAATTTATCAATCATTTTCCTCTTTGATTCTTCTATAATTCTGTTAATTTCCTTTACTTCTGTTCCAACTGTATTTTCCTTGTCTCAGTCATTCCTTTCTACCTCGTCCTTTCTACGTAAGAGGGTTGGAACCTGTTTTCGTAACTGTAAGACTTGCCTTAATCCCTTCCTATTTGCTGGTTGTCTCTCTGAACTTACTGGTTAATTCTCTAGAACAGGATTAACTTTCTTCCTGTTCTTGCTGAGCTTGTCTAACTCTGTATTTGTTCTGGATACAGCTGTGGAATTTATGTATGCATCTGTCATTTTATTTTTGAATTTCATTTCTACAGCTGATTTGGTTGGCTTTCTCAAATTATTAATTTTTGGGCTCTGGTAGCAATCCTAACTTGTTTCTGCACTGTTCCCAGCTAACATAAAGACCGACGGCGGTTATACCGCCTCATTCTACGACAAGCTTTGCAGGAGTTGGTAGGAGCTCCAATCACCTGGTTCGATGTCGGTCTTGGCGGTATAGTAAAAGGATCACACCCAGATCTGTTGTATATACGAAATCGTACATGCGACAGCGCACAAATGAACTCCAAAATCTACACTTCGACATCGATGCTTTGGAGTATATACTACAGCGATGACTTCTTCACCAAAATCTACATTCAATACCGGAGAGGTATACACCAATATCAATATACTATATCGGAAAAAATGTCACCGAATTCAACATACTACATCGTAGACTTTCTCACCGAATTGTCAGCTTACTATTACCTCTCAGGAGTATACTATATCGGAAAAAATGTCACCAAATTCGACATACTACATCGTAGACTTTCTCACCGAATTGTCACCGTACTACTACCATACTCAGGGGTGACTACAGGATTTTTTCATGGGGGGCGGGGGAGCCCCTTTTTCTAAAAACTATGATGTTAAAGTTAAGTCAAGTTTAAAAATCCTATAATCACCCCTGAGTATGAAAGAAGTATGCTGTATACGCCCCTGCATACTGCCTAGTGCCTACAAAAATAAAAAATGGTTTAAAAGTAACAAAATGTATTTTTGTGCTTGAAAAATCTGTGATAACAATAATTTTCATAACAAGAATGAATATAAAAATATGCTGGCAAAAACATGATTTTAATTCCGCCTGTTTACAAAATGGGGTCCAAAAATCGTATACTAGGAAATTACCTACTTCTCCTTAACAACAAAATCATGTCTTCATGTTCTCACAATGGAATAGAAATAAAATTAAACAAGCTATGTACATAATTTGACAAAGCAAGCATTTTTTAAAATAAATTCCAGTGCATCTAAATACTAGTAAAAAGTTAAATCAATAGCAGACAAACATTCCCTTATCTTTAAGATAACTATTACTTTTTTCAGATTAACGCCTACTAAAATATAGAGTCCTACAAATATTTAAGCCAAGTCATACCTTTTACAACCAATCCGCCTGAGTGGGTGAGATGCCTTATGCCTGTTTGATTTGTGACACTGAGACAGTGAAACTGCTTCATCATTATGGAGCAGAGGGTAATATATGTAATTCCTGCAGAACATTCTTTAGGTAGGATTCATATAGGAATGGGCACTAGCTAAATTCGTTTTACAGAAACCTAATATTTTAAGACTTTTATAAGGTTTTACAACAATCTGAGAAGGGTCCAATGATTTGAAATTGTATTCTGTAGAAGTTTGCTTTTATCAAATATGCAAATTGGTTATCCTAGGTAAAAATATAAGGCGAAATCAAACCAAAAATGATTGTTTTAAAAACCCAAAAACAATCATTTTAAAACAATCTTTTTTGTCTTATATTTTCCTCTAAGGTACAAAGGAGGTGGTAGGTCTTTGCCATATTCACTTTTTGTAATTGTTATACTGTAAATAAAGTTTTAAAATGTCGAAACCTTCTCATATATTGTAGTAAAACCTTTTATAAGTCTAAAAACATTAAAAGTTTCTGTAAAATGAATCTGGCTTTTGCCCATTCCTAGATTCATATTATTTTTATGTTGAAGAAAGTTTTTTTTTTAACTTGTAATGCCATGATGTAAATATTAATGGAAATTTGCATGCAAATCTCAGTAACCAACCAACTTCAAAAACAAGACAAATTTGCAATTTGTATTTTCACATCACTTCTTTTTTTTACAGGAGGTCTGTCAGCCAGCACCTGAAGTGGACGTGCAAATCTGGATTCCTCAATTGCAAATTTTCAACCAATGCTAGATTTTGCTGCAAAAAGTGTAGATTTGCCAAATGCATTGAGGTTGGAATGAAACCAGAGCAAGTGAACAAAACCAAGAAAGCAATTGCTGCTTATTTTGCTGAACAGGAAAAGAATTCCAGAAAAACTGAAGAATTGGTGACATCTAAAAACACTCTCAATGATAACATAATAGTAGAAAAAGTTTTTGAGGTTGATTTGATCCCAGATGGTCAAGATATTACCCAGCCACTGTTTTTTGACCCTAAAAGAAGTAAAACATTTGGTTCTGATGAAGCAAGCATGTTTCAACAGGATCCCAAAATGTTTCAAATAACCAGAAGCGACCAACTCAACCCAGAAGATATTCATTTCTTCAGTGGCCTTGTGACCAGCTGGAGAAAGCTTCTGCTTAAAACTTACATGGATGGGATGTCTTCCCACTCTGTTCATGAAGAAGTTGAAAAGTATCATAAGCAATCTTGTGATTCTTCTACACTAACATATGATACAGCCTTGGATAACACAATGACTGATGTAGCATTGGACAATATTGCTTGCTTTACAGATATCTCTGGCCTCAATCTCTCTATGCAAGCAAAATTACGAACCTTGTATCAATGCTTTGAAATATTTTCCTCGTCAGCTTTTGAAGGAGTAACAATGCGACAATCTTTAGCCACTTATGGATACAATGTGGAGTCCCATCCGTTTAGTGCAATTATCCCAGTTTACATGCAGGACATGAAAATTGTTGACTATTTAAAAAGTGGTATGTTTAAGTCCCCATGGGCTGAAAGTCTGGAGGTGGAAGAGTTTTTTGTGAAAACCTGCCAAACATTAAAAACCTTTCTGTCTGATCCTGTTCTGCATCTTTGCTTTTTTAACCTGCTATTATGTAACTTAGCTGATCAATTTGGCAGCTCCCGCAAGTTTTGTACAGGTATTATAACTATTGAGTACTTTATCATTCTTATGAATTTCATAATGAACATGCTATAAAGTAATCATCGTGTTATAAAGTTAAATTAGCTGTACATTATATCACATGTGCTATAAAGTTTTGATTGGTTACCAGATTTTCTCCAAAAAATCTAGGATATTTCCAAAATATTTTTTTTCAATTGAAATGAAAATAAAATTGGATTCGACTTAATATTTTGACTTATGCTTTGTTTCAAGCTTATTTGATCTAGAAAAAGCCATTAAAATAAGACAAATGTTTTATAAAATTTATAACACTTTTTTTTTTGATTGCAGTGTTATAAAGTTTTTGAACTGAGATTTTCTCTATATCTCAAAGGTTCTCACCTTTTCAGATTATGTATTGTCCCTTGCTTAAGATTGGGACAAAATTAAATATAAAAAGCCTTGAACTTTCTCAATAAAGAGAAAATTTCTGTCCAAAAACTTTATAACTCTGTGAACCAAAGTAATAGTGTTATAAATAGTTATTACCATTTATAGAACAATGAATGCAAGATCTAAGGACTAATAATCTGTACTATAAATTTGCTCAACAAATGTTTCAGAAAAGCTGAAGATGATCTTGTACAAAGAAATGTTGACGAAGAGCCAAGACTCCAATCTTGCCAATCATAGATTCACCCAGCTAATCTCAACAATACATGATGTAGATGAGTGTACAAGGATTCTAGAGAGAGTTACACTCATCAAGGATACAAATATTGATCTACAGGATATTGATGTTGCACCTTTGGAGAACTTTTCAGAGACTAATGATTCTGATTTTGGTGTTGTGATGAATATGTAGTGCAAAAGAAGATATTTAGAAGATCAATAATAAAGGTGCCGGACTGTTAGAAGAAATCATTACATTTCTTTCATAATATCAACCCTACAAATAGGAGGGTTTCCATGGAAGGCAAATTTTCATGAAATAAATTTTGCTGAAGGAAGCACAAACAATGGAAAATTTTGTGCCGAAATTCCATGCAAAATAATTCCTGGAAATATGCGCGCAAACCTTGCATGACATCTTTCAAGCTACTTTTTCTTTAAAGTACAAAAATTATAGTTTAGTGATAGGAATATTGGCTTTTTTTTGCACATTTTACCTAAGCATTATATAAGTTTTACTATGTTATATTAATAATAAATCTCTTCTTTTATCCCCATACAATAAAATGCTGAATGAAATGAATTAAAAATCTATTAAATCAGTGATATTTTACAATGTGAAAAAATAAGAAAATTTAATTGTTAAAAATAGAATTAGTAAAAGATGATCTAACCTTCTTCTACTTCTCTCATCTGAAGAAAGATTTTTTTTAATTCTTTAAACAGTAAGATTTAATATCATTTGCGTTTTGATATTTTAGTTTAAAAAATTTAGCACAAATTTTCACTAGATTTTCATGTGCTTTTCTATCCCTTTATATCTATTCAGTATGCACTAATAATAATGAATTTCATTGAAATCTGTTCTGATAAATGATAAATGATTGTTTGTCCCTAAAAAAACATTTGTTTCTTGTAATTGATGATGTGAAATTGGAATTGAAATTTCACATTGGAATTTATAGAGATATTTTATATTTTATGTATTTAATAGATTTCACCTTTTATTTGTTATATTTCATACTAGCTTGGGAACCCAGCGCTGTCCAAGTTACTTAAAGTTAATCATGCCGTTTACCCGCACTTGGTCGTAAATTAGTATCTCAACATTAAGCTAAGAACATTCCTGTGGCTCTCCCAAGTTCTTCAATCAAAATTTGAGGCAAATCGGTCTTTGGGTTCCCGAGTTATGATCAGACAAACAAACAAACTAACATAGATTACTGCTTTATATATATATTATTAAACAGTGTACTTCTTGTTTTAACAAAATACTATATACCATATGCTAATCCAGATTACAAAATTATCTTTTAAAAAATGGTTTCGATGCTCTGGCTCCAAGAATTATGTTTAAGTAGTAAATGGAGATCCTAATTTTAAAAATTAAGGTTTTGTGTCTATCTTAATAAAGGTGAACAATTCTTGAACCATGATCCTGTTTTAATTACAACATCTGATAAAAAAGCCACTTATGGTTAATTCATTTATTGTTCAAAAGTAAAACTAATTTGGTTGCCAATCTTGTAAACAATTACTGCAGTTATTTACAATTCACAAAGAGGAGCATTGAATACATGGTTATTTCTCCAGCACCCGCATGTACCCCAGGTACATTTGTTGTTACTACAGGGTGTCCCAAAAACATAGGAATTTAGTGACGAATTGGATATCGTCTGTAGCATTGTAATACCTAATTTCAAAAGCCATAATATTATTATATGTCTGCTAGAGTTCATTTTATGAAAAGGGTAAAAGACTGTAAAGATGTGTCTATAATGTCTCCGCAAGATGAACAATGAAGACGGACAAGTTTACTCTGTTTGTATACTGCAATTTTCTTGTTTTACTAAGTACAACCGTATGCAATCAAAACATAAACAAACAAAATGTGAACATAGCAGACGAAACTCTTACAGATTGCAGCTTTCTCAGTAGGTATCACTATACTAAATCAAATAATCATTTGAAAAGACGATATCGAATTCTTCACTGAGTTCCCATGTTTATTTGGACACCCTGTACCTTCACATTTGTTCAGCTTTGCATTGTTGAAGTACTTTTCTCCTGTGATTCTTTTTGCAACCTTTCCAGTAAACGGTTGAAACATGTTGTACAGAGCGTCCCATATCATATTAGACTTTCTCGACAATCTTTAACGCAAAAATACACATATAATACTCAAAAAATCTAGCATTTTCTGCAAGAAAAAATTTCTATTAGCCTTATTGAATTTTTTGAAAAATTGAAATGATTCATTCTTCTTAAATTTTCTGATTTATCCCCAAAATCGTAATTTAGATCCATTGACGCGGTCTAATATGATGTGGGACACCCTGTATGTTGTTAGGGGTCCATCTTGTTTGAACATTGTCATTCCTGAAATCATCCCAGTATGAACATTCTCCTTTACAATAACTGGCAGACTAGAAGAGACCATTAAAGGAGTTGTCATTTGAACCATGCCCTATCTTTCTAACACAAATGTTAGGGTGGGTATCCTTCACATTTCTAGTGTACCAGCCACTGTGTTGATACCATGTGACTGAATCTTGTTCCCAAAGTCACACAGACGTATATACACACAGACATATATACATACAGACACATATATACACACAGACATATAAACTCACGGACACATATACACACAGACATATATACACACAGACATATATACTCACAGACATATACTCACAGACATATAAACTCACGGACACATATACACACAGACATACACACAGACATATATACTCACAGACATACACACAGACATATATACTCACAGACATATATACTCACAGTCATATAAACTCACGGACATATATACACACAGACATATATACTCACAGACATAAATATATACACACAGACTTACAAGTCGTCACTGAGAGTTTTGTAGTGTTGGGGGGGGGGAGGGGGGTTCACACAGTGTAAACTTTGGGAATGGGGGGAAGGGTTACATCCCTAGCCCTTGTTACCCAAGAAAACAGCAATATTTTCACTTAAAAGGGCCCCATGCATCTCCCCCCCCCCTCCCGTTCAACAAGCATACATAAATGTAACCACAGCCATATATCGACATATATATAAATCCTGAAGAATATTATAGATCCTGAAGAATGCCTAGCATGAAACAAATTGTCGATACAATAAAACTTCAAATATTGAAGAAAAAAGATGAACATTTGAAATTATTAACTATGCCTCGTACCAATTTTTTTTTATAAAAATTATAAAAAAATAGATTACAAACATTGTTAAAAAACAATTTTCTAGCCTTTGACATATATTTACATTTTAAAACTAGAACGAGCTTACTTTCTAGCAGTAGTTTTAAAAAAATGATTAAAAAATTGCTCAAAGATTTTCGTGTGAGAGCTTACATTTGGATCACTATGGATTTAAAAAATTAACGAATTAAGAACTATAATGTATGCTTAAAAATAACAGTGTATTTTTCGTTCGTTTAAGAACGAACTGAAAACAGTTCTAAGTTCAAAGTATAAAACGTTTGTTTAGAACTTTGTTTAATGTTTACTTTTAATAGGGTTTCTCAAGAAAGGGAGGGAACCCCTGCAGGCTGCCATGCAGACACAAGCCTTCCATATTTGCTATGCAGTATACTAGCCTCCTCTTTGCAGTAAACGAGCCTTTGCTATACAGCAAACCTTTCTTTTTAACTCTTGGTTTTTACATGTAACAAAGAATTTTTTCAATTTTTTCAACATAGTGCAGTGGCACAAGATTAATGTTGTTTATTGATTGTCATGATTTGTAACTTAACTTATAAAGTGGTTTATAAGATTTGTTTTAGAATCAACGTCATTTTTAAGTATCTTAAAGGGAGTGTTCGCGAAAAATGAAAGCGGGTGTTGGCTTAATGCGATAAAAAAAGCGCTTTTGATCGATACTAATCTTACTTCTATCTGTAGCGTCTGTATGGAGAAACTTGTTAAAGACGTCTCATACCGAATAACTTAACGTCCATACAAATTCAGAAAATTGCAACATACGACTTAGACCGTAGAAAAATCAATTTAATTTCAAACAAATCATTCAGATATTACAACCTATAGTCATCGATTATCTTTCGCCACATTTGTATACAGTTTATATTTTATAATATTTTTTAATTAATTTGTTTTGAATTTGATTATTTCTCTTGCGGCTTGCGCAACTATCAAGAATGCCGCGGACCACTCACATTTTTCGAAATCCGTTAAAAAGATTTCTAAAATAATAAAATATTATAAAATATGAATATATAATGTAATATCATTAGTTATCATTAGTTAGAATTAACAATATAGTTCAAACGATCAATTGTTCAAATGATAGTTCAAATGGCAGTAGTTCAAATGCGGATCCACCCGTCCATATATTCAGAATAGGTTATTGTATACATTAAAGAGGGAACAAATTAAGCTGAATAACGCAAACAAACATAATTTTTATAACATAAAAAATTGGTTCTATTTAATATGGTTGTAGACCATAAACCTACAACCTCCGTAAAATGTCTTTAAACCAAACCCAACATTTTTCTCCGACAAATAGACGCAGCTCGTTTAAAAAGTGAAACACATTTTACTATAGTAAATGCTTAAAATTTGGTATTTTTGCTGTAAACAACAAATCTTTGTAACCAAATGGATATTTATTCTTTTTCAGAAGTAATAGTTGTTTTATTCTGATCACGTTAGACCCCTCATTTTCTGCTTCTACCATCAAATAGTAAGAAACTTTAAAAATCAAACATTGTTCACAATTAAATATTTCAATGATTTATCGTTAAAACTAGACTATATTTTTAATTTTAGGTAAGAAATAAACTTAATTGTGCATTGTCGACTATGAATTAGTAGTGGAGAAAGAGAATATCAAACAGCTTTGAGCACTATCAACCCTTCAGTGGGATTTTCAATTCAACCCTTCATTGTAATTTTCAACCTTTCAGTACGATTTTCAACCCTCCAGTTGTTGACGGAAAACAGCAACACGCTAGACAAATCAGGATAATAGGCCGGTTAGGATTCTGGTGGGGGATGTTTATTATCCTCAGACAATTCTTTCCCGATAGGCCGCACAAATACACACACAACAGAGTAACCCCGGGCTGAAAATTTGGTTTGGCTGTCTCCGACAGGAGATTCAAGTTGAAGACGACATTTTATAGAGGTTTTAAATTAATGGTTAACACCAGTGTGATTATCAACCCTTCAGTGGAATTATCAACCCTTCAGTGAGATTATCAACCATTAAGTGGGATTATCAACCCTTCAGTGGGATTATCAACCCTTCAGTGGAATTATCAACTTTTCAGTGGGATTATCACCCTTAGAACAACCTCAAGGAACCTCGGAATGAACACTTGAGACTCCAACAGCAGGAACCTCAGGCAACAATCAACAACCCCCGTGTAACCCCAATGTAACCCTAGACAACCCCAGAATGGACAACATTGAATTCCTCCAACAGTATTATATCCATGGAGTAATCAAACCTACCATCACTGAGATCCCTCACTAAGAACCTCAGGAAAGATGCACCAGAAATCCTCCCTGCCCAGAACATGGATTTATGATCTGCAGCATACCAACCAACCAAATCCTCAACCTGGATGTAACCTTGAAGAGCAACAATGCTAACCCGACCTCTCTGATCACTGTCAACCTCCCTCAACCACATCCTTACAATCCCATCCTACTTTTCACCGCGGCTTTCCAACTCGCTTTCCCAGAGAATAACATCAAGGTAAGCAACAGGGAATCTTACCTTGATTACTGCCCTGACCTCCATAAAGCCCAACAGACAGCCCAGATCATTCTCAAATCCCGCCTCAACCCATGCGGATCCACACCCTGCTTTTCCAACTAGCCATTCTGAACAAGAACATCAAGAGATTTGACCACCTTGACCATCCATAAATCATGATTATGAAATCAAACCCAAACCTTTTCCTTTATGACACCTCCAACCTCCACGCAACCCAAGAAGACGCCATGGAACTCCTCCCTCCCTCTGCAGCTCACCCACTCCCAACTGGGATTTCTACTACCTACTAGATTTTCTAGAGACCTCACCAAACTCCTGCTACTTCAACACTTGTGCAAAAATCCTTCCTGTCAAGACCAATCCAGATCCTTCTATCGTACCAGATCCTTCTATCGTACCAGATCCCACTACCAACCCAGCTCCTACAACCAATCCAGTTCCTGCAACCAATCCAGAGCCTCCAACCACTCCAGATCCTCAAATTGAACCAAATACTCATACCAATCCAGATCCTCCAATGGAGCCAGAACCTCCTCCCAAGCTTGACAAGCTTGACTTGACACTCCTATCGAACCTGATCCTGCAACCAATGCAGACCCTTCAACCGATCCAGTTCCAACAACCAATCTTAGGTCTCCAACCAATCCAGATCTTCCAATTGAACCAGATCCTCTACCAATCCTGACCCTCCAATTGAACCAGATCACTTGCCAATCCTGATCCTCCAATTTAACCAGATCCTCCTGCCAATCCTGATCGTCCAAGTGAACCAGATCCTCAAACCAATACAGATCCTCCTATCAAACCAGATCCTCCTACCAATCCAGATCCTCCTACCAATCCAGATCCTCCCAATCGAACCAGATCCTCCTTCCGAACAAGGTCCCTCAACCGCACCTGATCCTCCAATCCAACCAGATCCTCCAAACAATCCAAGTCCTCCTATCGTACACGATTATCCTACCAAACCAGATCATCCAACCAATGCAGAACCTCCAACCGATCCAGTTTCTACAACCAATCTTTGGTCTCCACCAATCCAGATCCTCCAGTTGAGCCAGATCCTCACACCAATCCAGATCCTATTGAACCAGATCCTCCTGTCAAACCAGAGACTCCAATTAATCCAGATCCTCCAGACAATCCAACTCCTCCAAACAATCCAACTCCTCCAAGCAAGCCTGATCCTCCAACCAACCCAGATCCGATTCAACCTCAAACCTTGAGGGGAAAGTTATCCTCTTCATGAATGCACTCATTAACCACCACGGTATCCCAGCTGACAGGGTCGTAGACCTCCTCCGCCAAAAGAACGGAGACATATATGGCGCCACCATCAGTTACCGAAGAGAAGTAAGGAGGACGAATTATCACCGTCTACTGACATCTGAACCAGCTCTAACCATTCATGAGAGTAGAAAAACCACAACCTCAGGAGCTGATCCAAGGACTTGCAGAAGACACCACAGCAAAAAACCTAGCTCCGGAAGCAGGAAACCAGCTCTAAGTACCTCAGGACTAGTTCCATCTCCTTTTAAATGTAGGGTCACTTGAAATTACCGGTAAAGTCCTTTTAAATCATGGAAATTCTGGTTAAGTACGTACACCCAATGAACTATCTTCTACGCTTGTAAGAATATTGTAATTTGATTATCACTGGAATGTAAAACTAATTGATTTAAAATATTATTGAAGAAAATTAACTGCAGTGCCTTTTTTTACTATTTTTTCTGAATTGATCGCTTGCAAAAGCAATTGTAACACAAGTTGAAAAAAAATATGGTATTTTATTAATTACCTATCATATGTATAATGTTTAGTTTATGTATCCAGTAGAAATATAATGTACATGAATGTATACTGGTGTTAATAATACATGTTTGCTTTTATTATTAATGATATAAATGTTTGTCAAATGAGGAAGGGATGGCATGCCGCCACATTCCTGTTTCCGAACCGAATAGTATCAAAATTGTCTACATTCATGTTTCTGAGCCCCATGGTGTCATGGAGTAAGTAAGTGAGAGGAGTAAGTATAAGTGGGAGAGGAAGAGTCATGGTGTGAGAGGATGAGTGAGTGAATGAATGAAGGAGTGATATGACTGTATGAAAGGATGAGTGATTGTATGCATAGATGAGCGAGTTACTGATTAAGTAATTAGTAAATACGTCTTAGTGTGCATGGGTTGAGTTAATGAGTGAGTAAAAAACATTAAAAAAATATTTCAGGAATTGAACTTTAACTCTAATTTTTTCTTACCTATATCTTTGAAACCTAATGGTGCAAATCTTTCATATTTAAAACTAGAAAAAACTAGATGCATTTTGATTATTGTAATTAACTACTAAGTGGCTCGGAAGATAATTAAGGGACCGCCATCCTTACCTTTGCTCATCAAACAACAAACATTGGCAGTTTTCCAGCAAACTCCTGGAAAACATGATCCATACAGTTTATTTGGTTCCAGAAACCATTCAAGTAATATGTATTCTGGTAAGAGNTTTTGGGGAAAACGTGAAAACAATCTCAAAATCTTATATAATGAATATAATTAATGTCAAAAAGAAGTTGAATTAGATTCTAACAAACTTCTGTTACCGGCCAAGAATCAAGTTGAAAGGTAGTTGGAGGGGGGGGGGGGCAATGTTTTTACATTTAGGGGTATGCATGCATGACCTCCGAGCCACACCCCAATGGTCACATGTGCCTGGATCGTTTTTTTTTCTAGAACACCCCTTTTCTTATGGAAAAAACTGGCTCTGAAAAATTGGAAGGAAATGACCGGTAAAGTAATTTTAGAGTGAGAGCCTAAAAACGCTGAAATAAGAAGACGGCTTTAAAACTCAAGTTAAGACTACAGATAGTCCAATGAACATGAGACACAGCAATTGTAAAAGTATTTGCATTGCATGTAACAGCATCAAATACACATGAGTATTGCTTTAATGTCGTCTTCCTATTCCACAATTTTCCATGGTTCTCACTGTATGAAAAAATATATTATAACAGTCTTTGCAAAAGGACAGTAACGTAGTTATTCTCTGCTACTATGAAATAGAAGGGATGTACAACTGACACGGCCCGCCCTACCATATATGGTTATACATGCTTTGCAGACGGGTACTTCATTTGAATAATTTGGATGTACAATACCCGCGTAGAAAATAAACTATTCTGAATATTTTTTATACAATTAGAGTACCGTCTCCAAATCATTTATAATCATATGGTAGGGCAGGCCGGGTCAGTTGCCTTCTATTCAATACTCCTTATTACTAATTATTTTTTTACTTCAAGATGGCTCCACAAGAACCTTAGATTTTTGTCCAGTTTCCAAATTTTTTGTACAATAATAAATACCATTCATTTAAGTCACCCTTTTCTAATAACATATTTTACTTTTAGCTGTTTCTCTTACAGTCACCAATTTTATTTTATTCTCAAAACTTTTTTGTTGCATTTCCAACAGTAATAAATGCCGATATTTTGTTTTCCTGCATACACCTTCCCGTTAACATCGAATACATTCTGACACATGCACAGACACGCCATACATCCTGACACATGCACAGGCACGCCATACATCCTGACACATGCACGGGCACGCCATACATTCTGACACATGCACAGGCACGCCATACATTCTGACACATGCACAGGCACGCCATACATCCTGGCACATGCACAGGCACGCCATACATTCTGACACATGCACAGACACGCCATACATTCTGACACATGCACAGACACGCCATAAATTCTGACACATGCACAGACACGCCATACTGACACATGCACAGGCACGCCATACATTCTGACACATGCACAGACACGCCATACATCCTGACACATGCACAGACACGCCATAAATTCTGACACATGCACAGACACGCCATACATCCTGACACATACACAGGCACGCCATACATTCTGACACATGCACAGACACGCCATACATCCTGACACATGCACAGACACACCATATACATCCTGACACATGCACAGGCACGCCATACATTCTGACACATGCACAGACACGCCATACATCCTGACACATGCACAGACACGCCATACATTCTGAAACATGCACAGACACGCCATACATCCTGACACATACACAGGCACGCCATACATTCTGACACATGCACAGACACGCCATACATTCTGACACATGCACAGACACGCCATACATTCTGACACATGCACAGACACGCCATACATCCTGACACATGCACAGACACGCCATACATCCTGACACATGCACAGACACGCCATACATTCTGACACATGCACAGACACGCCATACATCCTGACACATGCACAGGCACGCCAAACATTCTGACACATGCACAGACACGCCATACATCCTGACACATGCACAGACATGCCTAAGAAATTGAGATATTGCCGCAAACTCAAATATTCTAATCCCTGTATCTTCGCAACCTGATGGTGTGAACCTATGATATTCCAAACTTAAATTATTTAAGCTAACGGAATTCATTGTTTTATATATTTAAGGTCTACGCCATTGGGTTGCAAATATATGAGGATTATAAAATTAGAGTTTGTGAGCAAGACTTAAATAATTATGGATATATTATATATATAGATATGAAGGCTATATGGTTGACCTAGCGAATGCAATAATGGAAAAAACTCAAAATTCTCTCATGTTCAATATCTCTCTTATGCCACCAGAATCATTCCACGCGGTTTTTGGTAAAAGATTTAAATAAAATAACTTATTTTATATATGCAAAACTTAAAAAATCAATATGTACAGGGTGTCCCAATAAACATGGGAATGCAGTGACGATTTCGATAGATCGTCTTTGTTATGAATTAGCATTGTCTTATTTCAAAAGATAAAGTATTATTATGTCTGCTATAGTTTATTTTATGAAAAGGGTAAATGATTGTAAAGATGTGTAGCTATATTGGCTTCGCAATACAAACAGAAGACGGTCAAGTTTACTCTGTTTGTATACTGCAATTTTCTTGTTTTACTAAGTACAACCGTATGCAGTCAAAACATAAACAAACAAATTGTAAACAAAGCAGACAAAAATCTTAGTGATTGCAATTTTCTCAGTAGGTATCACTATACTAAATCAAAGAATTATTTGAAAAGACGATATCGAATTTGTCACTGAATTCCCATGTTTATTGGGACAGCCTGTATCTGAATATAAATGACATTATACATAGATAGATAGAATTAAATATAGATAGAATAATGAACGGGTCTGCGGATATGATCTTTGCTGAAGTATCTTTAACAGCTCATAGAGTACGGATGGGTGTAGAGTACTCAATACCCTTCATGACGTCGGGAACTACCCTTCTCGGAAAACTTGATCAGAAAACAGAGGTCATTTATTATAATTAGAAACAATATATATAAAAATAAAATAAAAATATGATTGAAATACTACTGCAGCATGGGAGCTGATCGCACAGATAGCTTAAAGTTTTACAAAGCCCCCCAGTTGTCAAATTGAAATCATATTCTGATCAATAAAATAAATAAAAGACCCACAAAACTAGACATAATTACGAATATATATATATATTAAGACATGATTCTATGGTTTAAGTTATTTAGAAAATCAAAGATTTCACAATGTAGTGAATTTTAACAAACATTAGAAATTCACAAAAAGTATAAAAATTAGATGACATCAATCATATTTCAACAGATACGATTTTAAAATTATTAATATTAAACGTAAGAATATTCATTTCTCCACAAATTTTTTTTATAAATATTTACATAAGTCCCTTTAAGGAAGATATTGATGTTGTATTCTATCTTGAAAAGAGATTAATACTGCATCTCTACATTGACTCAGAATCAGCAGAAGAAACGTTTTTTTACAATTCTTAAATAACATGGACCTAACATTAAAATCTAATGAATTCTAAAGTTATTCTAAACAATACTGCACTTCAGCTCAACTACCATGTCTCAGGCCCGTGACCAGGGGGGGGGGGTGCAATGACGAATTTGCACCCCCCAGTCCCATATAAAAGAAATTGTTTCTCATAATTTTCTAAAATCTAGTTACCAATAATATAGCTCAAGCAAGAGTTGATTTCCTTCCCAAACCAAATTATAATCTTATTGTGTGTTACTCATTAAAAGTGGGTGTGTGTGTTTGTGTGTGTAGGTGTACTCTGTCAAGTCAACTCATCCTGGACATCCTGAGTCCTGTCTCATGTGCTCCACAGCTGTCTCAGGCTAACAGCTGATCAGTACACTCTGTTAATTAAATATAACACAACATCTTGATTTACTCACAGTCATTAAATAGTTGTTTAAGCCTAATTAAAACAGTATGATTTATTAATTATATGCATAGAGCCCATGGAAATGATCTGATAATCTCCTGTAAGCTTTCAGACTTTTTGGCCCCCCCCCCCCCAGTGTATATGTAAACTGAAAAATTTCAGACACTAAAATGTAACCCTAAAAGCTTAAATACACTTATAAAAAAGGTTAGTCTTATAGCGTACATTGACAATGTAATAAAGAAAACCATATACCAGCGTAAAAACAAACCAAGCATTGCTTTAAAAAAAAAACAAAAAAATGTTTTCCCTGCGGCGCGCTTCTTTGCACCCCCCCTGGAAAAATCCTGGTTACGGGCCTACCATGTCTTAAAACTCACTTCCTTTAAAAGAATACTTTAACTAAATAGATGCATGTAACTTAACACTGTGTACAGAGTATACGGACAGTCCATATTTACCATTTTATTCAATTTTCCGTTTTTTAGGAAGATGGATTTTATTTCCTGAACCCTGTCAGTAATGAAGTTTGGATCAGTGTTGGTTTAGCTTATATAACTGTATCCTTTTTTCTATTCATCATTGCAAGGTATTATGTTCAATTCAAATACACTTTTGTAAACCGAGATAATGAAAATGATCAAAAATAATATGAACTATGCTTTAGAATTTATATTTACGCTGAGAGTTTTAGCTTTTGAAAACATATATAAAAAGAGAACATTCGAATCCAATCTTTTACGAAAAATATCTAAATGAAATACATTTTTTTATCTGATTAATATTTGGCACTGTTAAGGATATCCCCAACAGAGAAAATGTATCATGAGGTATCTTTCTATCTTATCTATCTATCTATCTATCTATCTATCTATCTATCTAACTATCTATCTATCTATCTATCTATCTATCTATCTATCTATCTATCTATCTATCTATCTATCTATCTATCTATCTATATATCTATCTATCTATCTATCTATCTATCTATCTATCTATCTATCTATCTATCTATCCTTCTATCTATCTATCTATCTATCTATCTATCTATCTCTAAAAATATTTTACTTTACAGAGAGAAACAAAACTTACGTTTCTGAATTCGTTTTGGTTTTCCCTGGCAGCTTTGGTTGGACAAGGTTCGGAAATTATTCCAAGGTAAATTTTTTAAATTAGTTATTTTTAATTTACAAATAAAAAAATAATGAGTGTCCCGCTGCGGGCTGGAAAAATGTTTTCTTTCCAGGAATTATCGCTCAAAAGTGTGTGCAAAAGTGTGTGCAAAAGTGTGTGCAAACTGCTTGCAAGTGGACAGGACATACACACAGTGTTCTTCCTTTAGTCGAACTTTACACAGCACTATACAACCATCAAAGAAAAACTTTAAATCTTTTAGATCTTTCATAAAAGTTAAAAAAATTAGATATCTAGGTTTAGCTCGCGGGGGAAGCACAAACACAAACAAAATTGTTTGTTAAAATCTTTATTTAAAGAAATTTTCGTTAAAATTGTCTGTTAAACTATTTTTTTCATGATAAGTTCTCTTTGTTTATAGACATTTTCGTTAGAAATTAAAAATTTCCATACATTCTTTACTGAATTTTAAATCAAGAAGTTTGAGAGCAAAAACTTATTAGTAATATCTTTTTAAAGATGATTCTTAATACTTAATTTATTCAGGTCATTTGCAAGCCGAATTCTCGTTGCGTTTTGGTGGGGCTTTATTCTTATTGTTGTGAATTCCTACACTGCTAACCTAGCAGCTTTCCAGACTGCTCAGCTGCTTGAAACCAAGATAGGTTAGTGAAACTGCCCAGCTGCTTGAAACTAAGATAGGTTAGTAAAACTTCTCAGCTGCTTGAAACCAAGGTAGGTCAGTGAAACTGCTCCAGCTGCTTGAAAACAAGATAGGTTTGTGAAACTGCTCAGCTGCTTGAAACTAAGGTAGGTTAGTGAAATTGCTCAGCTGCTTAAAACCAAGATAGGTTAGTGAAACTGCTCCAGCTGCTTGAAACCAAGATAGGTTAGTGAAACTGCTCAGCTGCTTGAAGCTAAGGTAGGTTAGTGAAACTGCTCAGCTGCTTAAAACTAAGATAGTTTAGTAAAACTACTCAGCTGCTTAAAACCAAGATAGTTTAGTGAAACTGCTCAGCTGCATAAAACCAAGATAGTTTAGTGAAACTGCTCAGCTGCTTGAAACTAAAATAGTTTATTGAAACTGCTCAACTGCTTAAAACTAAGAAAGTTTATTGAAACTGCACTCAGCTGCTTCAAACTTAATAGTTTAGTCAAACTTCTAAAGCTGCATGAAGCTAAGATAGGTTAGTGAAACTGCTCAGCTGCTTGAAGCTAAAATAGTTTATTGAAACTGCTCAGCTGCTTCAAAATAAAATAGTCATGTAAAACTGCTAAGCTGCTTGAATTATTATAAGAAAGGTTAATAAAACTGTTCAGCTGCTTGAAACTAAAATAGTTTAGTGAAATTGCTCAGCTGCTTGAAACTAAAATAGTTCAGTGAATCTGCTCAGCTGCTTGAAACTAAAATAGTTCAGTGAATCTGCTCAGCTGCTTGAAACTAAGATAGGTTAGTGATCACAGGGAATATATATCTAGACTTAATTTCGAAATTATCTTATACTTTTACATCAATCAACAATTCTTTTTACAAAGAATTGCAGTTAAAAATAATCAGTTTTCAGTTAACTTCATCATCACCAGTCAACAAATATTGAAAGGTTACCAGTATGAATCTAGAAAGAGGTTTTCTCTACTATACTGCACTTTCAGCTCAACTACAATGAAACCCTTAATAACGAATACATCGGAAGAATTTATCAAATGTCGTCTTGACAATTTTTCAATGAGTTTTATACAATATTACGTAAATTTCAGTATTTGCGAAAATAAATAAATATCCATGAATATGCGGGAATAGTTCTAAAGAGTTCCATATAATCATTTGATTAAAACACTAAATATCTGCAACATTCTATTATCAGAAAGTGAAGAATACGACATTTGATGAATTCTTTCGATGTATTCGTTATTAAGGGTTTCACTGTACCATGTCTAGCAAGTCACTCTCTTTTAATCCAGAAATGCCTGATCTTATTTAGGTTCTCTAGAGGACTTGGTAAATCAGCAAACAGTTGATTATGGAATATACGATGATTCAACATCAATGCGATTATTACAGGTGTTTAAAGGGACTAAAAGCGCAATTTCAAGTGAATCTCCGCGGCCTCCATGCAATGATGGATTTACAACGATAACCTTAAAACCATTTTGTCTGATCAATAATAAATAATTCAGACATTGCAAGAGAAATACCAAAGTCACTTTTATAGAGAAACCACAATTGAAAATAATCAGCTTAACAATTATAAACATTGATCTCTTATTCATACTTGGTTAGAAAAGGCTTTTCTGGGTACCTTTGTTAATCAGGTAATGCCATCCCTTAATATAATGCCATCCCTTATTATTATGCTTACAAAAAATTTAAATATTTGGAACTATCAAGTCCCATTTCTATTTTTTTTTCAAGGAACTATAAATCACTTAATATACTTAATAGATAAAAAATACATATGTTACGACTGGGAGATGAATTAAACTATGTTAGAACTAAATAAATTCAGAAGAAAATAAGCAAATATCTGTTTAGAATTCCAGTGATCCTGTAAAAAGAAGAGCCTACAACTATCTTAATTCCAGGGAAAATTTTAGTATTAAAATTTAGGAACAACATTTTTTTTTCATGATCTGAGAGTTACTTTTGAAAACATTTATTCCTGTTTCGAGGATTTTTGATAATGAAGAAGGCATTTTCATATTTTCCAGGAATGTTCGAAAATCCAGCGCCAGCGAAAATAATTTTAAAAAACAAAATCAAAAATATTATGAAATATTAACTATATACGAATGCGTCGAAAAATAATCGATGACTACTGTTTGTAATGTATGAATGATTTATTTGGAATTAAATTGATTTGTTTACGATCCGAGTTGAATGTTGCATCTTTCCAAATTTGTATAGACGCTGTGTTCTTCGGTGTGAGTCGTTTTTAACAATTTTTTTCGTATAGACGCAACAGATAGAAGTAAGATTAGTAGCGATCAAAAGCGCTTTTTATAATCGCATTAAGCCTTTACCCCCTTTCATTTTTCGCGAACACTCCCTTTAATCTGCAGATTAATTTAATTAATATCCAGAGAAGTGTGTAAAATGCGACCAATCAGAGTGTCTTAACAGAAACTGAACTGCCAATCAGAAGCTGCGAGTTGTTGGAATTTTGCACACAATTAATGAGAGAACTCTTATTGGTCTGAATCTAGTATGGATATTCAAAAGAGAGACATAAGTAGAAAATCAAAACTGTTCACAGCGGATATAGAGATTTAGCAATCGGGAGTAAGGATATCCAATACAAGAGTTTTCAGCTTTGAGCTGAAAACTTTAGAAAATTGGCTTTCCTTAATCCTTATATCCACTAAATAGTCATTTTAATTTTATTTTTAATACGCTTTCGTTGGATATCACATTTCCTACTACATGTAATAAAGATACGTTTGATAACAAATGCAGATACGATGCTATATCGATTGGACTAATATCGATTTGCACTAAAGTCAGCTGTTCACAAGCGGCTTTTAGAGCATTTAAACAAATATAAACTTAATCATGTTAATATGAACTTATTAAAAAGCATATTTTATCCCATTTAAGGACTAAAGCCCTTTTGAACATTAGTCTTAAAAAACATTAATCCTAAACTTACGTTCGCTCAATCAATCACTAGTCCACATAATATGGCACCACAACTACGGGAAAATTAAAAACCGGGTTTTCAAAAATTAAAGATCGCATCTCTAATCTCTTGAAGTTAATCTAAAGACTGATTTAGTCTTCAGATTCGCAAAAAAAGAGGATCAAGCATTAATCTCGATATCCACCATTCTAAAGTTCCCAGCTCAGACCACTTTTGTAATTTTATTTTTTTTTCAGAATTTTCAAATTCTATCATTTTGTAATTATAAAGGTGTCACAAATCTAACTAATCAGCTTAAATTTTTGGATTGCATTTGAATTTTAGCGAGTGTTCAAAACTTCAGGTCTTTTTGACTCGTTAAAAGAATTTCAAAGTGGTTCAAAAAGTGTTTAAAATTTACTTTCTGAGAGGCACAGGAACAGAGGTCTTGACACTTTGAAAGATCTGCAAGAGATTTTAAGACCGCGTTGGATTTAAAGTGTCTCGACGACTTGGGTTTTAAATTCACTCACCAACTCCCTTATATTTTTTTAGCCTTGGACATGTTACAATTAAAAACTGCAATGCAACTGTTTCTAGCTTTGATTTAAAAGGGGTAATCGGTAAAATCCTTTCGCTTGTTGCAGTTGAGCTTGCATATTTTGGTTTGCAGTGTAGGCAGATGCATTGCCCTAGAAATGCTTATATTAGTGACCCCAGTTTCCAACTTTGGTCAAATTTAGCACTTTGAAAATTTTGAAAATTCTTCAATCCATTCTTGAAACCAAAATTTTGAAATATTCATTTCATAGAACAGAGAAGATACGATCCTTTAAGGTTGGGTTAGAGAAAGTGAAACAAGGAAATTTTATCTATTTGGGCGATGCAGCTGAAATAGAATATGAAATACAATCCGACTGCAGTCTCACTCAGATCGGAGAAGTCTTTAATATAGTTGACAACGCTTTGGCATTTAGACCAGGTTTAATATAAATATTTTCTATAGTATAACATTTTTTACAAGTAGATGCAATATAATTCAACTAGACAAAACCGGACTTTCTTGTTTAACTTCCCTGTGTGATGATTTAGTTCTCATTGAGCATGTATTTTGATGTTGAACAGTGTATTTAACATGAAGTACACTGCTCAACATCAGTATACAATATACATACTTTGCTTGGGTAATTGTTTGTTTGTAACCCATAAACGTCAAAACGGCTGAACCGATCGGGCTCAAATTTTTTGTGGGACTTTACATGTCCCCAGGGAAGGTTTATGTTTGATTAAAATTTCAAAAATGAGCCTACAAAATTCGATTGTCCTTAAATTTTGAAATTCCACGAATTGTTTATTATAAAATCCGCTAAGTTTTTGTGTAGAGAAAATGTTCACAATTAAAATAGAAGCGTCTTGAAAGCCTATTGTTCTTTTACAAGGAAGAAATGGTTTTGTTGTAAGATAGTAGCTTGGGGGTCATTTGACATTACATCATGATTCCTGAACCAACTTTTCCTTCAGATTGAATAAGAATGTTAAGCATCGTATTTCATGTACAGGGTTACCCACAAAGGATGAGACTGCAAAGACGACTAAATCTTTTTTAAATAGGACAATATCAGGGTTAAATTAACTCTTCTGCCTTGAATATAGTTTTTTATTGTCTTATTTAATGATTTCGCAAAGATAGAAAAAAATTCACATTTGCACGAATATGCGGAAACAGACAGATAAATTCCGTACAGTCGTCTCTGAAGTCTCATTCTTTGTGGGTAACCCTGCAGTATCTGTATATCCCTATAGAGGTGTCACGACAAAAGTTGTGTAGAAACTAGAAAAAAGTAAAATATGACGATTTTATAATAAAAAGTTCCTCACGGCCGAAAATATAATTTAAATTATGTTTTAAATTCAGGGTTAGATAATTTCTGGGCCGAGCAATGTATATTTTTTGTGAAGCTGTGGGAGGTCCTAAAATCATTAAAATGTCCGCAGGATTTAGCGTGTAATTGTTGAGAACCCGGTTTATCTTAAAAAAGGGGGTTTACAGTTTGTAGATTTAAAAAAAAATTATAAATTTTTATAATCAATATTTCCAAAATACTAAAAGATCTTAAAAAATAAATTTGTTAAAACATATTCAAAATAAAAGGAAGACGAATCTTTGTACAGTTTGTATATTACAGCGGCTGCCGCGTATATTTCCAGATATAGGAATCCTTCTCCGTTTAGACAAGATAAGGATTCCAATGTTAAATTAAGTTTTCTTATTAAATGATATGACAAAGAAAGAAACAACCTTATAGTTGCAGGAAATCATTAATATAAGAAAACTAAAGTCCGTACAGTCGTCTCTGAAGTTTCATCTTTTGTGAGGGGCCCTGTATCATCACTTTTTATTATATTTTAGATTTTCCCCATCGACAAATGATAAATGCTGCAATATTAGGAAAAGAGATTAATAGTTAATTTAAAATACCTTTTATTGGTCTGATTTGCATCTCACAAAAACTCCGGTTCATTTGACTTGTCATCTCAGAATATCGATGATTATAAAAGCTCTACTTCGTACTGGTCCAACCCTAATTCGTACTGGTCCAACCCTATCCTCATTATACTGTTCTAGGCTTAATCTGCCCATAATCGGCTATTTATTTCAATATTCCATGAAAAAACTAATTCCCTCAGGCTTGTTACGATGACTTGGATTTATATTTGATGTGCTGGGAGTGGGACAATTTATAAGCAGATAAAGCAAGTTGTGTACAGTATGTAGACGCTAAAACAGGACAGTGTGGGAAATGAACCCTCCCTATCATGAGAGATTAATGTTTTAAGTACTAATGTACTAATGTACTATTTACCTTTATGTACTTTTTATTCGTATTAAACTGTACTGATGCTTTTCTTTTTAAAATGAAAAAAATAAATAAATGAATAAATGAAACATTAACTGGCTGCCTTTCTGACTCAACACGATACTCAAATAGTAAACTTCATATTAATCATCTTCTCTTTGGGCCCAAAGACCTTAAGGTAAAATAGTTTTTATTAATGTAAAACCTTATTGTTAAAAAAAATTAATATAGTTTATCAAAAGATTTACCAAAAAAGTATTTACAACAATTTTATAAGCTAAACCACTTATTTACCCTTGGCCAAGTAGATAAAATAATTAAACTTTAAAAAAAGAAAAATCATTTTTTTCAAAAAGCATGTTGTAGGAAAGTCACGCAAACCAGAAAATGAGGGAAAACTGGTGGAAACCAAGGAACTGTAAGGTCTAGAAGTAACTTTTTTATGTGCAGATAAAATTTCCCGCAAATTATTTAATCAGATTCTTTGACTATTTCAGGGTGCGAATTTATCTGAAGTAGGAATGCGATCTTTGAGCTTCAGCAAAATGTTTGGTAAATCATAAGTTTTAAATGCATATATAAATAGATTTAAAACATTTAATTCATACTGCTGAACTTTTAGGGCGCTTTGCGCCCATCTTGTAGCTCAACTTTTAATCGTGGTTCTATTTGGACTCTATCTGTGAGCATCTTCTTTTTTATTGATTTTAGTAAAAATAAAAAAAAATGTGCGTAAAAAAATTGATAAGGCCTCTATTTTTTTCCTGTGGTCATGGGCCCGAGCAGTTTAGATGTTTTGACGTTTATTGGACACAAACAGACAAACATGTTGCAAACAGATAGATAAGCAAAGTATATATACAAAGGAATAAACTAAAAATCATTTAGATAGTTTTATAAAAAAAAAATTTCCCAAACAAATTCAAATATATTATAAGGAATCTTCATATTTATGGCTATTGGTATTGTTATTGCTCTAGTTTCAGTTTTTTTGGAATATCTCTTCAGTCACTAGATATGCAGGTAAAACTAATTGAGATGTAAATAAAGTCTTTATTCCCCCCGCCCCTCTCCCCTGTGGCGTCTGATCAAAATGCTATGTGAACAGTTTATTTAATAATCTTTTTTAAATCTATATCTGTCGCTTGTACTCAAGTTAAACTATAATACACTATCTTTATTAACTCTAATGTAAAACTGCTAAAACTATAACCCTTTGTATTCTATATATGGGGGGTAAAGTTGCATAAAAACTATACCCCTTTGTATTCAATATGTGGGGGGTAAAGTTGCATAAAAACTATACCACTTTGTATTTAATATGTGGGAGTAAAGTTGCATAAAAACTATACCACCACTTTGTATTCTATATGTGGGGGGTAAAGTTGCATAAAAACTATACCCCTTTGTATTCTAATGTTGGGGTAAAGTTGCTTAGAAACTATACCCCTTTATTTAATATGTGGGAGTAAAGTTGCTTAGAAACTATACCACCACTTTGTATTCTATATGTGGGGGGTAAAGTTGCATAAAAACTATACCCCTTTGTATTCTAATGTTGGGGTAAAGTTGCTTAGAAACTATACCCCTTTGTATTATATATGTGGGGATAAAGTTGCATAAAAGCTATAACCCTTTGTATTCTATCTGTGGGGGTAAAGTTGCATAAAAACTATACCTCTTTCTATGCTATATGTGGGGGTAAAGTTGCATTAAAACTATACCCCTTTGCGTTCTATATGTGGGGTACAGTTGCATAAAAACTATACCCCTGGGGGGGGGTAAAGTTGCATAAAAACTATACCCCTTTGTATTCTTTATGTGGGGTAAATTTGCATAAAAACTATAACCCTTTGTATTCTATATGTGGGGGTAAAGTTGCATAAAAACAAATCCCACTCTAACAAATTTCAGATTCAGCAGATTGGTGGAAAATAAACTCTTTCATGTCGGGTTGCCTGGAATATTTTGACCCTTGTACAACATGATTTAAATTTTATCGATTCTTAGGCGACCTTCCGCCCATGCATACCTGTTATACAAGTATCTATATATATAAAGTTGTGATCTCTGTTTGTCTGTTTGTTTGTATGTCCGATTATAACTTAGAAATCTCTTAACTGTCTAGCCTAAAATTTGGTAGAACCACGGTTTTGAGATTCTAAGTTGAGCATGGGTACACTTTTATAGGAAAAAATAGCTAAAATCGTAGTTTATGAGTACATTAGACAACGCTGGTTCTCTAGCTATTTAATAGTTGGTCAACTCTATTCCTCTCTTATTCAATAAACCTGTACTCCATCTGAAACATGAAACAATAACAATAACAAAAATTGTGTGATCATTGTTTCCAGAATTTCACTTAAAAAATAAAGTAAACAAAAAAAGCCGCAAATTATTCCAAAGATCAAAGATGACATACAAGTCGTTTGTCAATGATCATGTTTTGTGGAATACCCTAGCTGCATTTGTAAATGTGTATATCTATGTAAAAAGCTGTATTTGTTTCCATATTTATTGTTGGAAAAAAATATAATCTTTATCATATTCCATCATGCTCAACAAAATTTCTAATTATCTGTTTATTAAAAACGGTAAGATATTTCTAAAATGTACATGTTTAGACAAGTATAATTGTCTTTATAGTGGTAAAGAGTAAAAGGTAAAATGGTAGGAAAATAAAGGCCTAGGCGTTTTTCATGGCAGTCTGGATCCGAGTAATTTGAAAAAAAAACATCAGATTGTTCTTTTATTTTTGTTTCATAAAAGGTTAGCTTCGTTTGTTAACAATTTAAAAAATAACGTTTATTACCACTTGTTAACAAAATTTTCAGATTAAATTCAAAATCTGTTTTTTGGTAAAGGAAAGTTTTTTGTCAAAATAATTGTGAAAAATTTCTTAGATACCAATTTGCATATATAGCAAACAGCTATGAAACCTTCAAATCCAATGACTGAAAGTGGGTCTAAATTTAGATTTGGTTTGGTGTAGATAAAACAAGGGGCTCAGGCAGTTAGTATTAAAGCCCGGTTTTAGGCCTAAAGGGAGGGCTTTGGGTATGTAGGAAAAGTTAGAAAATTTAAACAGCCTCAGACAAACACTTTTTAAGTTATGTCCATAAAACGCCATGGGGTCACAAGGGTTAGAAGGACACGGGTTAAGTGGATTGCCTTTGACCATCCAAAGATAAAAGAAAATATTCGAAAATTTGCGGTTTTGATTAAATGTAGACAGATTTTTAGATAAGTGGACAGATAAAAAGAAGCAAGAAAAAACCAGAATCTGCAGATGTGTGGGCGGAGAAATGATAAAAAGAACATAGATTATTATGCATTGTTTCATTTAATTTTATAAAAATGAATGGAATAAAAAAAATTGTAATTTAATAGATCTTGCATTCTTCAGGCCTGGACTCTGCGAATCTATATCTAATTAAGATATGTTGTAAATTCTTGGTTCAAATTTAGAGTAAAAGTTTGATTTCAACATTAAAATTTAAAAGAAGCAATTAATTAGAATTTGTAACTGTAGCAATACTTGGGACCTAATGTAATATAACATATAATAACTATGCAAATTCTGTTATGCAATTAACCCATTACATGTTCATAGATAGACATAACTTCGTCTTACCCATAAATGTGATTTAATGCGTTTTAGATAGTAACCACTCATAACTTGTAATTACGCTGTAAATAACCCAAATCTAATATGAACTACGAAATATGGAACAGTTGCCTTAGACTCTACTTTTGATTATGTTATCAGAAGCCTAAGTAAGCTTGGAATAGAGCTTTGGTACTCGTACTAGCATGTTTAGCAATTTCAGTGGACTGTGTGTCCTTTAGAACTGGGGAGTGACGAGTGCAGCCTGGTTAAGATTTGGCCTGTGTGTCATTTATAACCAGGGAGTTAAGCCTGTTTAAGAAATTGCCTGTGTAGCAATTTCATTGGACTGTGCTTCCTTTAGAACTGAGGACTGCAGCCTGGTTAAGAGTTGGCCTGTGTGTCATTTAGAACCAGGAAGTTAAGCCTGGTTGATTTAGAAAACAAGTGAGACCTGGATAGATACGTCTCGAGTTAATAGTTATGGAGTAGGTGTATATTATTAAATTGGTTCATGTTAAGAGTAAAATTTTAATTTCACAATTAAAGCTTGATTGAAGACTGCAGTTAAGTTAAACTGTTCAATTAATCGATGCATTGCTAAGTATTTTAAGTAAAAGTATAATTTCAAATTAAACTTGGTGAAACTAGATTTTTAATATTGGCAAATCAAATTAAATCATTCACATAATTAACATTCAAATTTGATTGGAATCGATTAAAGTTAAACACAGAACGATTTCCCAATAATTCTAACTTACACAAGTTAGAAAAGAATGGAGAAAGAACTGATAACCCAGTTAAAGGCTCTGCTGCAAAAGCCTAATCAATAATGTACCTTCAGGGCCTAGATATTCAAGAACATTAAGGAGTAAGGTGTTCAAGAACATAATGAAAAAATAAATTATTTTAAGCTTCTGTAAATCTCAGAAATGAAAAAAATCGCCGTAGCTTATTTTGTGTTTTTGAAACCCAAGAATAGCAATTAAAAATAATCGTTTTTTAGCGACTTTTTGTATTTGAAATAAAAAGGATGACGTTTATAAGTCGCTAATTTTCAGATTCTAACAATATTATGATAACAAATACATTACCAATGCCTTTGCTTCCCAATCTTGTTTGAGCATATATTTTATGGTACTTGTCGATATTACCTACCTCGTAACGTAAAAATCTTAAAATTATACTGTTTCATTATTAAAAAAGTTTTTACCATACATCTAAAATTGAAAGAAATTCAACCTTGATTTTTTGCATTTTTTCCTCTAGCTAAATAATTAATCCTCATCATTGATGTTGTTTTGTAAATTTTTAAAATTAATATCTATTGTATGATATGTATATACAAATGTTCGCCTATTTTTTACAGATTTCCCCCATTTTTTTCCAAAACCATAGTTACGGACCTGAGTACATCACATGGTTAGGGTTAGCTTTGGTTTTTAAACGAACCAAAAATTATCGTTTTTGATTTACTTGAATACATGAACCAATTCGTTTTATGTCCCCAAAAGCTACTCGATAATAATTCAGGTTATATCGATTGGTAACGACCAACCTTTGGTACTGAAACAGCAAAATAAAAAATAACTACTTTTTCTTTTATTTTAGAAAGCAATTCTTTAAAAACATATCATTTCATTTTTTGCGTTTACTACGTCAATTACAATTGCTCAGTTCGTTTTTCAGAAAAGTGAAAACGTCATATTCCTTTCTATGATTACTGGTTTTCAGACGGAGGGAGTTTCCTGTGGATTGAGGTGAAAGGATGCATGAAAAGTTTTAACATGTTTGTATGTACATCCAACACATTTTATATTTATATGCAAATGTCAAAAAATGTCTGGAAAATGTAAAAAAATCAAGAAATTAAGATGTGACACATGTTTATACATTCATTTTTTAATGTAATTTTTCGATCTGTAGCTTTAACAAACAAATTATGGGCTATTTTAGATTTTTTTAAATACTGACCAGCCTTTCAGTGTTCTTCACTATACAAATGTGCAAAATTTTTTTTCAGTAACAAATCATTTAAAGTTAAGCAAGGTGATAGTGTCAAAAATGAAAGTGCTAAAAGACTAATGGGGGTAGGGGGCGCCCCCCCCCCCCCAACCTGTTTAGGGTTAATTTTGCACACACAAAATTTAAATCAATATATGAAACTTTATAAATCATAGTTATAAGTTATATCAATGCACAATGTCGACATGTTCGTTAAAATTACCGATGTTAAATATATTTTTTGATTTAAAGCATGAGCAATTTGAGCATAATATGCAATATTTAAATTTTAATTTAAGCTCTTGAAACCTGTGCAACATTTATTAAGTTTAATTTTTGACAAAATAAAACAAAAGCTTTAGGCCAAAAAAAAAATAATGTAAATATAGTATAGTATAGTATAGTATAGTATAGTATAGAATAGTATAGTATAGTATAGTATAGTATAGTATAGTATAGTATAGTATAGTATAGTATAGTATAGTATAGTATAGTATAGCATAATATAGTATAGTATAGTATAGTATAGTATAGTATAGTATAGTATAGTATAGTATAGTATAGTATAGTATAGTATTCTTTTACAAACAGGAAAATTAACGGAAGATTCTGTTTACAAACAGGAAAAACTTTTACTTTTAAGACTTTATAAGAACAAAACTAACAATTATGAAAAAAAGAATTGAAAATAAAATAGAATGAACAGTTGATGTGTTTTGATGTTTTTAATTGTTTCAAATGTCGTCTCTAATTTTTCCGTTTTTAACGTAAAATATTCGTTAACGGCTTGTTCATGTCTGTTAGCAATTCCATAGATATTTTCCCAGTTGCAGTGAGAGGTTTCGTGATTGTATACATTTTTAGAGCTGTGATTATAAATGCATGAACTTGAGAAAAACCCAGTTTTAGCGTCTTCTTACACCCAAGTCAAGTCAAGACTTGGGTTTTGGATGGTCTTGGGTTTAGTAAAACCCAATCGCCTTGGTTTTTTTTCACTTTTTCAAAAAGCTGATGATTTCGTAAAAACTATTATATTTGTACATTTAAAATCTTGGGAATTATTTTAAAGTTTCCAATTTGATCAAAGGTAAAAATAAACATACTTTGAAAATAATTGATCTGGGTAAAGATTTATAAGCATGTGTTGTATGCTAGAAAATTTTAATAACTATTTTGTCAATATTTTAGAGTACATTTATTGCCTCTGGATACAAATACATGATGAATTACGAGTGTATTAACCCTATATATTCCTGCTGGGGGGGGGGGGGTCAATTTTAATTCCCCCTTGTTTTTTTTATACAACTCAAAAAGCATTGGTCTGAGACTGTTGAAATTTTCTGACTTTTCCTGAATACCCATAGCCCTCCCTTTAGGTACAAAACAGGGCTTTTATACTAACTGCCTTGAGTCCTCAGGTACACTGCCTGAATGACTACTTTTTCCTGTAACGAACTAAATCTTTGTTTTGACCCAATTTTTAGTTGTCAGATTTCGAAAATTTTTAGCTTTTTGGAAAGGAAACGGATTGCACAAGTTTTGAAAAGAAATTTTTGCAAATTATTTGCATGCAACCGACCCGTCAAAAGAAATTTGCACATTTTTAGCTTTTTTTAATTGCACATCAGGTTCTTTAAAATGTTGCTAACATTTTTGAAATGGCATTGATAAGGCCTTTTTAAAAATGTATATTTTGTCCTTTTTTGGAAATGTTTTTGCAAACTTTTTTATTATATTACTGGATTTTGCCAAAAAAAATTAAATTTTTGCGAATTTGCCCATTTTTTTGCAGATTCTAAAAGTAGAGCATAAGAGCTTTCCAATGATGTATCATATTCATTTGGACATAAAAAAATGGGATGTAGAGGGGTGGGGGCTCAAATTCCCCCCCCCCCTCCTTGTGAATCCTGGTTTTCAAGTACCCCAGCAGGGATATGGTTACAAGAAGGGAGAGCACTAAACAGGCGCCTTCTATAGCCCTTAAATTTAAATTTAAATGTTTTAAATTTAATTTGGATTTTTAAGAATAGATTATAAAATTTCCCCCTCCCTCAAAATTTGAACAAAAATAGCTAAAGTGAGATAGAATTATAAACACATAAAATGTTTAAAAATATGAAGATGTTAAAGTATTCTAATATATGCCAATATCAATAATTTTAGAGAAAATTAAAAAAAATTGAAAAAATGTTGGAAAATGAATAAATCCAAAGGGTTCCTTCCCTATTAAAAGTTATAATGACCAACGAAGAAAGCTCTTCTAGTAATTCAGTTGGTAAGCAGGACTCCTTCGGTAATGATATTTTTTTTATATCCATATATTGAAATACATACTAAAGATATCAAACGAAAGGTTCACTTTTTCATTAAAAAAACTAAAAGTTTGAAATATCAAAGGATTATAAATTATAAATTTGATTTTGCAACAAAAACTCATTTTCTTTGCAAGAGAATATTCTTCTGAAAGTAAAAATAGGCGACATTTTTTTTTGTCTTGCATACAGGGTGTCCCACGAAACATGATAGTTGGTGATTAGTTTGAAATGTCTTCTTCCATAATTAATATGTCAAGTTTTTTGTTGCCAAACAGAATAATATAACTATTTGATGGCATCCATATTATAGTAAAATTTATTTCTAAGTAAAATATATTTAAGTAAAGTTTTTTTAAAACTATATAAACTGCGAAAAGTCTTTAATATCTGATAAAGCATATTGAAGAAGAAAATTAAAACTATTCACAATACTGTCATCTTTCGTGGGACATCCTGTATCTAGGGCAGGACAGATAGAAAGTGCAGATTTTAAGTTTGGAATTTTTTAAATACTAAGTATTGTTTATCCCCCATTAAACTCCTGTCACTCTTACGGGAATCCAGAAAATTTAACAAATTCAAAAACATAACGTCCTACGTCCTTCGTCCCCCCCCTAGAATACATATATTTAGACCACCCAGCTTATATAGGGTTAAATATGTAAATAGATTTTATTATCTAGTTAGTTCCTGGACATTAACTAGTTTTCAAACTTTTATTATGAACAAAGTTTATCAGCAAAAATTGTATTACATTTCGTTTTTATTTGCAAAAAAACATTAATGATAAAATTTTGACCTGAAATATTTCTTTAGTAGTCTGCAGAGTTAAACTTTACGTTTTACAATATGGTTGTTCTGCGAACTGGACTTATTTTTCTGTTCTTTGGCTTAGTTGCGGGAAGCAGGTAAAAATGCAAAACATTGATAAATTCTCAAAGAAAATTTAAACACTTTTTCTTAAGAAGCTTTTGGATTTCTAGTTCATAGCCAATAATTGCCTCTCTGCGTGTATGAAAGAGGTTGAGAGCAGGCGCGTACACAAAATTTCAGCCGGGGGGAGTTCGCGAAGCGCGAAATTGTTTGTCCCCCCCCCTGTCTTTTTAATTGCTCTTATTCTATCTAAAGTTTACATATCCCCTTAGTAGTCCACTGTATTCCCAATTTAAGGACTATATATTAAATAATGTAGTCCACTGTAAAGTTCTGTAATACTTCCTGAAGTCCTGAGTAGTCTCTTGTAGACAATGGCAGTTGCAAAAAAGTTGTATTATGATGCATATTGCTATAATTGTTTAACATTACAGGGGGAAAACATCTCTTTTTAAGAAGAGGGCAATCTCATTTTTACCCACTGGGATGCTCGGGGGGGGGGGGCGGCAAGAGGACTACTGCCCCCCCTCTGTGTACGATTGATTCTACAAAAGAACATACCAAAAGTTTTTAAAAATAGAAAACTTTAACAGTATTGTCCATATTAATGGAAAATATTGATATTAATTATATTTAAGAATGTTCAAGAAAATGAAGAAAATCTCTAAACCAACATGGGATAAAGCTAGAAATACACAGGAACAATTAAATATTTTTTTTTCAAGCTTGAATTAGTATGAAATAAAATCCTAATTTGGAATTTTTGAACTTGTTATTTTAGTCATGTAGATACATCCATGGATATATAATAGAATGGATATATCATGGCCAAGATTTGATGTAATTTTCTGGGTGGAGTGTCATGCAGTACGTTAGACATTGGACCTTGATATTGACCTTGATAGACATTGATTTTTGTAAAGTTAGTTTGTCAAAAGAATACTTAAAAACATTGCAAGTCTTTAAGATTTAGCCTCCTTCATAAAAATTGTCGGAGATACTAAAGAATTAAACAACTTTGGTTATATTCATTACTTTTAATTTTAGACTAATTTCTCAATATCTCAGTCAATTCTTAAGATATAAAAACCTCAGACCACATTTTGGAAATTTGAAAACAAGGCGCATTTGATGCTACCCAACTTTTGGGGAAGCAATGTTATGTTTACAAGATTTTAGCGACAGTATCTCATTTCTGCGTACTCCAGGGCCCACGATCTACCAAAGCTCTTCTTTGATTTGGACCCTGAACTTCAATTCAAACTTTTTAAAAGAACAAATTATTTTTATAGAATGAACGACAGCCAGAGTGAAAAGTTGTTATGAGTGAAAAGCAGAGATTTAACAAATTTCCCAAAAAATCTAGGGTCGACTCAGCTTTAAGAGTTAGCTGTGAAGCACACCCACAAAATTACATGTACACTAGCTCAGAAAAGTATAGATCGATAGATAGAGGCATATCTATATGCGGGCCATGGATACATCTTTCACAAAGACTTGGTATCTTGTTCATTTCTAGGGTTTCCACGAAATGGCTAACTCTTTTGCGCAAAATTTGCGCTATTTTCGCGCAATTTTTTTGCGAACTTTTGCGCTATTTTTGCGCATGAAACGCAATGAGTTTTGCGCGGTTTTGCGCTATTTCTTTTGCGCAATTTGCGCAAAACCGGAAATATTTTTTGCGAAAGTTGCGCATGAAACGAAATTTTATATTTGCGCAATTTGCGCAAAACCGCAAGTTTTACGCAAAATGTAACTTTTTAGGTAAATTGTCAAAGATTTATTCCATACATAAAAAAAAATATTAACATACGAGTATGATAACGATTATACTACACTCAACTGGTTACTTCCAGTTACAAAAAGTTTAAATTAAGGGACCAAAATTAATAAAATAGACATTAGAGAGTGTGAAACTTGGCAATATTTTAATCCTATTAAATAATTTCAAGTGACCCTTAAAAGCTTTGCCTAATCAAGTATGAATTATATTCTTAAATTTTTTTAATCAAATTTCTGAAATCTTTTTAATCTCATATAAAATAATGCAAGAAATTAACCAATGCCTGAAGAATCCACTTTTAGGAAATATGCATGTCCAAAACTAAAATTGTCGAGAAAATTGTGAGTTTGAAATCTTCTTAACTGTCATTGGTCAATTATGTAAAAGTGACCAATAGGAAGACATTCCAAAACAAGATTTTTCCAGAATTGAATTCTAAGAAACACACACCGTCCCCAACCATTTGATTTTTACGAAATTGCGTTGCGGAATTGCACAAAACTTGAGTTTCGCAAAAGGGGAAAGGGCAATTTTGCGCGAAATGACTTTTGCGAATGATTGCGCAAATTGTTTTTTTTTCGCGCAAAACTGATGCGCAAAGAAAGAAAAATTTTGCGTTTGCAAATGGAAACCCTATTCATTTCAAAACCAATTACAATTATTCATTACCCCCTTCTCATATAGAAACCTTAGGATGTCTTGATTAGTTTTTTTTATAAAGTTAAAAATCTATACACATGAATGAAGGATGGAAATTGTAACAATAATCTATCTTTAATTGGATGATAAATATTTACTTATTACCTAGATTGTCAAATATGATATTATACAGTGTGCAGGGGTTTGTCTTGTCAAGAAGGATACTTGCAATGTCCTCCAATATTATTTGGAAAATTGACACTTTCTGCTCAATTGGGATTCCGGTATTTGATTTTTTAGAGCATATCATTAGAACATTTATTGTTTACAAAGATAGTTGAGTCTAGCATGATAGAGTGTTCTGGAACCTGTGCTAGGATGAAGGATAATTGCAATGCTGTGCATTTTGAAGCTTCAAATAACACGTGTTCACTTGCACAGGTGGTGAGATGACGTTGTTTGCTACAGTCTGATTTTCAGTAAATGTAACAAAGAAAAAGCATAAAGTGCAAAATGTTAAAATTGTATGGCTCTAAAATTGTGATTAAACATACAGGGTTGCCCAATATTCTTTTTAAATGACTCAAGAAAGTGCTCTAGCGTTTAGTTTTTATTTTTAGAAGGGGTTGTTTAGGTAGCATTTTGGTTGTTTGATTCTTCTGCTTGTCGTAAAACAATGTCGAATGTTCTAAAACCTTTGTTTACTTTAATCTGTTAATGATTTTTTTTCTATTCAAATCTAAAATGCAGAGGGAAAAAATATGCATAGAAAAATAATGAATAATACTTAATCAAATTACTATAATGTTTGAAATTTGAAATTACTTCATAAAGAGGCACAAATTTGATGCTTTCACATTGTTACAGTGTTAGAAAAAACATTAAAAAAAATAAAAAATTAATAAATATACTCTTTATTTCTTTAAAGTTGATTTTACTGGAGGAGCTACCTGAGGAGGAAGCATTTCCTGTGTTCATTGAAACTCAAGCATTCAACTCTCTGGTGAATAAGTAAACATGTGAATAAAGGAAGTGGGTTTTATTAGCTTGAATGCAAATACAAGCCTTTGCCTGCAATGAAAGTTAATTCTGTGCAATTCCTTGATAATTGTGTGCAAAAAATATAAATATTTTGCAAATCCACCTAAACTTAGCGTTTTGTCTTGTTTCTAAGAATATCATAACATAGTTTTTTTTACATAAACTTTCATTAATAAAGTATCGTATTGTACTTCACTCTATGTCACCTGCTTAATTATATGTCACCAGAAGAATAAATTACAAAGTAAAGTTAAACCACAAGACTGAAATGGTAGGGTTTCATAAAATGATTAAAATATTTTGGTGTATTTTGGATATTTTCTGACGGATTGATATATTTGTTTGAGTTTAAAGTTGTAATAGTATTTTATTTCTTTTTAGGAACAGAAAGAAAATTTTCTTCTAATTGGACAAGGTACATAAAAAGTAAACAAAGAATTTGTTCAAAATTATTGTATGAATGACAAGTGCAAGCATTTTAAAACTAAAAAAAAGGAGAAATACGTGACAAATTTTTATACATATTGAATAAATAAATTTTTATTTAGAAAATGTCTATTCTACTTACTATTTGTACATGTGGCTTAACACTTATTTGTTTATTGTTTATTTTGCACAAAATCATAAAATAGAAATTAAATATTTTGGATAAAAACATCCGACTGGACATCTTTTTAGATTCCAAAATACCCTCTAATATAATTTCATCATAACATCATGAATGATGATTCTTACTGGCATCACCTGTTTTTTTTTACTTTTTCTGAGGCAATACAAAATGTTTGTAAAATATTGTTTTAAAATCTAAACTTCCTAAAATTCCTTTTAAACCCTAAAACAAATCATTTCCCCAAGTTAATACACAGTAATAAAAAGTATTATTTTGATTGAACTATATGAAAGAAAGTATCAACACAGAAAAAATATTTAGAAAAAAAATCAAACCTTCTGTTTAAATAGTAAGATTATGGTTAATCTAAAAAATCAAACAATATTTTAAAATAAATGACATATTAAAGGGGAATTTGAATAATAAAAAGCAAAATTAAACTCAGGCATTGAAATTTAACACTTTAAATTTACTTTTGTAAAGATGATAGTTTAACCGTCTTAAACAGCTTCATATAATTGGTGTCTAATTTAGCTTCGATGGCCTACTCAATTTATGAATTTATTTTTACTTTTTCCACATCACTATTTATAATTTAGGGATTGACAAGGTCCAATCATATCCGTGTAATTTTACTTTGCCCATAGGAAATATAGATTTCCAACTAGGAGGTAAGATGATTTTTTTTTTATTCACTTTACATCAATAAGAACTATCTAATTCAAAGCTATGCTTCAGCAACATTGTCAAATTCATTCAGCACAAAATGTTTTTGTAAATATTAATTTAATAGTGCAAGCTAAAAAACACTGAAACACTGAAATGTTAAAATGTTAAAATTATAAAAATCTGTTAAAAATTTAAAAAGTTATAGGCAAAAAGCAGAAAAATTAGTACAAATTTCCCAGAGTCCTCCAAAAAATTATGTTTTGGCCGTAGATCAAACAGTTTCTAAATAAAAAAAAATGGGCAATATTCATTATTCACTATTTAGATGCACTTGTTGTGTAATGAATTTGTATAATTCATTTGTATTGAATTTTACAGTTAGCATATTTCAAACAAAACATTTAAAAATGACCACTTCATGATTTTTGACCTTTTTTAAATCTCAAATTTTTTTTGTTTAAATAAACAATTTTTGCTGAATGTTGGTAATTTTGAAAGACGTAGAAACATAGAAATGTAATATTCTAATTCTAGTCCAATTCTAACTATAGGGATTGCTGTACTGAAAGGAAAAATTCACATATACAACTTTAAAACCAATAAGTAAGTAATTCATTAAAATGTCCATTTAAAAAACATAACCATCCTTTTTTTAAATTTTTAGAAATTCTTCTTTAAATCCATCCTTAACAATAAAATCTGCTATCAGGAAAAACGTATGATCGAGAAACTATAAAATAAGAAAAAATAAGGTTTTTTTTAATGAATATTGGGTTATAAAATGGCTTTACTTTTCATACAGTTTTTATTAAGTTATGAAATATCAGTCATTTTTTAGAAGATAGATGTTAATACTTTTATTTAAAAATATCACTAAAAAACTCAACCACCAATTTTTGGTTGACTCTTCGATGGCAAATAGTATGTTGGTGTCAAGAAATACTATTAAACTAAACCCAATTTTTGTTGATTTTCCTTCATTATCGGATATTTAATATGTTAATCATAGGAGAAAAACATATTTGTTTAAATCCTGGTCATAAAACTGATGATCATATGCCTTCTCTGATACATTTTTAAAAAAAAATTTCTTGCCATTAAATTCCTCAGAATGCTGTTTGCCAATAAGCATTCTAACATCAATTTTAACTATTCTCAAACAGGTGTTACCACCGTAGCATGGTGTTGTCTGGACCCTGGGACGAAACACCAGACTGTGTTACACCAGCTAGAAACAGCCCCACTATGACAACTGTTGGAGAAAATATATTAATGACTGGCGGATATGTAGAAAGTAGTTCATCAAGGTGATTAAGGTGTATTGGCAAAAAAGTCTTAAATATTGTACTTACTTAAATGTTGGTCTTGGCAAAATTGAGGTATCAAAAAGGAATTTTTTGAAGATTAATTGAAAAGTCCGTTAACAAACAGCAAAATCCGTTAATTTTTAAATTGTTAACAAAGAGAAATAGCTATTCTTTTTTTATTTCTTTTTAAAAAAAAAATGCCCTTGGATATGGTTAAGGAGACAAACAAACTTTTCTTGACCGAGTTGATTCCAGGGCAACAATCCACTCTTCTAAATTATAACATTATTAACTCATTGTATCACCAGTCAAAGGTAGGGTTTAAAGCAAAAAGGGAAAATCATTTAGCAAAAATTTTGCATTTTTCCAGGAAATAATTTTTCCCTGAATATTTTGCATATTTGCATTATGTTAGATCGCAAAAAAATGCAAAAATATTTGCTTATTTTACAGAATGTTGCTTTTAGCTGTTTCGTGAAAAATGCAAATTTTCCATAAATAAGCAATGTGAACATTTCACAAAAAATGTACAAGTTTTGAGAAAAAAATTCTCTTCATCCAACATTAATTAAAGTAAAGGAAGAGCTATTATTAATTATTATTAAAACTGCTGAGATCTCAGAGCAGAGAATTAAGAACTTTTCAGATATCTGATTGTTCTAAATGTTCATTGCTAAGAACTGAATGAAATGTTTACAACCTTTTCTTTTCTCTTTTATAATACTGTTTGTTAACAATTTCAATCTTTATTAGTGTTATTATCTAAAGATATTTTAGAAATCTTTGTTAAGAGAATCTTCCATTAATTTACAAAATGTTTCTGTTTGCTAATGGGAAGCTGTTCAGCCCTTCGAACAAGTTATTGTATGGGGAAGTAATCTCAGTTTATGATTGTTTTGATGGGTTGTGCTTCTTTTTTAACAATTTAAAAATTTGATTAAATTTTTGTTGTTAAAAACGTTTACTAAAATTAATTTTTTTTGTTACTTTTTTACTTTTCAGTTTGGATACTATTGAATCCTTTGACGGTACAACGTGGACAACTCTTAGCACTAAACTTAGTCGTCCAAGAATTGCTCACTGTTCTGTAGGGATAAGGTAATATCTACCAAGTCTTATTAAGTCATATAACTGAAATGTTGAAACTGTATTTAGTAAATTAAAACCTAACATAACTCCAAGACTTCCTTTCATTATTATAACCCAGAGAGCTAGACTTCCTCTACTAGAAGATAGAAAAGCCAAGATGAAAAGAGCTAGATCTCCATCCCTAACTTCCTCCCACTATTCCCCAGCTAGATGGAACAATTACACCATCAACACCTAAGATCAATTTTCTTTTATGGCCTGAGTATACTGAGGAATCTGATTCTGCGTATGCACCTGAACCTGAACCTGATCCTGATTCTGCTCCTGAACCTAAACCTGAGACTGAGTCTGCACCTGAGCCTGAACCTGAGTCTGAATCTGGTCCAGAATCTAAAACCTAACCTGAAATCAAATCATAACCAACTGTGAACATTGCAAACCTAGTTTTTAGTTTCTGTGAAGAAAACATATGTAAAGTTTGCCCAGTTAGACTTAGAGCATATGAAAAAGGCGATAACCAAATATAATAATAGTTGGTTAATAGTTATGGAATGTTAACTGTTGTTTCTCAGTAATAGGAAGTCAGCTGTGAAATATTGCACTGGAATTCAAAGTCTAATCTATGTTTCTCATATGAATCATAAAGTAATATAGAAAATAAATAATGTAGTTTTTTTCCATTAATGAATTTGTGAACTTTTAATGAAATTGCAAATTTTTAATCTCTGCTACAAAATAAATATTTAGATTTGAAAAAAATAGTAAAGTGTTTGAAGCGGAAAAGGCAAACAATTTTTTCTGCACAAATGCACAATTATTTATAGTTTAAAAAGCAATAAACAAATCTTTTTAAACAAATTATAAAATTTAATTTCAAAAAATTATTAAAGTTAAAAATGGTTTTAAAAACATACAAAATACACTTAAGATTTAGACAATAGCTCAAGAAAGTTGATGAAAGCTGGTCTTAAATGCAAAAAAATCTATTAATAAGGATTTATCTTGTTGTTTTAGTTATACGGAAATGATTGTGCTTGGAGGTATGAATGGCCCATGGCAAATGAGACTAGTAGAGAAATATGATGCTGATGGTAACATGATAGAAACTTTACCAAACCTTATCACTGGAAGGTAAACTTCTATTGTTGAATCCAAGGATTAATAAAGGCAGTGCTAGATATGGGGACCCCCCGGCCCCTTCCCTCCATTAAAGTGTTAAAGGTACGCTCTCCCCCTTGTATATCTTATTAACACTCATTCTTGGAGATTGTATCTCTACTCCTTGAGGCTTTTAAAGCTTCGCAAGGTTTGCAAACAAGAATCCTAATCAAATTTGGATTTACTAACGCTAATTTTACTTCTATCCATTGTACTTTGTAGAAAATGGCAGAGCTCATGTAAATTCAATAAACTTTAAAACTGGTCCTTTATATGTTACAATATCTATATAAATTCTGGGTCTAATTAGGGTTATTCAATTCTAGACAATATTTCATAATACTTTTTTAAATTATATGATGAGAGTGTAACTTCTTAGAATATTCATATCTGATGTTTAAATTTTTTTTTATAAAACACAGACGGGATTTTAATATTTTCCAATAAATGTTTTAAAAACCCGCTCCAGTCGTAAAAAAAAGTTTTCAAGGAAGAATAAGATTTGATTATTAAATTTTTAAAGGATCAGTTTTGAATATAATTTAATTATTAATGGTTTGAATGGAATAATGAAACCACACTCTTTGGTATTAACCTTTCTCAGCAATTTTCTTAATAACGCAACAGATAAAATAAAAGTAAGATTATCAGTTCAACTCTAGCAGCAGGTCCTAGGTAATTGACATTGGAGACCTTCTTAGTACCAAAGAAGGGAGAGAGAGAGAAAAATGGCAAACCCAGTTAAACATTACAAACATAATAAACTTAAAGAATGAGGGTAAATTTAAGGAGATGGCAATCTAAAAGCACAAGATGCTCTGCTTCATCAGTTAACACTGGAGAATAGAAGCTTTTTACCTCTCTAGGTTTAAGTTTAGCTATTGTAAAAGCTTGACATACATTCCTTAAAATCATGTCTGGTGCAAGCCAGTTTGTAAGTATATCCTTCACTGTTCAGTGAGAACTGAATATTCTTCAAACATTGCCCTTGTGATGTGGAGAAGCATCCAGTACAAGTATCATTTACAAGTGGTTCAATGGAAATGCCTCAACACGGAAACGGACCAACAAGGAAATGGACCAAAAAGTGACTTTTGGTCCGTTTCCTTCTTTTTCAAGAATTATCGGAAATCCCTCAAAAACTGAAAAGTTTTGAGGGATATCCAAATATTTTTGATCCATTTCCGATATATTTACGTCTGACTCGTTTTCCGTTTTTTTTATCGGTTTCCGCATATTTTTTGCTGATTGGTTTCTTTTTTTTTACGATCGGTTTCCGCATATTTTAGGTTGGTTTTCAGTTTGTTGGTTGGTTTCCTGTTTTTTTTTCAATCAGTTTCCGCAAATTTTGGTCCATTTCCGGCTATAAATTTATAAATTTTTAGTTTGTTTGTCGGTTTCCTTTTTTTCGATTTGTTTAAGGATTTTATGTTCATTTCTGGTTTTCAAAAAAAAGTTATAAATTTTTCAGTTTTTCGGTCGGTATACTTTTTTGATCTGTTTCCGCAAATTTTTGATTATATAATAATTATATAATATATAATACAACACAGGTCACAGATAAATGAAGTGAACAGGGTCAGACAAAAAAGAAGAATGTTGGAAAAAGTGAATATCTGCACTATATACATGTATCAATTACCAGTTGCTTAAAAATTGTAATTTTTAAAATATATGAAAAAAATACCCAATTTGTTAAAAAAAATTTTACACAAAAGTGGCGCCTTGGAGTTTTTGGTAGGAGGGGGTAGGGAGGTGCTTTTAGTATTCTGCAGTATTATTACAAGGCTTAAGCCTGACCCCCTTTCGTTTTACCTTTATTTTCAAAAAAAATATCTCTTTTCCCCTATTTGAATAAACCACCCAATAAATGTTTGTACTCCACATACACAATACACATAACTAACATTGTGTGGTAATTTCTTACAACCAAAAATGTATGATGAAATAAACTGGCAAACTTAAATTAGCAAACTTTGATAAGATCACACCTCAAGTTATCTAACCTTTATGTGATCAATTATCTTTGCTAATAGATAACATCATACATCAAGTTATCTCCATCACACGGATCAAACCTTTATACGATTACTTATCTTTGTAACCTGATAACATTATACATCGGGTTATCACCATCACACGGATCAAACCTTTATACAATTACTTATCTTTGCAACCTGACAACATTATACATCGGGTTATCACCATCACACGGATCAAACCTTTATACAATTACTTGTCTATGCAACATTTAACACCCACATTAATAAATATATTCTTATTTGATTAATCACATTTATTTCAAATATATTCATAAATGTATACATAATCACAATATAAAGAGAAATAGATGGTTTAATGATCAGCCATGATCCCTTAACATATTAGGTTCCTTAGCTTGAGCTTTGAGCGCTTTCTCAGTTAATCTACCAAGTCTCAAGTGCATGATTAATATATTAGTCAGTCCATCAATCAGATCTTTATCTCTTTTATTCCAGGTTTGCCGGTCAACAAGGAAATGGACCAAAAAGTGACTTTCCTTCTTTTTCAAGAATTATCAGAAATCCTTCAAAAACTGAAAAGTTTTTGAGGGATATCCAAATATTTTTGATCCATTTCCGTTTTTTTATTGGTTTCCGCATATTACAGGTTTGCTTCCGGTGTTTGGAAAAAGTTATAAATTTTCAGTTTGTTGATTGGTTTCTTTATTTTACGATCCGTTTCCGCATATTTTAGGTTTGTTTTCAGTTTGTTGGTTAGTTTCCTGTTTTTTTCAATCAGTTTCCGCAAATTTTGGTCCATTTCTGGTTATAAATTTTAAAATTTTGAGTTTGTTTGTCGGTTTCCTTTTTTTCGATTTGTTTAAGGCACATTTTATGTTAATTTCTGGTTTTCAAAAAAAGTTGTAAATTTTTCATTTTGCTGGTCCGTTTCCGGTTTTCAGAAAAGTTATAAATTTTCAGTTTGTTGGTTGGTTTCCTGTTTTTTTTCTATACATCTCCGCAAACATTTGGTCGGTTTACAATTTTCAGAAAAAGTTAAAAATATTCCCTTTGTTTGTTGGTTTCCAGTTTCCGCAAATTTTTGGCCTGAGTCCAGTTTACAGAAAAAGTTATAAATTTTCAGATTGTTGGTCAGTTTCCTGTTTTTTTCACTTTGTTGCCGCAAATTTTTGGTCCGTTTCCGGTTTTCAGAAAAGGTTATAAATTTTCAGTTTGATGGACGGTTTCCTGTTGTTATTTTTGATCCGCTTCTGCAAATTTTTGGTCAGTTTCCGGTTTTCAGAAAAAGTTATGAATCTTCAATTTGTTGGTCAGTTTCCTTTTTTACGATACGTTTCCACATATTTTGCTAAATATTTTTTACAATTAAAATCAAAACAAAAATTATGGTTTAATATTATAGTTTTATTAATATCTAGCTTTTAAAAAGCATTGATACAGAAAGCAAGGAAATAAAGAGAAGCTGCCAATTTGAAAAGCTTCTCTTTAACTACTTGTAACCTTGTAATTCGAGAAAACCTTGTTAACAATAAAAACTTAAATAAAAAGTCGTCTTCATTATACTGAAATTATTTGCCTACCACCACAGTATAATACAACACAGTTAAATGAAGTGAACAGAAAAGAATAAAGTTGGAAAAGTGAATATCTGCACTATATACATGTATCATGTACCAGTTGCTTAAAATTTTGTAAAAAATCTAAAAATAAAAAATACCCAATTTGTTAAAAAAAAATTTACACAAAAGAGGCACCTTGGAGTTTTTGGTAGGAGGGGGTAGGCAGGTGCTTTTAGTATTCCGCAGTATTATTACAAGGTTTCAGCCTAACCCCCTTTCGTTTTACGTTTATTTTCAAGAAAAAAATCGCTTTTCCCCTATTTGAATAAACCACCCAATAAATGTTTGTACTCCACATACACAATACACATAACTAACATTTGGGGAAGAAATGATTTTTGAAGAAAGGATATATCCCCTGCTTTATTTAGAGGTTACTTTGGATGTGGATTTTATCAAGGAGAAATCTATGCAGCAGGTGGAAATGGCATGTCGAGGTATAAGAATCAATCAATTTTTTTTCAATTGTAAAGATATTTCTTTACAACGATATATTTTTATTTTCCGTAAGCTATTTGAATTTACAACATTATTGCGGATCAAATATCACAATTATATATGTACGGAAATATGCTTACATTTATAAGCAGTTAAAATGTATTCTGTGTAAAGTTGAAACTTAGGAAGTAAAGCTTTTAGACATATAACTGCTTGAAATCACCAACAACATTAACCTTCTTTATATATGGAAATATGGTTACATTTATGAGCACTCACGATGTATTCTGTGTAAAGTTTGAAACTTGTAAAGCTCAATATCCAGCTAAGCTTTGAAAAATAAATCTGAACCATCACGTATACAACATCACGTATACAACATCACGTATACAGCATCACGTATACAACATCACATATACAACATCACGTATACACCATCACATATACAACATCACGTATACAACATCACGTATACAGCATCACGTATACAACATCACATATACAACATCACGTATACAACATCACATATACAACATCACGTATACAACATCACGTATACAACATCAAAATACTTTAATTAGGTTTGAAAGCTACTTTAATCACAAGTAGAACTACCCATATTAGAAGAAACAGTACAATTATTTTCTATAAACATTGGTAAAATGATTAGGAGTATCTTGGAATTTCCAGCCCTTAAAAATGAAAGACCTTCAGGTGGTTAGTTTTTCGGTCGTTGTTTCCTATATTTTCTCTCAGTGTCAAAATTTGGCCTAATAAAGAGCAGCAAATGTCTTCTAAATTGGTTGTTCTAAACATTTTTTGTTCTTTAAATATGTCAAATTTTGACCCTGACAAAAGATACGTTGAAAGCATGACAAGAAAAAAACCCCAAAACAAAAGTTTTCGGATGGTTTAAAAAAAGCAAACTTTAACATAATTCAGTTTTTAAATGTTGGAAGTTTTATTGAATTGTTTCTAAAATCGATTAACAAAACTACTTACAGTGGGAAAGGGTTAATTCTTTTTGCATGAGATGCCACTAATAGATATTAATGTTCAAAATGAAAATAAAAGGGCAAAGAAGGCTGATATTGTTCATTGTTTTATTATAAAATTAATTTAATTGTTTAGTGTGGAGGTGTACAATATGCAGAGCAAGAGGTGGAGAGCAATTGCCAACTTAAAATCAAATGTATTATTCCCTAATTTTCATGTATACAAGGAGAAGCTTACTATGTTCGGTTCTGATAATTCAATCCAGATATATAATGGAGAAACATGGGAGTTTGCTTCAGAGTCTCTTAAAAACAACTTCTACAGGGGTGTCTCAGTCAAAGTACCCTGCCATTGAACATCTTGAATTTTGCTCACCAATTTTCATTATTTGCTGTTTTGCTTCAAAAAGGAGCATATACATTTTTTAGGAGGCCTAGAATACCATCAAGCATGAAGCAAATAATAAAATAGTAGCATTTATCAATATTTGGCGTTAATTAACTTTACAAGCTAGCTGTGCTGTAAACTTTTAAGATTATAGAATAGTTTTCTTTAAAGAATGTTTAAAAACCTTTTTTGTTGAAAACTAATAATTTTTTATATTTAAAATCAACTTGTTGAATTTTTAAAAAAAAATTTTAATTCAAAGATCTTTTTTTTTTTTTTGTGAAAATCTAATCTCTAATGTAGGCAAGAAAAAAATCTTATAAATAAATCAAAATGGGTTTCAAAAATATCTGCTTTGAAACATTCAGAAACAATCATACAAATTTATGAAATTATAAACAAAAAATCATTTTTTTGGGAAAGATTTCAAAGCATATAAAAAATAGTCTTTTAGCTTTAAATCAAACAATTTTCCAAAAATGAACAAATAGATGTTAATCAACGTACAGTTCAAGATTGCATATTGAAACACCCATATTAACATATTTTCAAAGAATTGAAAAATCAACTTAAATAATGATATGTTTTATTTCATTTCATTTTAGCTGTATAAAAACGCCTTTTTTCCATATAGCAAACATCATATCAGAATGTGACAGGAGATTATAAAACAATTGATCCAGTATTTTCTTTAAACTTAAGATTTTAAAAATTTACCAGTGCACCTCCCCCCATTTTTATATGTTTTACATATGGTTACAAAAAGTAAGAAATTCTTATGCTTGCTTCATTTTATATTTAAACACCTATTAATGTTATGTATATGATTTTTTTCTTTAATATATACTAGCTGAAGAGCCCGGCATTTCCTGTGGAAATTTTTTTTTTAAAATATTGAAAAAAATATCTATCTTTTTAGTCTATAACTTAGTACGTAGCCTTTAGCTTATTACGTCAATAAAATTCACCAAACCCATACTGCAGTCCTTTAATTATCATACAGGGAAATTTTCATCTTTCAAAACATCCCAGGAAAAGATTTTACAGGTTCTTTAATCAAAACCGAAATTTGATAAAATGTTCCTTTAATTCCGTAAATTTAGGTTTAAGATGTTTCTATTCATTAATTGATTTTTGGCTAATTCAGCAATTTTTTAATATGTTAGTTTTTTAATTCATTAATCGTTAGATCATTGATTCATTAATTCATCAATTTAACAATTTTTCGGCTAGTTAATTCATCAATTCCATAATTCATTAGTTTCCCAAATCACTAACTCGTTAGTACAATAGTTCATTAATTCATCAGTTTATTGCTTTATTCACTCACCAGTTCATTAGTTTATTAATTCATTAATTCATCAGTTCATTGCTTCATTATGTCATTAATTCATAAATTTACCAATTCAATGCTTCATTATGTCATTAATTTATTAACTCACAAATTCATTTTGCCAAGTCATTCATTCATATTTTATTAATTCACTTGTACATTCATTTATTCATTAATCTTCAATTCACTAATCCATCGATTTACCGATTCATCATTTTTCTTTTCAAATACTTCCTGAAATGTATTTTTCGTTTAAATACATTTTTTCTTAATTCCAATGATCCTAAGTCTTACTTTCCTTTTCATACGTTTAAGTTTATTTTTCAATCAAGAAATTTTGCATTTTTTTAACGAAAAAATCCGTAGCTACAACAATTAATTGCGCAAAACATTTATGGAATTCTCTGCTCAAAAATGCGAAAATTTTGCGAAACGATTTCCCTTTTTCGCTTGAAACCCTAGGCCTGCTTCAGCTAATATGGTTGTGTGGTAAATTCTTCAAGCTAAGTCACAATGTCAAGCTAAGTCACAATGTCAAGCTAAGTCACAATGTCAAGCTAAGTCACAATGATTGTGTTTACAGGCTCCAAATGTACATGATGCCTCTGAACGAAAGTCAAAAAGCAATTTCTAGGTTGTCTGAAAGGAACTTGATTTCCAAAATTTATTCCTTTAATTTATGACAATATTTAAACTCAAGATGGCATGGCATTAGTTAACAAGTCAGTACTAAATGTTTTATGAATTAGTTAGGAGGCAAAAAAATAAAAGTTTGACATGATACAGTAAGAACCAGAAAACATGGAAAAAGTAATTTACATATTTTAGAATGAAGTTATGACTTTAAATTGTCAAATGAACATGAAACACAGAAAATGTGCAGTGTAAAAAGACCCATCTAACTAATAATAATTTTCTGGTAAAACTATTTGCTCTGTAACAACATCCAGAGATTTCTGGTTCTTATTGTAGCTCCCCCTCCTCGACTGGGGGGGGGGGGGNGGGGGGGGGGTATTGTAACGGTTTTGTCACAATACTCCTCTTAAAATGGATTTGTCTTGTGTTTCATGTTGAGAATGGACAAAATGAATATATTCTGATATTCTATTCATTTACAAACATTGTTTTAACTGTAGCTAGCACTGATTTATAATAATTTCAATTTATAATTACTTTTCCCGTTCATATATTTATTTTTAAATGGATCCTGTAAACCTGCAATATATATTGATGTCATCTTTGTTACCGCGAGTATTTCGAAAGAAAAACATATATTTTATAGCAAAAGCACAGAAAGCACAGGGGTTTCGGGATAATCTAAATATATAAATAGATTCTAACAGCTATATAGGAAAGATTTAGGGACTCCAGCAGCACCCCAAATCCTTGATTTAGTCAGAGTAGCGTGTTGAAAAATCCTATTTTTAGAGTTTTCAATGACATAGCGGGTTTTCTGTCATAATTCTTAACTAAAACATAACATTTAAACAACTTAGAGACTTCTCTCAATAAAAATTCTTAAAGGGCAAAGCCTTATTTGACATTAATAAGAGGTTTATGGAATAAATTCATTTTGACCGACTGTGCAACCCTCCCCCCATTTGTTAAATGCAATTACAAATTCTTATTAATCTATCATTTGATTTTGTAAAAGTGCTCGAATTTTAAATAATCGGTTTCCATTATATATATTTTATTTATTCATATAATAAATTCTACTTGTTTTTAACCTTTTTATTGTTTTACGATAATTTCAGGAAAACTTTAGTTTCACGACAGTATAGTTTGAAAAAACATCCCGCATGTTCTTTGATATTTTTTCAAAAAAAAATTTCAAAATGAGATTATAGCTTGGTCATGTATGTTTGTGTTTTCAGGACAACACAGCATGATTCATGATTGGCTAAGGCCCAAAGTCTTGTGAAGGAAAGGGGAAAAAGGGAAACAAAAAAAACTTAAAATACGAGAAAAATTTGTTTGCCAACGTTTTCGTCTGTTGGAAACCCTAAGCTGGAGTATATCCGTCATATAGTGTCCGGGTTCATTTCAGTTTCTAAATACAGAGCAGTGATCGGTCATAGTCCCAGAGCGGCACACCAGTTATATTGGTCCTGTTCATGTTTAAGGACTGGATGGTGCCACCGCATTGACGAATGGTTTGAAGTAGTCCTATATCTGTTAGCCGACTACCTTCCAGGTTAAGGGTCTCTAGAGCGTACAGTGTTCCATTCTGAGCCTCACCGGTTATATTTGTTCCACTGATATCTAGTGAACGAAGCGTGTATACTGCAGTGTACAGGCACAGCTTGGTTTAAATTTTTATATTATTCCTAATTCTCAGAAATTGTAAAAATAAAATAATAATCATGACATATGTGAAAACAGTTTTAAAGAGCTCCATATAATTATTCAATTAAAAACTAAATATCTGCAGCATTCCGTTGTAAGCAGGCTCAGAAATCAATGTTTCATAAATTCTTTAAACGTCTCCACAAAGGTCTGGTATAAACTGTATGCACAATCTCTTTAACTATAGTGAGAGATGAGCTGACCAGCCTCCTGCCCAACCTCTACGGGATCAGAAGAGAGTTCTTCGCCACCAGCCTCTACTCCCTCTTCCTTCAGCAGAATACCCTGCCCAAAAACCTCTCCTATATTTACAGGTTTAGAGTTATATTCATTAATGGGACTCTTAATAAACGATTAACAACAGTACCCTTTGAAGTGATGCTAAAGACTTTGTTGTTATTTTCTCTTGAAAATTGTTTAATTCTAGCAAATTTCTTTTTAATTTATAACTTTTTAACTTGATAATTTTTGCTTTTACCAAGGTTTTCAAATCACAGGGTACTCTTGGGAATCAAACAAGACCTTCTTTTAAATTGAGGGTGACCTTTACTTACATCAGTTATTTGTATTTGTTATTTGTATTATTTTCATAGATTAATAACAATACAGATACAACACTAGATGTCGTCTTTTCAAGATTTAGGATTTTTTGTTCTCAATTTAACACTGAGGCAGAGGCCCAAAGGAGTAACTCGTATTCTCTCTCTCTCTCTGCCGTCTATTTCAACGCTGTTTGCGCGGAACTCCTTTGGGATCTGCCTCATGGTTATTGTGAACAAAAAAAACCCTTCAAAATACGACATATAGTGTTATATCTGTATTGTTATTAATCTATGGTCTTTTAAATCCTCAACGTCTTACGACATAACCAATTTAAAATTCGTCTTTACAAAAGAGACTGTCGTGAGTGCCCCTTTATTTAATCAATAATGTTAAACAAATCATCTTTTTTCTCCAGCAGAAATCCGTAAATCAATAATGTTGGGAAACCACAGTTAAAAATAATCAATTTCGTATTAAAACATGGATAACATATTCATTCTTTAGATATCCATATGAAATTTTTATATAATTATACTAATTTTTGGTATTTAACAAGCGTTTTTAGATGCTTTTAACTTCCCTGCTTTTCATTATTTCTATATTTTTTTTGTAAAGCCTTAAAATAAATATTTGGGATGTTTTCAGCATTGTATTGGTATAAATGCCTAAATAAAAGTAAATTTAACAAAACATATACCTCAATTAATCTTTAGTATTTTAGGGAAATGAGTGAATATGTCCTGGTGAAGCTCAAAGCAAAATTTTGATAAAATGTTTTTTGATATATATATATATATATATATATTCCATGCCAATAAACAAAATATTTTTACTGGGTTAAAAATGGATTTCGAAGCCGAGCTTGCATATCTGGAGGCAGTATAGTAGGGATTTACAGAGGTGTCGATAAACAATGTCATGAAAGACACACACAACCACTAAGAATTACGAACCGGAACATAAAAATGAAAAACCGGATTTGTGGAATAATATACATGACATGAAACTTAACAGATATTTCTAGAGAAATCAAACTCAAGGTTCCGAAATATCTAATTATGAACTTTGAACAAAAAGTTGTAAACAAATTTTGGCCAAGTTCGAACTTGGAACAATGATCACGAGGGAGGGGGTGCAGAGGCGCGATGATCCCCGAAAAAATGACCTTCCGAGCCTCAGGATTTGCAGAATTACCTCCAGGCCCCGCAAAACTGGTCTCCCAGCCTCAGTGACGTTGAGACAGAATGCCTCTGCACCCCCTCCCTCGTTCAACTTTTCAAGAATATATCTATAACTTTTAATACCAGATAAGTCACATGTCAGATTTCTGTAAAATAAATGTCACAACCACAGGGTAAAGGTTCCCTACTGTAGGATACTGTGGGGTACTGCAGGGTACTGCAGGGTACCAGGAGGTACTACAAGGTACTGCAGGGTACTGTGGATATCTTTGGGGTACTGTGGGGTACTGAAAAGTAATGGAGAACTGTGGGTGACTGCAGGGTACCCCGGGGTACAAGGAGCATGGATACTGGGGGGTACTGGGTGGTAAGGGGGGGGGTACCGGTACTGGGGTACGGGAAGTTCTGTGGAGTAAGAGGGGTACTAAGGGTACTGGGGGTACTGCTGGGTAATGGGAGATACTGCAGGTTACTTTGGGTGATGCAGAAAAGTGGGCTTCACTTCTTGGTATTGCAGAGTACTGCTGGTTAATGTGCGTACTTGAGGGTACTAAGATGTACTAAGAGGTACTACGCTAAGTACTGCAGGGTGTTGTGGGTAATTGTGGGGGTAGGTTACTGGGGGGTACCCGGTACATTACCCTGTTGTTCCCGCCATACCCTGCACTACTTCGCAACACTCTGCAGTAACCTCAGTACCCCCAGTTCCCAAAGTACTCCCCAATACCCCAAAGCACCCCCTCTTATCCCTAGTACCGCCACATACCCAATATTACCCCCAATACCTGGAAATATGCTGCAGTACCCTCAGTACCCTTCAGGACCCCGTAATGACCTCCAGTAACTCCCAGTACCCTGAAGTACCCCTGGTTCCCCCTGGTACCCCACATTGCCCCCCCGTACTCCCCCAGCAGTCCTGCAGTACCCGGCAGTAACCAGCACTATTCTGAAACACCGAACAGTATCCGAGGAATCCCAGTATCCAAAATTACACCCCAGTATCCCCCCCCCCCCGGTACCGCCTAGTACCCCCAGTCGGGTAAAGCAGGGGTCGGTATTGTCGGGTAATGTGGCCAAATTAACGAATTTGAGCTGCGGCTCAAATATTGTTATAGGTCCACTTAAAACTGTAATTAATGTATGTTTCAAGATTTCGGCTGGCGTTCAATTGAACCCGGTTTTTGGCGAATTTGAGACGCGGCTCATGTTCAGTCGGTCGGATGATTAATCTAAAATCGTCTTTGAAGTTTAATAGTGGGTAACCCTGCATGTATATTTTTCAATGTACAGGGTTACCCATAAAGAATGAGACTTCAGTGATTTCTTATAATTACGATTCCTTGCAACTGTAAACTTGTTTGTTCTTTGCCAAATCTTTAAATAAGCCATCAGATATATCTGTCTAAGGCAGAATACATAATTAAACCTTAGGATCAGCACATTTTTTTAGTTTCCGGTCGTCTTCACAGTTTCAACAATTGTGGGTAACCCTGTATATATCGTAGAGGGGAAAGCTGATACAGCTGATACCTTTCGAGCAATTGCAAAATATCTTCACAAAAAATAACTTGAATGCGTATTCATAAACTAATTTATGTCAGGAAGGGAGTTTGCACCTTAGTTAAATCTTTAATAAAATGTCGTCTTTTCGTATTTGCAGCAGAAAAAAAACAAATTTTAAACCTAACGTTGCGTTTTGGAATGCGTAAGCAGAGAGCATAAAAACGGGTCACAATCACGACACATGAAATCTAAAAATATCTTTAATAAAAACTAATAGACTAAATAATAAATTACGCAAGAGCATTGAATAATATATGTTTTGTACACTGTAAATAAAGTAATATTCCCTTCTTGAAATGTAGACATGACCCTGCTTAATATATTTATAATAATATTATGTCATGCAAACAAAATTAGCCCTTAATGACTTTTTTCCAGTGGACAAAGAGGAATTGGGCCGTCTATGTGTCTATGTGTCTATGTGTCTATGTGTCTATGTGTCTATGTGTCTATGTGTCTATGTGTCTATGTGTCTATGTGTCTATGTGTCTATGTGTCGTGATACAGCAATTTAGTAGTGTCCGACGTAGGGAAGGAAATTCTTAATTATCAATTTTTTATTCATCATATTTTATTTCTTTAATTTTCCCCCCTTTCCTTTCTAATTTACTCATGAAAATTCTCTATCACAAAAAAAAAATATTTTGCGTTTACCAAGTTGAAGAAAGTATAATTTTTTGTAAACCCTGTAGAAACCAGGGAAAAGCAGTCGAGCCTAACACTGAGAGTCAGTACTGCTCAGTGTACGCTCTCAGCAATACCGGAAGTGTACGCAGAATGCGTAAAAATCCATTGCGAAATAGGTCGGAAGTTACGCACGAAGGAAGTAAAATGTCAAATTTAATTCAAAAATCATAATTTTTAAATATCAAAATATAGTTTTTTATATATTTCTAATCTTGTGTTTCAATGTAAAAATATAATTTTCTAATAAAATTGTGTAAGTATGTCCAATAGTCTTTAAGTGATAAATTCAAAATCAATAATTTTCTTGATTTTTCTTCAAAAAGACTTTCTCTTTGATACAAATTCGTAAAATTAGCTTTAAACTCTTAAATACAATTATATTTATAATCATAAATCTAACCAAAAATGCCCTTAAATTTAATTTGAATTAAATGATTTTTTTCTGCGCAACATTTTTTTGCGTCATGCGTGAATAAATTATGCGTAAAATGGGGTGTACAGTGTACACTTTTTAAACAATTTAAAATTACCGGAAATTTAAGTTGTAAAGATTTAAAAATTGATTACAATTTGAAATAAACAATATTAGATAAACAACAATTTCAAACAGAAACTACAATTTGAAACAGAAACTACAATTTGAAACAGAAACTACAATTTGAAACAGAAACTGCAATTTGAAACAGACAGGCCACAATTTGAAACAAACAGACCACATTTTGTAACAGATAGAACACAATTTTAAACAGATTGAACACAATTCTAAACAGACAGACCTCAATTTGAAACAAATAAAGCACAATTATAAACAGACAGACCTCAATTTGAAACAGAAACAATAATTTTAACAGATGATCTAGATACAGATAGATGCAATTTGAAACAGATAGAAATCAATTCTGAACAGATAGAACAAAATTTAAAACAGACAGAAAACAATTTAAAACAGATAGAACACAATTTGAAACAGATAGAACACAATTTGAAACAGATAGATAACAATTTGAAACAGATAGACAACAATTTGAAACAGATAGAACACGATTTAAAACAGATAGACAACAATTTGAAACAGTTTGATCACAATATAAAGCGGATAAAATAATTCTAATCAGATAGAACACAATTTGAAACAGACAGAAAACAGTTTGAAACAGATATACCACAATTTAAAACATATAAACCATTAGTTTGAAACAGATTGACCATTTATTTGAAACAGACAGAAAACAATTTAAAACAGCTAAAACACAATTTGAAACAGATAGACCATTAATTTGAAACAGATAGACCACAATTTGAAACAGACAGAAAACAATTTAAAACAGCTAGAACACAATTTGAAACAGATAGACCATTAATTTGAAACAGATAGACCACAATTTGAAACAGACAGAATACAATTTGAAACAGATAGAACACAATTTGAAACGCCAGAGACAGACCAATACAGAAATTAATTTTTTGCCAACACAGAAGATTTTTGAGTTCTCTGAAGTAATTCCCATGTTTATTGAGACATTATTGAGACAAGTTTTTAACTATACTCACTAATCGATATTGGATAAAAACTTTTCTAAAAATACAATCACGCAATCAAACTTTCTCATGTATTTTAGGAGAAAAAACATTGTTTAAACACACAATTTTAATGAAACTCTTAAAATGAATGAATTCCTGATTTTTTTCTCTATCAAGTCAAATTCGCTGTTTGTTTGTTTAGACGTTTGATATTAACTCATCAAACCCTTGACCAATGATTCGCCCTAAATTTTAATTGTGGAACTTGGTAGAACATGTAACGTACTTATTCTGGTTTAAGACTTCTAAGTTGAGCATGGGTTGGATAAACTACCTGCAAAGTACATTTTAACGGAGGAACAAGGTGGAACCACTGGAATGGTTTTTAGCTTGCAATAAAGAATTCCAAAGTTTTGCTTTCCAGTGGAAGCTTCAGGTTTTCAAGTTTGGATTTATATAAAATCAAAAATGTTCTTTATTTTTTTTTGCATTTTTAGTGGATCAAGATTAGGTTGCTTTATTTGCGTTTTTGCACCAATTTGTTCCAGATGTTCAAAACTCAATTATTACATACATTGAGAACCAGAAATGGGTCAGTTTACACTGCACAATCACTGTGCCGAATGTTCGTTATGGAACATTTTTGCACCGATTTGTTTTATATATCCAAAATTCAATTATTATATACAGTGAGAACCAGAAAACTGTGGGATAGAGAGACGACATTCAAGTAATACATTAGTGTGCTGTTGTTACAGTTAAATGGGTCTGTTCATACTGCATAATTACTGTGCCTTATGTTCATAGACTTTTTAAACTCATAACTTAAGTCAAAAGGTCGTCTTTCTGGTTTCTGGTTCTTACTGTGTTATACAAGTTTAATTACTGTTTTCAATCAAACATAACCTAAGTTAAAAACAAATGAACGGATGAAGTAAGATAATTTGACATTACATGAACTATGAATATTATTGATATTCTTGAACATTTTTAGAACCTTAAAGCAATTCTTAATGTTCTTAGCTTCTTTCCTTAAAACACAGAAAATATTGAATTAAGTCCAGATCAGATCACCCGGTTTCCGTATCAAGTTTAAACTTCGTATTCAGGAATCAACAGCAGCCTGAATCAATATAACAATAAAACAATTTAATTCACTAATTCACAGTTGCAACATAAATAGATTTATTTAAAGAGACTGTTTACAATACTGGACAAGTTTTTTTATTTATATTTTCTTAAGGGAAATAATTTCGGTGTTAAATATTATTTTTATTTAAAATTTTTTTTTGTCCTTGCATTTGAAAATTGACAACTTCAATCAGCCATTCAATATTTTTCTTAAAAATGTTAATGATCCTATTTTTAAAAATATAGCGTGTTTCACGAAACATGGCAATTGGTAAATAATTATGAAAGTCGTCTTTCATATACTTTATTAGATATTAAAGGTTCTTTGCAGTTTATTTCGTTAAAACATAGTTTTCTGAAACATATTTTATTATGAAACCAATTTTACTATAACTATACTATACTGTAATATTGTCTAATTAATGTCGAACAACTTAAAAAATTATGGAAGAAGACATTCTAAACTATTCACCAACTGTCATGTTTCTTTCGTAGGACACCCTGTACATGCCTGGAGGGAAAGTCCATATTTTTGCTTAGCTGTTTTACATTTTTATTCCTTAAAAAAACTTTATAATAAGTCAAAAATTAGATGATTTAGATTTTCACTCTATAAGATTTTACCCCACTCCCGTCCGTTTTTAACCCGTGTGCCCCCCCCCATTACAAAAACTTTCATTTAACAGCCCTACAGAAGTGTAACGCATGCTCCAACTGTGGAAGTTGAGTGTCTATCCGCAATGCCTAATTACGTCAGACTGCTTTAATTTAAAATAAAATGGATTTTCATAAAGGTGTTTTGGGTATTATTTTTTCTAAAGCCGGACACGGCCAGGGCTGGGAACGAGAAATTACCCTTTTCGGATTTTCCCAGAAAAATAATTTCTTTGCATGAAAACAAATGGAGTAATTAAAACTTCTTTTAATCCACTCTTTAAACAGAATTATATGGTGTAGAAGGTGCCCCTCGGCCTCAACATAGTCGTCACCCAAATTTGTTTAGTTGTCTACTTGTCCCCCCATTAAGCCGCCATTTGTAAAGACTAGAGTTGATCACGCTTGGACCACTCTGAGTCTGAACTGACCAAAGATAACATTGTTCTGAATCTATATATTTTAACTCAGTCATGTTTTGACATGATACTGATACAGTTGTCAAACTATGTAAGCGTGATGGATCTTATGTAAATTCTTGTCAGACCAAGCATGATGAATTTTTTAACACGAATCGTTGTTTTATTAGCACTACACATAAAGTAGTAATCTCTGTCTATTTGTTTGTATGTCTGATCGTAACTCATGAACCCCTTGACCGATTTGCCTCACATTTAGATTTGGGAACTATGCAGAACCACGGGAATGTACCAAGTTTGGTTTAAAAGTATTAAGCTGAAAAGGTCGACTTGTGTAGAAAAAACTTAGTTTCTTATAGGCTAATAATAATATAATGCTAGTGCTTTATAATATTTTCTAATTATTTCACATATTTTATTTATTTTCAATGCTATTTCACATATTTATTTATTTTCAATGCTATTTCATTTAACCAGCTCAAAACATGAGAGTTTAGAGACGACTGAACGGAATATATACTATCTGTTTAGAGACGACTGTACGGAATTTTTACATCTGTCTGTTTCCTTTTCTGGAATTAAATATAAGCTAATAAAAGGCCATATTTAAGGCAAACAACTGTAATTTTGGAATCGTGATAATTTTAGAGTTTCATGTCGTCTTTACAGTCTTATCCTCTGTGGATATCTTTTGTTTTTGACCATGGACAGTCTTGAGTTGTACTTTTAAAGTTGCTTCATTTATGTAAAGTCTTGTAACAGTTAAACCCGATTCTTATCTTTAAAAAATGCAGTGCTAGCATTCTAGTAAATTTTAGCCATCGTTAAAGAAACAAATTCAAATAAACTTGAAGGACACTGCAGGTAGAGGCCCATCTTTTTTCATTTCGTTTGTTCATTGTCAGGAGGGGGCAAGAAATGACGAAGTCCACCCTGTTTTGCAATTTAGCGATTCATGAATCCAGACCCTGAGGAAATTTAAGAGCTCTTATCGTAAAATAAAAAAAGATAATTGAACGTTAGTTTATTGAGCTTATAGTTCAATCCATATAGCACTTAATACACCATATACACACATACAGAAATGTCTAGTTGCGCGCCTGGTAAAAAACTTATTTTCCGGTTGGTAAGGTTAGTTTTTTATTGTTTAAGTATAACACACATTTTTCTTGCCCCCCCCCCCTAAAAATGTTTAGGGGGGGGGCCAACAAATTTTTCGCGCTTCGCGCGAAATATTTCCCACTAGCCCCCTCTAACCAAATGTCTAGTTGCGCGCCTGGGGGGTGGGGCACATTTTGTGTGAGGAATATATGCTCTATAATACAGGGGTGTCCCAATAAACATGGGAATTCAGTGACGAAGTTGATATATCTTCTTTTTAAATAATTCTTTGATTTAGTATAGTGATACCTACTGAGAAAGCTGTAATCCGTAAGAATTTCGTCTACTATGTTTACAATTTGTTTGTTTATGTTTTGACTGCATACGGTTGTACTTAGTAAAACAAGGAAACTACAGTAACAAAGATGAGTAAACTTGTCCGTCTTCACTGTTCATCTTGCAGAGACATTATAGACACATCTTTACAGTCTTTAATCCTTTATAGAATAAACTCTAGCAGACATAATAATATTATGGCTTTTGAAATCAGGTATTACGTACAATGCTAATTCATAACAAAGGCGCGATATCGAATTCGTCACTGAAATTTTTTTTGGGACACCCTGTACGAGGGGTGTATTCCCCTCCCTCTTTTAATTCTTACCATAGACCTTTTAAACTAATCAGGACAAAAAAGTCCTGCTTCTCTTAAAATCCCATTACAATTCTCTCCCCCCAGGCCCATCCCCTCCCTCGGACCCCTGAAATCTAAAAGGTGAGAAGGGGCCAAAAAGATTAATTAGATTAACTTATAATGCATTACGCCCTGAAACTTATAAATATACTGTCTAAAAAATTACTGTTTAAATATTATTTCAAATTTGAAAGTTTGAATTTGGCGCCTTATAAATGTTTAGTAGAATAGCGCCTACACTATTCGTACACTGTGACACTACCCTGCATGAACGAATTACGGTGTACAGTTGTACTGTGGCGGGGAAAGCCTTTCTTTTATTATTTATTAAGCCGTTTTGATTCTAAATTGATTTCCTCCTTGTGTCTTCGAAACTCTCCTCGGCTGGAAGTGAAATGTAGCCATATTATCGGGTCCGTCCTAAAGAACGATTTTTGGACCCCCCCCTGGCCCCCCTCCTATTAATTTTGTACATGACCACTTAAATTTTTATTTAGGGTTAGTTTAAGACATCTTTCTGGGCCGAGCGCTGCGGCTATGACAGGCTTTGGGGGCCGAGCGCTGCTAAAATATCCTAATATATCTTTAAACGGACAGTAGTTAATAGAATATTTAATTAATGTTTATTTCAGAAGTATGGATTTATTAGGGACCAAGTTATTGTCCATGTTTCTTTTAGGAGGGATTTCTTTATTGATAGGTCTCCTAGTATGGAAAGCAAGGTAAGGTTTTTCTAAGGGTGTGAATTTCTTAAAACCATTCCTACCTTAAAAAAAAGTTGCACCAAGCAGCAAATTTTGTTTAGGGTTTTATTCGTGGGTTTTTAGAATATAAATGAATTTTTGGATAAAAAGTTTGAGAAGGATAAAAATTCTTGAGTTTTGATGTCTAATATTTTTTTTATTCTATTGAGAATTGAATTATTATTTAATAAAACTGTGGGTGAAATTTATTTGTTCTAATAGTTCTTCTCCTGTTAAACCGGATAAGCATAGTAGGAATCCAAGGCTTAACCAAATTTAAGTTCCAAAAGTTTCAAACTCTAACTTTGCAACCTGAGCTGAACATTTTAGAATGGTGGATATCGAGATTAATGCTTGATCTCCTCTTTTTTTAAATCTCCAAGGCTGGGAACTTTTGAATGGTGAAAATCGGGATTAATGCTTCATCCTCTCTTTTTCTTAATCTTAAGATTAAATAATGATTGTTTTCCTCTTGTTATTAAGCTCCAGATTAACTAACCGATCGGGATTAAGGATATCACATTCTAAAGTTTTCAGCTCTGATGGTATTTAAATCTTTGATATTTCAATTTCTCCAATTCAATCTCAATTCATAATTTGAAATATTAAAGTTTTACAACATTATTTTGCTAAGAAAATATAGCCTGCGAGGTATCACTTAGATTATTTTTTTTTTATAATTTTTAACATTTTCGGTTTAAAAAAAGTATGCCCCATATTTGTTAGTATAGTGATTGTAGTAATAAAAATCTGTTTATATTTACTTGTTTATAAATTTTATTTTTATTTAAATATTACAAAAAAGTAAAAAACTTGAAAATAAATAAAAAAGTAGGGGTGCATTGGGGGGGGGGGGGTTACAAAATGTATAACTCTCCGGAAAATTTAGACAATGTTTAAACATAACTTAAAATTTTCGTGTAACGCTGAATTCTTGCATGCTAACTCAAAAATATGTATTGTAACGGCAAAATTATTTTTTAAAAGTGATTTATTTCCGATTAAGCTATGATTTAAAGATACAAAGAATTATGAGGATGAGCTGTCGAGTTCTATGAAAAGTTCAAATTTCTCTAAAATATATTACAAACCACTCCCCGGACTAGGCCGACATGTTTGAGATATATAAATATCTAAGTATCTAAATATCTAAATATCTGAATATCTGTCAATATGTTTTTGTGAATGTATCGGTTTGCTTCTAAAAGGAGACTGTCTAGTGTCTACGTCACTCCTGTATGTCGAGTCCATTAGCGCCTGATCCAATCAGGGTTCAAGCATGTGTTTGTTGTCTATTCTGAACCAATAGAAATAGTTAGACGGTAACATCTATCTTTCTATCTAACTCATTATCCAATCAGAGTTATGAATCCTTCAATCTGCGCTATCTGCAGTAAATGGAAATATTTACATCTACTGAAACTATGGTGACGTATAGTTTCAAATCAAATTTTATGTTATCCTTGGAAGGCATTTGAGATAATTTATACCTTAAAAGACAGAAATACGACAAATAGTTGATGTAAGGTTAATTTTCAAATTCAGCGTGTAACCTATTAATTTTAAGTTATTAGATACACCTTGGGATGTTTTTTTGAAAAACAAAAGATTTTTTTTTATCATATCATTTATTTTACGACGTTGAGTAGAATAAGGTTGAAAAGATTGAAAACCATTAAAGAACTATATTGAAAGTGTGAAAAGTAATTAATAAGTCATTAAACAATCAAAGAAATGTAGTCATCATTAAAAGAGCTGAAAAGTGAAACACGTCAGACTAAAGTAAATTTCAATAAAGATTGAAATCTTATGTTTCTAAACATAAATTATTTTATTAAAACGCTATAGATACGTCAAAAAATGTATTGAACAAGATATCCTTATTTGTCTAGCTAAAATTTGATTTATTGATTGATATCATGTGTACTCTACTTATCTGTAGAAATGTTAAGAACCTAAACAATTAATTCATAATTCAGTTTAATTTTGTTCTTAAATCTAATTAAAGGGAGAAAGAGTGCACAGATTTTTTTCAGTGGACTACTGGGGTTTAGGAAACAGAAGAATGGAAGACGACAATTAATCTTGACTTCTCTTCTCCTGTGTTTTGGTGGTGGAGTTCTCCTAGCTACAGCGCTCCTTCATATACTGCCTGAGGTATGTTTTTTACCATCCAAAAAAGACACATCAAAAATGAAACTTGACTTTTTAATGTCCAATATTTGTTTTCAGACCATCAAAAATCATTATTATATTATTATTATAAAGATTTATTCACACACAAAGATATAAATATATATATAAATGGTGTAGTTAAAATTTGTTTAAATAAATTTTTTTGAAAATACAGGTTTCCAAAAGAAAAGAAATTTATGCATAAATTTATCCATCTCCTAGGCCCAAGAAGGCCTGGAACTGGAAGCTGAGAAAACTGGAATACACTGGTTAGGAGAACTGTGTTTATGTTTAGGTAACAAATAATAAATAAAATAATAAAAAAAATCCAATTATACAAAACTAAAATGGTAATGCACATTAACGCATATGATATTATTTAAATGGAAGAAAACTGAGTTTCATACATTATTCTTGATATTCTTTTGAAGTGGAGATTTATCACGGAATAGAATGAACCTAAGTTGATGTTTACAAGTATAAGTTTTAAGGGTTAAACTTCTAAATTCAAAAGTTTTAATTGGAGTTAACGATGGGATTTTAGAATTATCAGGCAATTTTATATAGTAAAGATAGAATTATTGATAGTGAGAGAGGTTTTTAGAAGAAAAGTTATTAATTACACACAAACTAAATATTCTATTCTTCAAACCCTTTTATGTACACTTACAGGTTTTTTCCTGGTGTACATGGTCGAGGAGCTGGTACACCTAGTTCTTCATGTTACCAAACATACAGAACAAATACACAGGTATGTTGTATGTACAGTATGTACTGTAGTGTTCAGTCTGTGATTCAGCAGGGGTTTATTTTTTTTGTTGAAAAAAAAACTTTTTTTTCTCGCTTCCATTTAAAAAATTATTTTTTTCTTCAGTATTTTGTTGATGTTTAAGGGAAATAATTTTTAACTGACAAATTACGTCAAATTAAAGTAAATTGCACCCAATATTGAAATCTTATATTAGTAGAATCATAACTCCGCTTACTGAAAAACTGAAAATTGCAGTATATTTCACGCAATATTGAAATCTTATATGAAGAGAATAATAATTTCGCTTTCTGAAAAGCTATTTAGAAGGGCATAAATGTTTTGATTTTTTTTTAATAAAACCGGATAAATTTTCTTCCAGATCATAATTGTGCGCCGAATAAAAATTAGAGGAGCTATATAGTCACAAAGTCTGACCAGTAATGTTATATAAATGTGAAATATTTGTAATTTTTGTTTAAAATATCAAAAAGGGAAAATCTTTGAAAATTTTTTTTCGCTGTCCTCCAAGTATTATTACTTTCCTAGTGTCTAAGTCTCATGTTTATAAGACCTCACTGTATTAAGACTATATATAAAGCAGATGTATCATATAATCTCAGTGCATTCAAGTTTATCATTAAAAAGGTTGTTCAAGCGTTAACATTTCTACATTTTATATTCTTCATGGTTTATAGATCTGCCTACCACCCCCTTTGATGATTAGTTTGTCCTGCCCTCTCCCCTTTGATGATTAGTTTGTTCTGCCCTCTCCCCCTTTGATTATTAGTTTGTCCTGCCCTCTCCCTCTTTGATGATTAGTTTGTCCTGCCCCCCCCTTTTGATTATAGATGTGTCCTGCCCAGTGCCCTCCCCTTTTCTATTGTCCCGGTCCTTGTCCTTTCCCTCTATTCGCCACATTTTCCCCTAGTTCGGTCATCCTTTCTCAACCCCTAGTTTCCCTTCCCCTTTTCTCTTTTGCTTTTCCCCCTCCTTAGAGTTTCGGAGTTTCGTATTTTTCCCGATCAATTTCCTAGCTCTTGTATCGTCCCCTCTTTTTTTTCACGGTCTATAGACATATTTCCAACACCGTGGTTTCAGGGAGGGGGCTTAAAACTTGATCAAATATGACAAATTATTATGTACTAATACAGGGTTATTTACAAATATTCAGACTTCAGACAATCTCCTATTAAACATGTCCCTGCAGTTGTTCAACTCGTACAACTTATATTATTATTTATCCGTTTATTGTACGTCAAATTTTGTTCAGGATTAATTTGAAGTTTTTAAATCTTTAAATTATTAATACCTTCAGACACTTCTGTCTATTTATTAAGATCGTGTAAAATTGTGAAAACCAAAAAAATAGTTCAAACTTCTGTGTTCTAAAAACACAACAATTAGAATTCTTGCAATTAAGGATAAGCTGTTTATTCCTGCTTTTTCAAAGATTATATATTTCCATAAGGGAGAGAGGTTTATTAAAAATAGGAATATAAATGAAGGCAAAATAGGATATATTTAGATATGTTTTATTGTGTGGTATAAAACGTACAGGGTGTGGCACATTCAAAGCCTAGTTCCTACATTTATACATATATAATTCTATAATTTTAGTTAAATTTACAGGGTGTACTAATTCCCATTGATCGGTTTCTTTTTTCAATCAATATTGCAAAAAAAGCGTTTAAAATCCCCCAAAAATTCTTTTCTTTCGAACACACCTTGAACGTGTCAAGGACCAGCTCAAATTTTGAAACCAGGAATCTACTAAACGAAATATTTGAAGGAAGTATGGACAGGAAATTATAATCTCATTCTGAAAGGGACTGTTGACGTAGTTTAACGTCACTCTCAATTTGTAACAGCATGACCGATTCACAATGGTCCCCAATTGCAACCTTTGATTGACCAAAAATAACAAAGATATTTTATTGTTTTTAATATTTTAGAAATTTAAAACTGAGGAGAGGTGATTTTTTTTCCTGGTAAAATTAGACATAATTACCCGATTTTTGGCTTGAATTTTTTGAACTGAATGATAAATCGATGACGAGCTAAAATATCATTTGATGACCTGTAAAATTGAAAAAAAAAAAATCTATTTGCTTTTAGGACGTTTTCGATGCGAAAATCGAACGCAAATCATGACACATCGGATGGAAGGATTGAGGGAAAGGATGAGGAGAAGGATGAGAGACGGGATGAGGAGGATAAAGAAGGGTTGGATGAGAATGGAATCCAACCTGCTGATGTGAATATAGAAAATGTAAATACAGTCGAGGTATGGTTAAATCTAATAGTTAATTTATTATAATAATTATAATAATTAAAATTTAAATAAATTCGTAAACGTTAAACAATTCTAAAATCGTAAGTGTCGACAGGGGCGGATACAGGATTTAAGTGCTAGATTTATTTCGAAACATAAACATCCAGATTTAGGAACAAAATTTTTTTAAGATAGATATTTTTCCTGTTTTGCATCAGGTTTTCTTTCCCTTACGTGCTATTGAGGAGCAATTCTGAAATCTCAGGCCCCCCCCCCTGAATCCTTCGGGGGTGCGAAAGTCTTGCCCCTCCCCTCCCTGTATCTGACCCTGAGCGTCGACATTTTATCATGCGAGTTGGCACAACAGAGGAACTGAGTTTTTGCACATTCCGACTTTCTAATACCTCAATTAATTTAAGTTTGAAATATAGAAGCATTTCACCATCAAGTTGCAACAATATAGGGATTATAAAATTTGCGTGTGTTGCAAATAATCATTTCCTTTGGGCCCAACTAATTGGTTAAACCGTTATAACGTTATTTACATACAGACCAAATATATGTGTTTATTTCTATGTATTTAAGGATAGTTCGCGTAAATTCAAGGGACCCTACTTACAAAAATGACAATGCCCGATTCACAAGAGTTCCCTTGAAAAACCTTTATGTTATCAATAAAGGTATTGTCGGGTTTTCTAGGTTTAAAAATGATCAATTCGATGACTCCTATTTTTTCTTACTTTTAATCGAAAATAATCAGATTTGATTGGTCAAAGTTTTTAAGGGTACCGTTGTGAATTGGGCTTTTTCATTTTTGCATGGAGGGTATTTCTAAACTTTTTTTTTCAACTGGGAACAGGTTTAAACCCGGTTTAAATTCTTTCTCTCTGTAAACTCCGATTCATTTAAAATACCAGAGACCGAATTTAATGAATTTGAGCCGAGTCTCAAATCCTCCAAAAACCGGTTTCAATTGAGCACCAACTTAAATCTTGAAAACTTGAATGCAATTTTAAGTGGAACCAACCATATTTGAGCCGCGGCTCAAATTCTATAAATTCCGAATCAGGCCGGCTTTGAACTTGCTTGAGCAAGCTGTACGGTACACATTTAGACAATATAAGGCAAAACGGGACTGTACACCAAATTAACAATCCCCTTCTAGTGAAATTTATGTGTCCTAATCGTTTTATTTTAGAGATGTTGTGAAAACAAGCCTGAATGTCACAGCGATATGGAGCTTGGGTAGGATATTAGCTATTTTTATGGTTGGATAAAAGTCGGCCCACTTAACTTAGAATTTTAATTCCTGTGAATCTCCTGAGTTCCCCGACAAAATTTGGGGCCAATCTGTCCAAGGGTTCCTGAGTTATGATCGGACAAACAAACAAACAGACAAGCAGATATTACAATTTTATAATAAAAATAACATAGTGATAATAATAATAATGATTCTAAGAGCTACAATCTACATTATTGTCTAAAAATTTCAAATAAAAATATTTATTTTTTATCTTCCAGGGCAGTTGATGAGGCAAACAATACTAAATACAATCCAAAATATGAGGTATTTTTTCATTTTTTAGTTTAATTATCAATTTAATGAAATTGATGATATTAATGGGTTTGAGTTTATTAAGTTTGAATAGTTCACGAGATTTACTGGTTAATAAGTTTTATTTTTAAAGCAAAATATTTTTTATTTTCGTAAACATAATTAGATTTTACAAAATTTTACTGTTACGCTGTTATAACGAAAAAAGCATTTTATTTTACAATATAAATTGGCTTTACTTTCATAGCTATTATTGCAGTTGATAATGCTCGAGGCATAATAAGTTTTATGATATAAGACATTTTTGAAACTTATGAGTTAAATACGTTTAATAAGATCAATGATTTGAATGAGTTTGATAAAAATAATTGGTTGAAATTTTTTTTCAAGTTTAATTTGTTAAAGAAATATTATTATTAAATGGGTACGATTTCATTTAGTTTACATTTATTAAATAAGTATGAGTTCAGGGAGTTTACATGAGTTTAGTATGATAATTACTAATTAGTGTAGTAAGGTTAAAAAGTTAAATGAAAAAAATGAATTTCATAAGATTGATAGTGATATGAGTTTAGTGAAACTGGCAGGGTTGATGAGCTGAGATTGATTATTTGAACTAGTTTGATATTAGATCAATGGGTTTAATATGTTAAATAACTAATATGAGATTTATAAATTTTAAAATTTCATAATATTTAGTTTGCTTTTCAAAACTGTTTGGTTTTTAAAGATAATTTTAATTTTTCTCAATTTTTTATTATGAAATCCCTTTATCTTTGCAACCTAATGGTGTAAATCTTTGATATTACAAAATTAGATTGTTTGATCTAATAGAATTCATAGTTTGACATATCTTAGGGTCAGACATTGGGTTGCAAATATATAAGAAATCAGAGTTTGTGGCAAATACTCAATTCCATTATTTTAGATATACGAAAGTCAAAAATCAGTTAAATTCTAATTCCAATGATAGACATTTTAAGAAGAGAGGGAGGAAAGTTTTCAAGCTTCTTGGGAAATTCGTATTTTAACATTTTAACTTGAAAGCAAGTTTTCTAGAATATATGGAACATGAAGATATTTTAAATGTTTATAGAAACATATCTGCTATTGTAGGTTAGGTTAAGCCTGAGTACCAACACAATGTTCCCAAACTACCATTCCCCGGATACTGTTGATGTAAAGTAAGTTATTTATTATTAAATATATTGAATTTTAATGGAATTGACAAGAGTAAAAATTAACATAAGTATCTTCCTCTGATCGTTATTCAGATGAAGGTGTTAAGCGTTTCGTTGTAAATTTGGCAATTGCGGCGGAAGACGATTCCAACTGAACCGGATATCACGTGGGTGTCACCAATTTAGCTACGCTCAATAATAATAAGTCATGGGTTAAATAAATAACTTTATATACTAATTAAAAAACTAATCGTATATTTTAACATTAAGAATTGTGTCAAGCTATCGGTAACGTGGAATCTGTTTCTGCTCATTTTGCCGCGTCTTGATATCTGGTTCGGTTGGAATCGTCTTCCGCCACAATTGCCCAATTCACAACGGAACGCTTAACATCTTCATCTGAATTACTATCAGAGGAAGATACTTATCTTTATTTTTCATATAGTTGAATTTTGTCAATTTTCTTCCTCGTCTCTGCTGCACAAGTTGCTTTAAACAGAAACTTTAATCGAAAATGATCAATTTTCAGATAGAATAGGATGGATACCACTTTAAAATACGATGACAGTTTCTTTACAGGTTTTCATGGTGAATCAATTCAGCTACTTTCTTTTTTGAGCCATCATGAATTTTTAACAACACATATTTAGGGATTTTCTTTCCTTTTCATCGCTTTTCATAATCTCTAATTTTATTATCGAATTAAAAAGGTTAAAAAGATTTTTCATATACCTGTCCAGATTATTAAATTTTTTTTTCATTGATTTTTTTATTGCTGTATACTGTAATTTGCATACACATGGACTGGATGTGTAGTGAGGAAACCCTTCATTTACAGTGGACCAGGTCCAATTCACAACAGTACCCTTTAAGCCTATGTATTTACAGTGGACCAGGTCCAATTCACAACGGTACCCTGTAAACCTATGTATTTACAGTGGACCAGGTCTAATTCACAACGGTACCCTTTAAACCTATTCCTAGCACAAATGATAGAGAATTATTCCTATTTTTCTATCTGAACATTGATTATCTTATATCGCGGATTTATGCAGAGCTGAGAAAGGAAGGAAATTATGAGAATTGATATATTTTTAAGCAAGAAAACAATGGGTTCTTTTTTATTGCTAATCCGATGTATTTGAACATTAGAATCGGTAAACTGTACACTTTATTAGAATATAAATTACCTTGAAACAATAGGAGGAACAAGACACCTCTAAACATGAGACTATAAGACTGAAATAAATTTAAGAATTCAATTTGAATTTAATCAAGTTTAAAATTAACCCTAGACAGCGAGGGTTCTAAACCCCAAATATAATAAAACTATACTTAAATCATGATTCTGATTCTAGAAAGTAGATGGGTATTTACTCCCAAATCAAATCTAAAAATGTAAAAATAAAATGTATGCCTAAATTTTCAAACTTACTTTCAATAATTAATTCTTCCGAAACAGATAATCTCAATAGACATAAGAATGCGAAGACGACAATATAAATAGTATTAATTAGGTCCCCAAAGGCCGTGAGAAAGCTACGAGAATCAATGAGAAAGCACAAAGAGGCGCATGATGGTAAATCCCACGTGGTTGAAGCTTCAGAAAACATCATGAAGGATTTAATAACAGGTTATTATACTTCATCCATCTTTAAACATTTGTAAACAATTTAAAATCTTTTATATAAAATTTTTTTATTTACTTGCTTCTTGCAAATTATGAATTAAATTCAGTGGAGTATGTCGAGGGGGGGGGGGGGCTAAAAGGTCTAAGCCCCAACACCCACTGGAGATAAAAAACTATGATTTTTATTGGGGATTCCGTCCCACCGGGGGCTTAGTCCCCCCACCCCTCTTGAACAAAGAAAGGATATGCCCCCTCTTCTGGACAATTCCCTGTATACGCCCCTGGAATATTTACAAAATACCTCGGCATCATGAAAAGCTGTATCCATGCCCTTTAGTTCATAAGAAACCAACATTTAAAATTATTATTCTGTACTTTATATATATTTATATATAAATAGTATTGGCGCTATCCTTCCACGCTGTGTTTGAGGGACTAGCAGTTGGATTGGAGGAAGATATTGCAGATGTATGGACTCTTTTCGGAGGTAATTATTTGGAGGAAAACATTTCAATTTTTTTCGGAGGCTCTTTTGAAGATAGATAGATATTTAAGTTCTTTCCAAGATTACTTTTCGGAAGTAAATATTTAAGTTTATTTTGGGAGGAAATATTTAGATTCTTTTTGGAGGTATTTATTGGGATTCTTCTTGGAGGAAATATTTGAATTTTTCTGGAGTTTAATTCTTGGATTCTTATTGGATGAAATATTTTGATTCTTTTTTAAAGTAAATTTTTAATGGAGGTAAATGTTTGTATCTTTTTTTCGACTCGTTTTAGAGTTGAATTTTAAAGTTTTACGACCTAAAAGTGAAAAAAGTATTGAAAGCACAAATTGCATTTTCAAATTGACCATTAAAAGATGTAAAAATTAACAAGTTAAACATTAATAAAATAATAATTAAAAATGCTTTGATAAAGTCCTTATCAGTAACCTTTTCAAAGCATGTACAAAGTGCTAGGTCATGATTTATTTTGATTTATTGTTGTTTAAAGGGACTGTAAACATAATTTCAAATGACCTTTCAGTGAATGGCATGTCTGATTCATAATGGTACCCTTAAGAGCGTTGATTTGTCAAGTATCCATGATTTTATTTTTGAAAACCTTTTTTTCTTCCCTCCCGGGCTGCGTATTTCTGGAAACAATTATGGGACGGGCGGATTTTTGGTAATGTCAATTTGGTAATGAAAATTTGGTAAGGTGACAATTTGGTAATGACAATTTGGTAATGACAATTTGGTAAGCTCACAAAAGTGACAATTTGGTAATGACAAATTGGTAACGTCATAAAAGTGACAATTTGGTAATGACAATATGGTAACTACAAAAAAGTGACATTTTGGTAATAAAAGTTTGGTAACTACAAAAAAGTGACAATTTGTTGATCAAAGTTAAATTTAATTCAATTTAATGTTTAATAATTTGCTGTTTCTCACATCATTTAGGGTTAGGTTAGGTTAGGACAATTTCTGGGCCGAGCGCTGCGGCCTATTAAAAGTTTAATAATGTGCTGTTTCTCTCATTATTTTGGGTTAGGTTAGGTTAAGACAAGTTCTGGGCCGAGCGCTGAGGCTAGGATGGGCTAGGGGGCCGAGTGCTGCGGCCTATTAAATGTTAAATAATGTGCTGTCTCTCTCAATATTTTGGGTTAGGTTAGGTTAGGTTAAGACAATTTATGGGCCGAGAGCTGCGGCTAGGGTGGGCTAGGGGGCCAAGCGCTGCGGGCTATTAAATGTTAAATAATGTGCTGTTTCTCACATTATTTTGGGTTAGGTTAGGTTAAGACAATTTCTAGGCCGAGCGCTGCGGGTAGGATGGGCTAGTGGCCAAGCACTGCATCCTCTTAAATGTTAAATGTTGACTATAAAAGGGACAGTTTGGTAACTACATATAAAAAGTAACATTAATAACTTCCTAACATTGACATACATAAAGTCCGCTCTTGTTGTAGTATTTAAATCCTTCTGAATTTTGCCACCCCTAGAAGGGGTGATGAATAAGTAATTCATGATCCAAGTCTCCTCATTTTGCAGTATATGACACAAGTGCAGGTTGAAACGTGGTTTTTAGAAAATATCGCGAATTTTACAATTATTTTTGGCGCATTTCTTTTGTGCAGAAATAAAAGATTCCTAGAATCAATTATCTTCAATTGAATATAAAACTAAGAATTAAACAATTTTAAATAAAATCACTTTTATTTCGTTTACCCAGTTGTCACTTTTATGACGTTACCAAATTTGTATTACCAAATTGTCACTTTTTTGTTGTTACCATTTTGTCATTACCAAATTGTCACTTTTGTGAGCTTACCAAATTGTCATTACAAAATTGTCATTACCAAATTGTCACCTTACCAAATTGTCATTACCAAATTGTCATTACCAAATTGACATCACCAAAAATCCACCCATCTGATTATGGGTATAGCCCTTCTCTTCAATGGTGGGTCACTAAACTTTACGACAACAGGATCTAAATACTAAAAGTACTATGGTGCAACATTAAAGGAAATTATTATACTTGGAGACTACTAGAAAACCATTGCCGTTAGTGATTCTCAACGATATTCTTTGTATTCTTATGAAGAGAGATAGCATCGATTTAATTTAAGAGTCAATTCAAATTGTGTCGACAATCAGTTAACTTTTATAAAAACTGCACTGGCGTCCAAATTAATGAATTTAAGCCGTCTCAAATCCTCAAAAACCGGTTTCAATTGAGCGCAGGCTTAAATCTTGTAAAATTGAATACAATTTTAAGTGGAACCAGCCATATTTGAGCCGCGGCTCAAATTCTTTAAATTCGGCTTCTGAACTAGAAATATGTAAAATTAGTTTTTTTAAAAATATATTTGTCTCAATTTTTTTTGTAGCAAACATTTTGAAAGATGTTGTTCAACCAATTTTAATTTTAGAACTTTACGAGTTAAATTCACATACAGATTTAAACATAAAGGTTTCAGACTTCAAGAGACGACTGTTTGGAATTTACTCAGTCTTTTTTCTTACTTGCATGGAGTCTCCTATATGTTAGTTGCCTGAATTCTTTCCACCAAATTATTGAATAGACTCTCAGTAAAATATTTAACATATTTATATAAAATATATATCTTTTGTGGGTATCTCTGTATTATAATTTATCATTTTTATTAGGATTTGAAATTAAAAGGGTATTTAAAGCATAATTGTAAAAAAACTAATAAATTTGAGTTGAGGAAATGATGTTATTATAAATGTAAAAATGTTATGTTTGTTTTAGCGATAGCAGCGCACAAGTTCGTGATCACATTTTGTGTCTGCGTAGAACTAATGCAGTCAGGGACAAAGGTAAATTCTACGCAGCATTTTTTTATTTATTGCAATTTTATTATTCTTATCTTAACAAAATATACGTCAAGTTTTAAAAAGTCTACAAAATTAAAGTATAAATGTTTGTTTATGCTTTTAAACGTTATTTCAAGAACTAATTTAGATAGTACACTACCACGCCAAGTTAAAGTAAATTCTATATTAGACTCTCATCTTGTGCCAACATTTTTAGAGGAGAAATATTTGATCTCAAAGTCGAACCGGTAATGTCGTATATATTTGACCTTATCCTACTATTTTGTGGAGCAACACGTAATCCCGCTGAAAACTTTGTATAACTATGACCGTTTACTCGCTCATCCTGTGTTGTACGGAAACCCGAGCTAATTAAAGAATCTTGGAAATCAGGGTTACTTTAATTTTGACGAAAGTTTTTGTATTTGAAGTAAAAATTCATGAGAAATATTTGTTACTCTTTTTCAGACGTTGTTCTATTTTCTCTACCTGACTACATTTTCATTGGTTTCCCCCTTGGGGATAGGGATAGGCCTTCTTATTAGGTAAACAATTCTCCCCCCTTTTCTAAAAATAATTTTTTGTTAAATAAGAATTTTTGCGTGGATTTAAAAAAATTTCTTCTTTTTTCACTAAATTGATGAGATTTTATAAAAAGTATAAAATGTCAAAAAGGACTGAAATCAAAGAAATTAATTTTGGTTTCAGTCAATTATTTAATGTTTTTAGGTTTTAATTAATTAGTTATTCGATGAAATATTACCTTAAGAATATAATCAATCTAATGATTTTTTAAAAGAAATTTAAAATCTATAAATTCTATAAAACAACTAAGTTTTTGGCCAAGTATATATATACATTTTAAACCCCAATATCTTTGTTTGCAAAGCTTTCAATTCAAAAAGAAATATCTTGAGATGATCTATAGGGGGTTCTCCGTGTTAATAAAAAACAGAGCATTATAATGTTGTGAGTTTCTGGTTAGTTTCTCATTATAATGTTGTGAGTTTCTGGTTAGTTTCTTATTATTTTACGGTTTAACCAAGAAGAATTTAGAAAATGTTGTTTTCTTACAATTTTTACAAGTATTGAGATTAAGGTTTGATAGTCAAGACGACATTTTGTAAATTCTTAACCTACCGATACTGGAATGCTGCAGAAATTTAGTTTTTAATTGAAAAATTATATGGAAGAGCTTTACAACTGTTCCTGCATATTTTATTGATATTGATTTATTTTTACAAGTATTGAGATTAAGGTTTGATAGTCAAGACGACATTTTAGAAATTTTTTCGAAGGCTTCGAAGATCTGGGTTAAACCTAATTCTAGACGAATAATTGTATTATCTTGTAGTGAGCTGGGTAGTAAAGATGAATTTCACATGACAACAATAGCTGTTCTACAGGGTATTCGTTTATTCATTTATTCATTTATTCATTTATTCATTTATTCATTTATTCATTTATTCATTTATTCATTTATTCATTTATTCATTTATTAATTTTTATTCTTATTACCTAGGTTTAGCTGGTGGAACTATTATTTATGTTGTAATGTTTGAGGTTCTACAGAGAGAAAAGGAATATATTCAAAACATCTTCATTTTAAACATTTTTCGCCATCGTTATTGAATAATGTTTTAAAAACCGATTCTTAAAATCATCCCTTCAAAACGAACAATTATTAGGATTTGAAAGGTTGAATTTGCGCTCTTGCTGAACAAATAAGCTGCGTGAAAACGTCTTATTAGTCTCAAATGATTCCTAAAATTTTTCGCCACAATACTACATTCTCAGTTCAATTCTACCATACATTTCCGGTCACTCCCTTTAACTTAATGGTTGCATGATCAGAGCCGGTATATGGTTGCCTTTCTAGTATTCACCGTACCAGCCCGTTTATTGTGGTTGATAGAACGCATTTATAAATGCAACAGAATTAGGCGGGCTGATTTAGAATAGTGAGTCCGGACACACTTAATCTTAGAAGTTTCGTCCCAAGTTCTGAATATAATGGAGTTTAGGTTAAAGAGGTTTCTGGGCTGCTACAACTCCTCTGTATTATTATAGGATTCTCATTAATGCTCACAATAGAAGTTTTCGGTAATAATATAGATGTTCTGTAATGTCGTCTTCTGCGATAGACTTTTTTTTCCAGAGTCAAACAATAAATTACACTTACATTAACAAAAAACATAATTTATAATAAAAAACAACTATTCAATACTCTAGGTACGGTGGTATGCAATTTTTTCAATAGAATGAAGACGATTTTCAATCTTAATTTTGATTAATATAAAGCTTTTAAACTGCATGTAATGTATACACAAAAACATGGAAACAGAGCGAAGCTGTTAATTAAAAATGTTAACAATTAAAAACTCAATAAAAAGTCGCCTTCATTATATTGCTATAATTCGCCTACTACTGTAGATGTTTTAAAAAATTATTATTTCGATTTCAAAGGTGGACACAGTCATGAACATGAACACGAACATGAACATGAACATGAACATGAAAATGTTCGAAATAGTTCTCTTCTAATTCCAAGTTTTTTCAACCAAACAGACTTTGTTCCACTCGAGGTAAGCTAGAGCTATATCAGAAATGAGTAAATTAAAATAAACGAGCAGGACAATTTAAAGAGTTAATTCAGTCAATAAATATTAAACTCGACTAATATACAACCCTGATACAGGGGTTCCTTCAAAGGGTGAGACACTTACGACGACCTAAAACTCATAAAGTAAGACGACCCTCAGATTAAATTAAGCCTTCTGCTTTAAGTATAGTTTTACATTAATGATTTGGCAAAGATACAAACACGTTTACTATTGTAAAGAATTGTAAATACATGATAAAAGACAGTTTAATTGCCTAACAGTCGTCTTTGAAGTCTGATCCTTTGTGGGTAACCCTGTATTTAATTTATTAAATTAATTTATTATTTAGGATTTTGAACATGATGATCTACTTCACAATCATAACAATCTTGATGAATCTGGGTACCTAGTTGTTCAAGATCAACCCATACCTCAGCTTGATCTCGATCTACCTCCTGATCATGAACACCTTGATCATGATCATGATATCATTTAAATCACCTGTTTAAATCTTACCTTAGCTTAGTCCAATAAATCTGAATGTTCAATTGTGCATGGTAAAATCTAAAATCAATAATCATAATTTTGGTTCTCTTAAATACTCTCACAGGTTTGAATTATGTCTAGAAAACTATTTATAAAAATTTAGTATATCTAAAACAGTAAAAAAAACAGAAAGCTTTGGAATACGAAGACGACTTTTAGAAACTGAAATTAAAACTTGTCATTGTCAATCGAGCTCAGATACAACAATTGTGCAGCGTAAACAGACCCTTTTTTAAAAGACCGTGGTGCATCTAGGGTGGTAAGCAATTATATCACTACAATAAAGACAACTTTTTATTTAAGTTTTGATTGTTTATAAGCTTTTTTCGAATTACAAGTTTACAAGTAATCAAAAAGAAGCTTTTAGATAAATTCTCTTAACGTCTATGTTTTTTTGTCTCCACTATTTTGATATAATCGCCAACCACTGTATGTAGACTGGATATCGAATATTTTTGGCTCTGCTGATCATTATATTGTTTTAGCATATTCTATCAATTAAGAGAAAAAGGAGATTTATATTTTATAAATCTTTATTTCTAAATAAATCCATGGGTATTTTATATCCTCTTCTGAATTGAAATCCATCCCTACAATGTAATATATGGATTACTTATGACGTATTCAAAGATCTATAAGTAATAGACTACTTGGATCCGACTAGCTGGTAAATCAAAAAAGAAGAAATCAAGATTTAAATTTTTACACGGAGAAACTTAAGACGATAAAGTACAAATAGAAAACTATGGTTATAGGAGATAAAAAAGCAGCTTTTGAAGTTCAGAGAAAAGATTCAAAGAAACTTGACCAGGATATAAGACAAAATTATTACTATTTACCAAACCTAAAAACAACTAAAATGCCCTGAGGCCCAATTTAAACCGTGTCTAGAAATTTGAGCCAGGGCTCGATTGGAACCGGATATTTGCGGTTCAGCGACGCGGCATAAATTCTTTTAATAAGTTTGTTAAAATAAATTCGAAATAAGGAAGACGATTTTTCCGACTCAAATGCCGTAGCCTTTTCTCTAGATGTATGTGTACTCAAATCCATTTCCACCATGAAGCATTTTTTAAATAAATGTTAGAAATATCCATTTTAGATCTCTTTATTTTATTATAGTGACTTTTCAAGTCAACAAAGTTACAATGGTTTGTGAAACTTATTTGTCAAGGGACAAGAGGACTACCGCCCCTCAGAAAATATAATCCCTTGGAAGGTCAAGAGGACTACCGCCCCTCCCCACATCATCCTTTGGAGGGTCAAGAGGACTACCGCCCCTACCCATATCATCCTTTGGAGGGTCAAGAGGACTACCACCCCTCCCCAAATCATCCTTTGGAGGGTGAACAGTACTACCGCCCACTCCCCACATCATCCTTTGGAGGGTCAAGAGGACTACCGCCCCTCCCTACATCATCCTTTGGAGGGTCAAGAGGACTACTGCCCCTCCCCACATCATACTTTGGAGGGTCAAGAGGACTACCGCCCCTCCCCACATCATCCTTTGGAGGGTCAAGAGGACTACCGCCCCTCCCCACATCATCACTTCACTGTAGTCCGTAGATTAAAATTTAGTCTGATAGTAGTAATTGACTGATATTTGTTAACTTAAATTTGGTTTAAAGCTTTTATTATTTTATAAGCCTTGGAACCCAGCTTTGCAATCAAACAAAGTATTCTAAATACAAGTCAATAATCTATTCAACTGAGGACCTTAAACCACACTAAGAACTTTCGTGTGGTTCTACCCAGATCCTCAATCAAAATCTGAATCAAATCGGGTAAGGGGTTACTAAAGAGTTTACTACTTTATGCATACAGAGGCCGAATTTAAAGAATTTGAGCAGCGGCTTAAATTTAAACCGCGGTTCCACTTATAATTGTATTGAGTTTTTCAAGATTTAAGCCAACGCTCAATTGAAACCGGTTTTTGGGTGATTTGAGACGCGGCTTAAATTCATTAAATTCGGACACAGATTATTTATTATTTCTAAATATTATAATATCTAGGCAGCATTGTCGCAATGTTTAAATAGCTTTTGGTTACGGTGATCTTGTTGCATAAAAGTTGGATCGACTTTACACTTGGCAATTCAGACTGGACGGTACAACTAAATGCGTATACATTATACAGTACCAGTAGGGATGAATCGGTTTCACTTTTTGGAAAACGACATTTTTCTTATGACGAAGATAAAACGAAAAACGAAACGGTCGTTTTTAGAAAATGAAAAACTAAGAAGTCTTTTTTTAGTTTTAGTCCGTCGTTTTGTCAACGAAAGTAGGCCTTTTTTTATTAGACAACCGTTAACGACGACCCTTCATAATAATGACCGTAATTCCGTTGACGACAGCCCTTAGTTAACGTTCTGCCTTTGTAAAATAGATCAATTTTACACTAATTATATCGTTGACGGGAATTATCAACCATTACCATATCCAATAACAAATTAAATTAAATCAGAGTTCAAGGAATGTCCTAAGTACCGTGTTTAGTATACTTACACAACTCTCTTAATAATTCTTTTCAAATTGCTAGTTCAGTATAGATTGACAGCCTGTTTTAGACAACATACATTTATGCAGTGCTTAGGATCCGGATCCGCAAGATTTTGGCTTCCTGGATCCGGACCCGCAAAAATATGCGGATCCACGGATCCGGATCCAAGGGGTAAAATATCAACCAAAAACGACAAAAAACTTTTTTACTCATAAAACTCAACTCTGAACTTTTGAAAAACGAGATTGTAAAAATTTCCTCATTTCTGAATGGTTGATCAAGTTTTAGGATTAAAATAAGCGAAAAAAAATGAGACAAAAGATTTGAAAATTATTTTTTGTAAATCTTAAAGAAATGACATGGATCCGGATCCATTTTTTTCCAGTGCGGATCCGTATCCGCATCAAAATTAAATGGATCCTAAGCACTGCATTTGTGGGTCGGAAAACACTAAAATCAGACAATCTTTGGATCAAAAAACAACATTCACAAAATTTTCTTACTATAACAAAAAATTGAAACAAATTGTTAAAAAACTTACAATTATGAACGAAATATTTTTTCAAAAATGATCGTTTTTTTCAAGAATACCATTGGGTCGTTTTTCGTTTTTCAAAAGTTCGTTAGTTGTGACCATAATGTTGTCGAACAACTATACGCTCGTTTTAAGAAAAATATCGTTTTACCGGCTTGGTTCACGTAAATTTAAGAACATCGTCAGCGTTTCATCCTTTGCTGGTTAACCTGTTTGTCCCATTGAAACACTCAATGTATAATATATTATGGACTTTACCTGATCGTCTTTAACCCTTTTCCAACGGGGGGGGGGGGGTCAATTAGACCCCTGTTGTATTTTTATTTACATAACTCAAAAAGTATTGGTCTGAGGCTGTTGAAATCTTCTTACTTTTCCTAAATAACCACAGCCCTTCCTTTAAGTAAAGAATTCGGGCTTTTATGCTAACTGCCTGAATGATTACTTTTTCCAGTAACAAACTAAATCTTTGTTGTGACCCACTTTTAGTTGCTAGATTTTGATATTTGTTAGCTTTTAAGAAAACCTAAGGGCACAACGAAACGGATTGCACAAGTTTTGCACAAAAATTTTGCAAATTATTTTCATACAACCCGCCGAAAGAAATTTTTACATTTTTAGTTTTTTAGTTTTTTAGAATATTTGATATTTTGCCAAATTTTTTGCATGTTTGAAATGGCATGGTCCTTGGTCAAGAGCATTCAATGAAGTGTATCTTATCATATTTTGAAAAATTTCTTTTTGCAGACATTTTACTATAAAACTGTACTTTTTGTATAAAGAATTAAATTTTATGAAATTTTTTTGCAGATTTAAAAGTAGAGCATGAGAGAAAGTACCCTAATTATCACTGAAGATCTTAGATCTATACTTTGCAAAAGCTTTATCCTAAAAGAAAAAAACGACCATTGCAACTCATTCGTTTTTTGATTGCTTTTTGCACATTTCATCTGCAATCAGGGTAAAAATTTGACAATATATAAGAAGAGAAAATGTTTAGAATAAAAATGTTTTAAACATTTACATTATTATAATTTTTTCCTAAAAGAAAATAAAGGCAAAAAGGAGAATGTATTGGCACAACGTAGCTTATTTCAAAGTGGGACATTTTTAGAGGATTAAGTAAGGAATAATGAGAATTAAAAATATCGTGAGTTGCAAACTAAAACATACTTTTTTTCTCTCACAATCTATAATAAAGCTCTTATACAGGGTAAACCACAAGGGATGAGACTTAAGAAAAGATTGTAGGGAATTTGTTTAGTCCTTTTTCTTGCATTCTGGGTTCCTTGAAGACCAAAAGTGGCTTATATCTGTACTTAATAATTTATTAAACCTTCAAAATACTGATTTGAATGCTGAAACCAAAATCAAGCTTCAAATCGTCATATTTTTTATATTTTTGGGTCTTCCTAACAGTCTTATTCTTTGTGGGTAACCCTAAAAAAATTATAAGGCTCTTAAAAAGAAGGAAATTTTTTAAAAGTTTTTTTCAATTGTCAGTTTCACGAACACTTCAGTTAGGTTATACTTAATGTTTCTTCAAGTATAATACAAAACATAAAATATTTTCAAGGAAAAAAAAACATGTAAAAAAATGATGTCGAATTTAAGATTTAGCCATGATTTAATGGAAAAGGGAAAAATATCAATATCTATGAATTAAAAGAGTATTATTTCCAGTCTTTGCAAGGGGGTGTCATCTTCATGCTTCTATAGAGTTCGGAACCCCCTCCCCTCTTGTACTGTAACACTTCTATAATCTGAGTTTTATCAAATACAAATTTCAATTTGATATTTAGTCTAAAAATTATTGATCTATTCTTAAGAATATTTGTTGTTTTCATATTTGATCCAAATATTTGAGAAAACAAATATTGTGATAATTGCAAATTTTACAAATACTGGATTTATCTATCTATTTATCTATCTATCTAGAAGCCTGAATAAGCATAGTAAAACAC